TTTTCTGAAGGTTTTTATTTCACAAAGTGTATTTTAAACATTTATAGAAATATTTTAGAGTGTATTTAAGAATATTACTGTATCGTAAAAATAATAAATTTTAAAAATCTAAAACAAATCAAATCAGGAAAAAAAATGATTATCTTTGGTAATAAATTAACAGCGAGTGGTATTTTTGGGCTAATTTAAATAATAAAGAATATCACGTGAGAATATGATTCAATAATGTGTGCTTTGCATATATATATATATATAAAAGTCAACCTGTAAAAAGTTTACTAAAATTCCATATACCTCCCATCAAATTTAGGAAAATGTCTATTGTAATTCTAATATGTTTAATATCATTTTTATTTAAGAAAATTTTATTAAAATTTCTTTAAATTATTAAGTCAATTAACAAATCGTAATTATTTAAACAAATATGACAATAATACATAAAAATGATATTAAATACTTGTAATTTAAAAATTTAATTTTCTCACCTTCCTATATGATTCATTAGTATGATGTTAGACAAAAAGCAATAATTTAATTTTTGAAAAGAAAATTATTTTTTTAAATTATAAATTTATATATTTATGAGTGTTTAAATTTTGATACAAATAATTGTTAAGATAATATCATATAATTTGACAATTTAGTTTATTGAATTTATATTAAAAAATTATAGAGTGAATTAAAATATTTATATCTTAAATTCGTTAAATTCTTAAAATAACTAAGTTTAATATTATTAAATTTAGACGGACTTAGTCTAAATAAAAGTAATTGGCTTATTAAATCAACTAATAAATCACTGGTCAAATTATATATGCACAAGTAAATTCTCACATGAGAAATTGCACTGAAAAGTACTTTAAAATTAAAGGAGTATTGTATACTCTACTTAGATTAAGGGTATGATTTTTTTTAATATCTTAAAATTAAAAAATATTTATATATTTTCTACTCATATTATACTTTAAAATTTCAATTCCATGAAAAAGCTTTTAATGTTTGAAATGTTTTCTTGTCATTTATTTTTAACACCATTATTGGAAAATTTAATTTTGGAAATCAGTTCTATTTTTTTTTATAAATAACAAATATATTTTAAAATTATATTTTTGAAAGATATAAAAAATGATATATTACAAAAAAGAGAGTGCAAAAAGAAAACTTCACACTTTGTTTATGGGGCCGTTGCCAAAGTCCAAACAAGACAACTCAAGTTCCTAAGTAGGTGTCGGCACAGAGAAAAAAAAAGGGTTTGTTGTCACTTACCATTCCCTTCAATAACCCTAATCAATTTCATCAGCTTAAAAATATCAAATGGTAATATATATTTTTTATAAATATCATTAAAATATTTAATTTAATTTCTTATTAATTTTATTTTAATAAATTTTAAATTTGAATTTTTTATTATTTATTAATGATGTAATATATATTTAGACATGTCATTTTTCATAACATGTTATTCTTAAATATGTGAAATAATATTAAAAAGTGATAATAATAATTATTTTTAATTTTTAAAATTTAAGAGTATCAAAATTAATTTTTTATATAGTTAAAATTAAATATAGTCATATTCATAAGGACTAAAAATATACATTTATTTATTTATTTAGAAAAAAATACTAATAAAGAAATCTAATTATTTGATAATTTTTTTTACATTTGAATTGTTTAAATAGTATAAATATTTTATATTAACATATTTATTTTGAAAAAAAAAAACTCATCCCATTTAAACATCTTCCTACCTACCCACTACTTTATTAGTGTGTTTATGTCTTTTCAATATTTTTCATTTACTTAATGATTTTGTAAAATTCGTTCATCTACCAATACCTCATCCAATATGTTAATTACATAATTTTTAAGTTTAATTATATTTTTAATTTCTATAAATATTAATCATTTTATTATAAATTTTTATAATTTTTTTGTTAGAATTTAATTTTTTTAAAGTTGAAAAATTAAGATTTAGTCCTTAACTTCTTTTTATTAAGTGTTGAGCTAGCTGACAGAAAGCTAGCTCAACACTCAATGTGTTATTTCACATATTTTATTTATTATTTAAAATTAAAGTTTGTAAATAAATTTCTAAACATATTTTATATAATTGTATAAAAGTTCTTTTTTTTTTCTCTTTCTCCTTTTCTACACCTTTTTTCGACACCTCTCCTTCACTCCTACCATTCTCTTTTTTCCCTCCTTCACTCCCTCTTTTTCATACCACCACTCCTCCTTTTTTCCCCACTTCACCTTTTCTTTTTCTTCACACTTCCATTTGTACCATCTCTCTTTCCCATTCACTTCTATTTTTTCAATTGTACTACTACTCTCTCTCACCCCTTTCCATTCCCCCATCACCACTCATTTACCTTTCTCACATCCATTCTCCCTCCAATTACCCATACTTCCACCCCTTCTCATTCTCTTATATGCACCACCCATTCCTTTCCCCTACTCCTTTTCCATTCCTTCTATCTGCACCATCCCTCATCTCCTTTTCCTCTCTTTTTCATTTCTCACGCCCTCACCCCTCCCTTTTCCTTTACCTCAATTTCTGTCCTATTATTCTACTCTTACTCTTTTTTCTATTCTACTCCTAACTCTTTCTCTTCTTCCAATCTGTATTTCTACTCCCAATTTGTTATTCACTTTTTTCTATTAAAATTTTATTTATATTTTAGATATTAAGGGGTTGTGTAAAGGTTCTAAGCTAGGTGATGAAAAATTAATTTAAAATATGTACAAAGTTTAAAAATGAACAGTCTAAATATAGGATAGAGATAGAGAGTTTAATGCAATGAAAAAGTATTGATGAGGGAGGGGGTGAGAGTGGGGGTGGGGGAAAGGTGTTGGAAGAGGGTTGTGGGAAGGTGAGGAGAAAGATTGTGGAGAAAGAAAAAAAATTAAAAAAGTTGTTCTGTAATTATGTAAAATGTGTTTAGGAACCTATTTGTAATTGTATAATTTTAAATAATAAAAATAAAAAAATTAAATAATATAACATGTCACATAGTGCTACGTAAGTGCGTGCTGAGCTGACACTCTGTCTGCTGACTCAACACTTAATAAAAAGGAGTTGATGATAGAGATTAAATCTTAATTTCTTAACTTTTTAGAAACTAAATTTTAACAAAAAATTTTATAAAAATTTATCGTAAAATATTCTATATTTATAAAGATAAAAAACATAATTAAGTCTAATTTTTAATATTAAGTGAATATCTTCTTTTACATACATAGTTAAATCATAAAATTTTGAATTTAAAATTTTTAGAGGCAACAATGGTAATACTGGATGGTTAAGAAGATAATATAGTCTAAAATTTAAAAAATAAAAAATATTAAATAATTTCTTTTTGACATTAAGTATGATAATATTTATTAAAGATATTTATTCTTTAATCAATTACTTGAGGTTAATCTATCTTATATCAATAAAAGTGTTTATGGAACGATTGAGTTTGGTTTAACTCAATTTTTTATCCAATTTTTAAAATTTTAATAACATCACTCCCCAAATCGTAATTCCGTAGGGAATTTAACCGAGTTAACGCAATTTGTTAACACAATACATATAAATTTTAATTTCATGCACAATTATATATAGAATTAAATAAATATAAATTTTAAATAAGAATGTATTTAATAATTTACATTTTAAAATTAAAAATGCTATTATAAATAAAATATTATATTATAGAAAATTTATCGATTAAGTCAAACAATTTTGACACTAATACATCACTATTATATATATATATATGTATATATATTTTTTTTCAAAAATACGAGACACGACGCTGATTTGCTTGGCTGAAATATAACATTAACTTGTACTCAAAATGCGTTTGATCTATTTTTCAAAATCGAATCTTTCAAAATAGCATTAGGAAGAATTAGATTTCTATAACGGAACAAGAAGCAAGCACACAATATTTCTAGAACGGGACATGAATTAGATTTTTCTCATACACTTATGAAAGCTTGAAAGGACTAAAACTGAAAAAAGCATTTTGTTTCTTGAAATAAGAAATGAGTTTCTTCAAGAAAAGCGACCGTGTACGCATTCTACCCATATTAATTTTGATCCAATTTCGAATCATTTCGGCATACCCATAAGATGAAAATCAACCAAATATCTCCAATTCCCCCAAGAATTATGTAGGAGCTAGCTATCTTTCTGCATTCTTAGCCTTTGTTGGAAGAAAACCCTCATTTTGAGACAATCTAATTTCAAGAAGATTGAGATTATCAAATGCTTTAAGATTAGAATTTTTATACTAGTAATTTAAATTTTATCACACAAAGGTCATATACTAACAGAGACAATCTTATTACTTAAACTTTTTTAACATTAATATATAGCATCTTTTTAATCCTATTGATTATGAAAAATAATTATAACTGATTTCTTGCTCAAAACATCGATTATAAGTTGGAATGGTTTTTTTTTTTAATAACTAAATACTCTCCATTAAATAATTTTTGACATTATTTACATTTACTCCACAACTAATTTTTAAAGAAGTTGAGAGTAAACTTTTCGCTAAGTTTTGTTAAAAGCTTATGTTTTCTCACTAAGCAGTTAGGAACTGGTTATGACTATTTCCATAGTTACTTTTTTGGAAACTTACAGCTATTTTCTAATTGATTATACTAATTGCATAATTAGAATCAGTGCAGCAACTATTTTGCAACTATTCAGTGTTTATTTAGTATAAATATAGTAGTAAGTTATAGACTTAATTACATCTTTAGTTTCTTTTAATTCAGATTATGTACAATATTAATTTCTCAATTATTTTTGCCAATTAAATCCCTTGTAAAATTATGGAAATTTAGTTATCCCTCTACCGTGTTCGTGCCTATCTTCCTATCTACCTGAAGAGCTAGTGTGGTACCGTAAATAATCAGTTTATCAAGCGGCAGCATTCAAACCTCACAAGGTAGAGATGCTTTTCCAAATCAAGAGGTGCCCAACCAGCATGTTTAGTACAAATTCATATTTACTTTACCGCTACTAATTATAACTTCTACATTATATTCATGTTTACATAATTTGTAACATGTTTTCAAACATATACCTTACAGGATTGTACAGTTTGTAATATCTACCAGTCACTCACTCATTGTCTTGCTCATTTTTTCTTTGAGCAACCTGGTAAGCCACCTGAATGAAAGATAATAGTGAGGAACACAAGACAAGGGATTCAAAATGCACGTTCACGTTAGCGACGGGAAAATGAAGGGCTAGCAAAAGAGTAACGGGATGAAACCGGTCCAAGTGAAGATTCCAACTTGTCTCCATTACACGGCCTCATTGGGTTATAATCAGAGAGAGCATCAGCAGCAGAATATATTGAGTAACGCCTATCCTGAACAGTCTCTCTCCTTAGCAAGTTATTGGTGCCAACAAAAGGTCTTTCCCCAACCAAATATGAGCTTGAAGAAATTTCCTCTCTTCTTAAATATGCATCCCTAGGTGAAGCACCATAGCTATGGACATAATAAGGATCCTTCACATTGTGCGAAATTGTATCATGAAAATAGTTCTGGTGTCTACTGTCACTCAAATAAAGAGGATCAGTGTGCATACTTTCTACACGGGCAGGGACATTGCGACGGTGTTCATACTCTCCTTTGTAAGAATCTCCTCGGAGACCATAAGCTCTATAGTTCTTCTCCATAAGAAACAAGTCATGAGTAATGTCCTCTTGCCGGCCAAGTTGATGATCCCTAACATGAGACTGCACATGATAGCTTTCCCTGCGTGAATGGGGCCATGATCCCCTAACATCATCAGGGGATTCCCTTTCTCGAATTATTGCTTTTGGAGGGGAATGGATAGGTTGCACAGCTGAATGAATTCCAGCTGGTTGGAAAAGTTGAGTGAGTTGCCTTACCTGAAATAGAACATTTAAATATTATGATAAATGATTCACCAAACAGACAGAAAGGCTACCAGAGGTAACATTTGATTCTCACTTGTCTAACAGTAAGTTCTGTTCTGAACTTGTGCTTTTCATTATAATTATCCTTGATGGCCTTTTTGAAAATGCTCTCAGGTAGAGGGAAACAATCAGAAGCAATGTTGAATCTCACCTGAAGGTGTCAGTCATCAGCATATGAATCATGATAACACAGAGACGAGATTAGGATAAATTTGAAGGGAAAATGAAGAGGGAAAGTAACCTGAGCAGGAAATTTGCCACCAAAAGCTCTGGGTTCAAGCCTCATGCCACCAGAAGATGAAGCCTTATAAATTCCATACAGTAGCTTCAGATCAAAATCATATAGAAAAAGCTTAAGCCCAGGTTTGACTTGTAAAGCAACATCCTTTTTACCAGCGGAAACACCCATGACACGATAGCAGAAACAATCCAGCTTCGTCTTTGCATTGCACATAAATATGAGACCACCAAGCTTTTCACTCTTTTTCTCTTTGGATTGACTCTCTTCTATCCCACTTTGCTTATCCTTGTTTTCCCTACCCCTAGAACTCTTATTTGACTCTCTATGCTTCTCTTTATTCTTCATTTTTTGTTCAGTCTTATCCAACAGATGGATCTTCTCTGCGGGATTTTTATTACTAGTGCTCCTATTTTGACTTTCCTTCACTTCATTGTTTTCGGCCTCCTGACTGTTCTTAGGTGGTTCATCATTAGTTTCCTTCTGCTGGCTATTGTCTGAAATTTGTTTCTTATCTGCATTATGGCAACTTTCAGCATTGTCCACTACTTTTTTGTTCTTTCTAATTCTTTTTTTCTCACGAATTTGTTGAGAGCCATTGTTCTTCCTGGCCTTAAGTTTACTAGCCTGAGATTTTTTGACAATTTTAGATTTTGCCTTCAATGATTGTTGAGTATTCTTGTCCCTCAACTCTGGTTTACTAGATCCTTCAGAAGGATCAGCATCCTTCTTGCTACCATCTTTTCCTGATGATGGCTGATCAGAAGACACTTCAGGAGAATTCTCAGTGCCCATCATAAAATCTTTTCCTGGTGATGGAGGATTCAAAGACACTTCAGTAGGATTCACAGTGTCCGTCATATTGTCATTTGCTGATAGCAGAGCATTAGAAGAAACTTCAGGATGATTCTCAGTGCCCATCATATCATCTTTTCCTGATGATAGAGGATTGGAAGACACTTCAGTAGGATTCTCAATGTCTATCACACCATCTTTTGCTGATGACGGAGGATTAGAAGACAGTTCAGGAGGATACTCAGTACACATCGTATCATCTGATGACAGAGGATTAGAAGTCCCTTCAGGATGATTCTCATTGCTCATGATATCATCTTTTCCTGATGACAGAGGACTAGAAGATGCTTGTGGAGGATTCTCAGTGCCCATCTTTCCATCTTCTTGATCCATATTATACAGGTACTAAGCACAGAAGATTTCAACAGTTAATGTTACTGCAACAATTCGACAAATATACACAATAAGGTTAATATCAATAGCTTTTAAAAATGACAGATATTTCACAAGAACCAGAAAAAGAATAATAATTCAATTAAGGAGGCAGACATTGAAATCCTAACCAGAAGACTGGGAAGTTAGTTAAGTTGCAGCAGTAATGAAAGGCCCTGTTAGGTTATGAACTGGAAAACAGGTTGAAGGCGTGAAAGGACAATGAACTCAACTCCCGGAAAAACAGAGGATAGCAATGTCTTTTCATAAAATTTTGTTGTCGATGTGTTTAATATTGAAACAAAAAGTCAGCAGCTAAAAGAAGATCCAAAGTTTTTAAGCAGTAATAACCAATGGAGGTAGCGTATTTCATCCCAAAATTAAAAAGACAAGATATTCCATTATTTAGTTCAGCAAATTGGATAGCAAAATAAGTTTGGCCCATTATGATATCGTAGAGCAGCCCTAATTAACACCTACAGAAAACAACGCAGATATATTGAAGGCTATCTAAAACTACTGTCATTTGTTATAGTTTGACAGAACACACTGAAGAAGGATAATGCTATATAGAGTTAATCAAGAAAAGAAAGTCATACAAAAAAAGAGGAAGATATTATATACTTTTAAATCCAGAAAGGCACAACCAGCAATGCAATAGAATACAAACAAAGATTGAAAATAGAAAAACGTAAACTCATCAAAACAAAGGAAAAAAAGCTTAAAACTGTATCTACAGTATACTCATGCATCCCCCACAACAACCAGAGATTAGCTGAGTAACATACCCAAAGCAGAAACTGATAACTAAGAGCAGCAACTTTCAGCATAAAATTCAAACAACTCAAAACTTTAGGTTGGATCATTTTAAGTGTAAGATATAAAAGAAAAAATTCCATTTAAAATGAAAATTTAAACAATAATAACAAGAAGGAAATGATTTATTTTCCGGTTCTTTCAACGAATTTGACCAATTAATATCGTTAAACGAATAAGGAATTGGACAACCTTAAAAATGATTCCAATTCGAATCCAAACTCTTGCTTATACAAAACAAATAATTCCAAGCATTCCACTGAGAAATAAGGAACCTAACATATACATAACAGAGGAACTTACTAAGGAAGTTAGGTTAAAGCAAAACAAGAGAGTGTGAGAAAGAGAAACGTAGAATGAATTTCGAATCGCGAGAGATTAAAGTGTTGAAATGAATCGTTAAAAGAGAGAGTTCATATGAAAGGATTTTGAGAATTCTAAATCTCTACATTTTAGTAAAATTCAAATCCTTCTCACAAAGTGAACGAAACACACAATTGAGCGATATTCATCGTCAGAATCAAAGAAAAAAGAGTAGTGCAGATTGAGATTACGTACGGAGCTGAGTCAACCCGCTGGAGATCGAACGAGTCGACAGAGCGATTGAAACGAACCACTATGGCTTCTTCTAACCTTCCATCAATATCAATTGAAATCGAAAATTATAATTAAAAATAAAGAGAGAAAAAAATAACAGTAAAAAGAATAGTAATATTAGAGTATGATTGATTTTTTTAAAAATAGTTTTCTATTTTAAAATATAAAATATAGTATACTCTTCGTTTTTAGAAAATTTTACATTTTTAAATAATTTACATATTTTATAATTTTTTTATTTTTTGCTTTATAAAAAAATCTAAAAAGTCATAAGTATGTATTATGAAATGATTTTCATATAGATATGTTTTTTTTAAAAAGAATTTTATGGCACTTTTTTTTTAAAAACTTTCTGTAGCAAATTAAATTAATTATTTTTATTGCACGGCGACAAGTATTAAGTAAGCTGGGGGAGATAACTGCGACTGGAGTAACGAGATAATGGTTTTTCTTAACATTTAATGTAAGGAATAACTATAAATACATATTTATATAAACATTATTTTATATTTAAATAATAGTAAATTAAGTAAATTGTTCATTTAATGTTGTTTCTTTCCAATTTTGTCTTTTGTCTTTTTTTAATCAAGTGTGACAGTTTAATAAACCAAATTAAATTAAATTAAATATTGTTAATTTTATTCAACTCTTTATAGAATTTATTGTTTATAATAATTTTATTTGACTTGAGCATAATCATTTCTAATAAAAAAATCTGTAATTAAAAAATTAAATTAAAACTAACAAAAGAGATAAAAGATAAGAATAAAATAAAATAAAATTAAAAGACTAACTCAGAAAAAAAAGTAAAATTAGAGAGAAAAATACTGCTTTTACCTTAAATAATCTATATTATTTTAATCATAATTAATCTTATCACATTTGTTTATACAAGAAAATATGTTTCAAGTGGTGGAAGGTGTAGAGGGAAGAACCTATAAAGAGAGATTCAAGAGAGGGAGAAACAAAATTGAGCAGCATTGTACAGTCAAATGCAACGTCAGTTACTTTCCATAATGTCATCCCTGACTGCCTTATTTGCTTTTCTTGCTGTATCCATAAAAAAACAAAATTCACAAGTTCCAACCAACAGTAATAATAATAATAATAATAATAATAATAATAATAATAATAAACAGTACCAAAAATAGAGCTGAAAAAGTCTCAGGTAACCGAAAAGTAACGTATTAATGGCTCTATATTATTATTATTATTATTATTATTATTATGGCATATATGTCTTCTAGGATTGAATCTCTGATCAGTGTGGAGCTCCAAAGCTGTCTGGTTTACTTCTGTCTCATTCTCTGTGCTGTGCTTCCTCACATGCACTTTGTCCCTTCTTGAGCCTTTGCATGCAACTCAGATCACTTGATCAGAGACACAAATGGTATGTAGTTTCAGTTTCCCCTTGATATCTGTAGTAATTCACTGTGTGACACAGTTAATGACATGAACATGGGTTTTAGAGGTTTTGAATTTTTATCATTTTTCACTTAAGAAATGTTCATACCCCCCTTCTCTTAATGCAGCTATTTTTATCGTTTAATCTTGGTCTTTTCCTTGTTTTTAAGAGTTTTCTTTCTTTTTTCTTTGATCAGATTTTGGGTTCTGGCTCAAAATGGCAGGTTGACCCAGCTCAAAATTTTGAAGCAAAAAATGAATAGTAAGAGAGGAAAAGAGAGTGTTTCAACCAAAGAAGCAAACTTGAACACTAGGAGGAAAATTAGAGTTGTATACACTGACCCAGATGCAACTGATTATTCAAGTGAAGAAAATGATGAGTTTTTGAGTAATGGGTATCAATTAAATGGTGGTTCCAAGAGGATTGTCAAGGAATTTTTGGTTCCATACATGCCAAACAAAGCAGAGAAATCTTCACAAGAAGATGTCAATAGTGAAAAGTTCAAAGCAAATCCAGGCCTTTTTGCAAGGAGGAGGAACAGAAGATCATCAAGCATCTACAGAGGTGTTCAAAGAAGGAAATGGGGAAAATATGTTGCAGAAATTCGAGACCCTTTTCAAGGGGTCAGAATGTGGCTTGGTACTTTTGATACTGAAGAAGAAGCTGCCATGGCTTATGAGAAAAAGAAGAATGAGTTTGAATTGGCTTTGAGGGAAAGGGATGCATTGGCTTCTGAGAATGCCAAAGAAGTGTTGTTTCACCCATCCCCATCATCAGTGCTCGATGTCAGCACTACAAAAGGTCCACTAGATATTAATGACACTAGTGGTTTAGTCAGAGAAAAGGTCAAGGTGGAAACTAATTGTGAAGGAGGAGGCAATGATGTGGTACCAGTTTATAGTGAAGATCATTCAATTCAATATTTGCTAGAGGAGCCAGTTATGCCATCATTGACTAGCTTGGATTTCTATTCGGATGTAGAGAAAGGAGCAGTGCTGCCTGGTAGTGACTTCTATAATTTCTTGGACAATGACATTAAAGGTGGTTCTATTTGGAATGTGGAACATGGGGAAGGGATCATTCCCCCCCCTGTTGAAAGTTCCGTTGATGAGTTAGCATGGATTGATGAAACTCTAAATTGGGAATGCCCCTAAAATTTTGTAGTTAAGATAGTGAAACTAGTAGCTACACCTTACTACTACTGAGTATATAGGCAAATAGGCAAAAGAATTGAGTTTTGAGTATATTGCATTTGATTATTGAGGCACAATGACAAGAGAGGTCTTGGGATTTTGTTTGGCATGTTAAAGCAATCCAAGATTCAAGCTCTTGTTTTTGCCTTAGATTGGAGTAACCATACTGTCTTCAATTTTTTAAAGATTGTTATGGATGGAACTAAATGTTTCATATTTTCTTCAGAGAATTTGTGTCAGCTCGTTCTCAATTTTTTCCTACTTCTAATTATGTTCACTTTAAAAAGACATTGCTACGAACTGCACTTTATTTAATTTTGGGTACTGCTGATGAAGAGAAAAACAAAACAATACAAAAAGAAAATGCCAAAGTAAAGGTAAAAGGCAAAGCATGACAATCAGAAGGAATAAATGTTCCCCTCGTGAAAATTCCTAGTGACTATTTGGCCCTTTCACGTAAGAATAGAAAAGATAGAATGAGCATGAATCATTTAAAAATATTCTCGTTTATTCCTGCTCTTGTGGTGGCTGACAACGACAGTCAGCACATTCGGGTGGATTCTCATATAAATTCAAACAGATAACAGGCGTATGTGCAGCATGAAACATCCTTGCATAAAAATGATAATCTCCAATCTTTTTAATATATAATTAGTTTTAAAGACCTCAGAAATTGATAAATATTTCTCACACGCACAAAAAAAAAAGTAATATTTCAGGAATTGATAAATATTTCACATAATATGGAGAATTGGAATTTCTATTTGAAAAGTGCTACAATTGTTGATAAAAATCTCCAAAAGATTAGTGCTAACGGCAGTCAACTTGTCCTCCGAACATCATAAAATAATAACATTTAAGATATATCTACCATTTGCTCTCTGAACCTCATAATCAGAGGTTACCCAGCATGCTCACCATGTAGAAAGTTCTTGATGAATTTTAAAGCATTTCCAAAGTTCCAAGCAACATGTCAGAGCTAGGAAGGAGAGTTTGCAGATCTGCTGCAACATGATATTCACCTCCAATTATCAGGTGCAATTCACAGTTTGATCTCCTTGATTCTCCTTTACCGTGAAAGAAATGAGCAGGGAAAGAGAAGAGGTCTTGAAAGGGGTAGAAGTGGACAATGACAGTAGAAATTAATGAGATCTACGATGGCAACAATGCTTTGACTCTCCTCAATCTCCATATTTGTTAATCAGCTCAAGGGTCAGATATCATATATACAATTGTAAAAGATTTTAAGAATGAGAATATTCAACGCAGGGTTGGAATTTCATACTGAAGCAGTCAGGATATGTTGCCGTTGTTTGCAAAAGCCAATTCACATACAACAGCTAGGTGGTCACTTCCCCATTTCTACAGGGCATCAAAAGAATCATAAAGATATCGATAAGCCAATGTGAAACAAAATACATAAGCATGTCAATGGTCGAGGTTTCAAGAACTAGCTTTAGTAAAGTACCTCACTAGGGAGTCCTCTAGTTTTTCTAAGAATATCGATGGGCAAGGTTTCAAGTACTCTAACTGGAATAAGATCGTCTGAATGCCTGCTGACGAATGACGTCAGTAACAACTAACAAGCAATTTGTAAATGCAATAATTTTGGTGTTTAGTGTGAAATAATATGATTACCAGATATAATCAATGATTACCAGATATAATCAACAGTTCCCATGAACTTGGAGTGGTAAGACGTTGCCAAGGGCTCCCCAATATCATCTCTAGTTCTATGGTTTCCCTGCAGCCGCAGCTATATGAGGTTTATGCAAAAATTAAGTGCGAAACATCACAATCTGAATATTCATTGAAATTTTTTAGTTTCCCATATTAATATTTCTAGGACAAACTTTTTATCTCAATCAAAGAAGTTGCAGAAATAGCTGATTATAACAATTCTATTGTATTTGGAAAAGACTCAGAAATATAGTTGGCAGATTAAAACATCATACAGGAACACCACTATAAGCACTGCAGAGCTTGAGATGGTGCTGAAGATGAGTGGTTCCTTCTGTGCCAGTCGCAAGTTTTAGTTCTTCCACACTCCATCTGTATAACAGCTGCCTTGAAACAGACATTGCAACGCTGCATCAGATACACAGCCAAATAGTTATTACAGAATACCTAACACTTAAAATTTTGACAAACAATGATTAGAACCCTGCCCTCTAAAATTTGACAAATAACAAGAACAAGGGCAAGGGCAAAGACAAGAACAAGAAAGACGACGACAATAACAACAATAATAATACTTGGAAAAGAGACAAAGGAATAGTTTTGAGTAAAAATCTTGCTTGAGTTGAGAGGAGAGCTCTCAGCTCTATCAATTAGGGAATGCTGCAATTAGGGAAAGAATATTACAAAATCAACAATATGTTCTTGTCTAATTACCACAATCACTAATCAGGAACAGCTAATAAAGGGAAACAATTACAACATAACTTGCAGCATAATCAAGAAAATAATCCCATTATAATCTCGATAACAACAATTAAAATAAAGGAAATACTATTATTATAATTTTCATTCAGAGCCATCAAAAAACGTCATTTTCCATATCAACAAATAAACTATGGTCTTGGCAAATATATGATCCTGAATCTGTTTCATAATTTATAAGTGCCTCATTTTTTAGGAGGGGGGGGGGGGCAGGTTGGTGAAGTTACGACAGATAATAACTGAAACTAAAAGGCTTAGCACAGACTCAAAAAACAACCTAGTGCCATCACCAATCTGTGATCTGAAGACTCTGTTGTTGGACTGGATTTCAAGCTGTCCTGACATATTTCTGCGATTATGTAATTGGATGTCTAACTGCAATAAATGGAGCAATACTAATAAACACAGAAAACTCATTAATGGCCCTCTCCTGCCAAAGAACAAGTCCCACCTCTAACTGAGTTTGGATGTTTTTCCATTAATGGAATGGAATGGGACAAGTAAGGATAAACAGGAAAGCAAGGGAAAGAAATGGAACAAAGCTAGAATTCCCTTTGTTTGTAAGATTAATGAGGGAAAGGTACTGAACTCCATTACCTTTGAGTTCCTCCCATTCCTACCAATTTTTGAGCTAACAAAAATCTATATTTTGAAAGGAACAAAGGGCAAATAGGTCCTCTTGAATTCCTTTCCCATTCAATCTATTTTAAACTCTCAAACAAGGGAATTTGTTCCCCTTCCATCATTCCCTTTTTGTTCCCCTCACTATCTATAATCCAAACACAGATGAATTACTTACTCAAGGTCTGAGACTTTGTGGATATAATAAAATTTCTGTGATGCAGCACAAAAAATAAGCTAAGAGGCTTGAGAATAATATACCATAAGGAGATGCCAAACTCACCTTGGATGAAGATAGAAATTTATATATTGCACTCTGACAACATGAAATGAAAAACAAAATAGAAGTAATGAAGTAACAGCATACTAGATCACTGATCTGAAGTTAATCAACTACTAAGTATAAAGGAATATCTTACCTGTGGAACACTATTTAAATCCCCAGCAATAATAACAGGAATGTTGCCCCATTCTTGAGACAATTTGTGAGCTTTATCAAGTAAAAGTCTGACCTATCGATTATATCAAGTATCAAGTTCCCAGAATCAATGAAATAGATTAGACAACTTAAAATCAATGTATTTTCTTTGAGTGAGTATAATGCTACCTATCTAGTTAAGAAAATTCAAGAAGTACCTGGCCCAGTTTGATGTCGCCACGATTTGGGTTGAATAGCACATGTATATTTCCTACTACAAATCTTTTTTTTCCTATGGATGGTGCCCTATATATGTAGATCAAATTAGTTACTATGTGGAAAATATGAAAAATCATTGGTCATGAAATAGGCATCATGTGTGTGTGGGCATATGTAAATACATTAGTGTAGTCATTATTTTTTCCAATATTTTCAATTTTAAACTATCTTTGTGGCTAAAATTTAGAGATGGAATAAAGGTTGCTTTAAGAGTCAGAAAATATAGAAACTAGTCAATTGTTGGCATGCAATAATTTAATAAACATTAGTAAACATTCCAGGATATTAGAATGGAAACCAAGCATTAAATGAATAGATATGTCAAAGACAACAAATAATTGTGTTCATATTACCCATTTTAGACATATAAAACTTACATTGTTGTTAGGTTACATGCATCAGATTCTGGTTTATCATGGTTTGCCTGCAAATTGATAATGAAATGAAGAGTAATAAGATATAAAAACAAAACCTAACATAATTGGTTCCAATGCAGCAAGAATACATGTATGCACAGCACACACAAGATAAAATGAAATTTAGGGAAGGGTGTGAAAATTCGCATCAGCAATCATAACTCTTTCTATCAAAGGACAACACAAAATGTATAACATAAGTAGAAATCAAATTAGAAAAATAGAAAACAAACCCTAAATACCTCCAAAACACAAAGCTGAGCAACATTGTTACGCAGGCCAAATCTTTGGAACTCTATATCTTCTTGATGCAAAAGATTGAATCTGCAGTCACATTCCAAAATATACTTCAAGTAGGCCAAATTTGAAACTCTACATTTTCTCATTGCTACGCTCTATTAGCACATTTTTGAACTATTGGTATTATTCTGTATCAAGGAAAACTTAGGCAGCTCATTTACTTATTTGTCAAAGGCCAACAATGCCATATATTAAATAAATTAATTAATACAGGATATAAAAACTCCATTATTTAAATGACTTTGGCGCAACAGAAACCTACAACTTGTCTTTCCAAAATACAGCACATCCATCTTGTGCTTCCCCTGTGCGAGCCTGTGTCAAATGAAAAACAAATGACTCATAAGGTACTTGATTAAATATTTGGACTTAAAAAATTTATATGATCTTTCAAATATATATTTAATATACCTTGTAAACACCTTTAAATCCACTGCTCGAGAAAAGATCATCCAAATCATTAAAATGATCAACCTCCTGCAGACATAAGATTTATGAGAAAGCAATTCTTGACAATCAGATTTTATGATGCTAGCATACAATTTCAAGCAGAGAATAAATACTAAATTGGGTAAAACAAAGATGTTTGCCCCAACTGGAATTACATCAGCATAACTAGTATCTCAAGAAAGATTATGAAGCAACACACTTAGAATATCACAGATTCACAATCCCCTTTGTCAAATTAATATATGAAATCAAGAGCTGTTAGCTCAATAAAAAAAAATGTCAGTTCAATCAGTCACTTTTAGTCTTCTTTTCTACCTTTCAAAGCTCAGTAGAGATGCATACATTTTAAAGATAAAGAACGATTGCATGTTTGTAACAAGGTAATAAGTAATTAAGTAGTGCTATTCAATGTATAACACCAGGAAGGATTTTCATTAACGTACCTGGAAACACAGTATGCTTGCATTATAGTTATTAATCTCTTTAAGTATGAGTCTTTTCCTCCTGTCCCACTCCAATAAACTATGTGGAATATTAGAATACAAGTCCAGATGCTTTGATGCATTTTCAACACCAAGTATATTGTATGAAACAACTACAACCTTATCTGCAAAGGTAAAAAGGGTTCAGAATAGTAAATATGAGATAAACACAATTTATTCTAAAGTCTAAATGAGAATCAGTTAACATAGAGGCACCCAAATGCCATCTTCTTCACACTCGCATCTTTATTTATTTATTTTTATTTTGTTTTTAAATATACCTGCCCCCTTTTAAGTAACTGAAAATTGGAAGAAGGTACTGACCAAAATGTATATGAATATCTTCTGGAATGGCATCTGGTAATGAAAAATCTCCACTTTTTACATTAGGTGCAAACTCAACCAGAGAAATGTAACACAAAAATGCTAACTTCTAAAAAGGAAAATAATCATAGCAAAATGTATTCACTATTCAACACAAAATAGGCAAATACACTAATGCACGACGTGTGAGATTGGCAGTGAAACTTGGATACATTTGAATACATAAATTGATGGTGAAATAGAATTCGAAGTAATTACACTATTTCCAAAAGCAAAGAGCTTTGTTGTAATTCTGACCCATGCGATTAAAAATTTTTCAAATGGCTAGCATCCATTATGTACATAGTGAGAATCCATGCAGAACACACAAATAAGATACCATTTACTAATGGCCACATCCATTCACTAATTTACTTCAAATGGCTCTACGATTTGGCTAGCATTTATCTAATCAAGAGTTTCTGATTCATGACACCAAATAAAATCTTCAAAATTTCAAAAGTGATAATGTAATCCATCAATTCTTAGGTATGGTTATAAACAATATAATCAATGGGACATTCTTATGTTCTCAATCATCAAACTATATATATTGAGTTTTCTTCTCAACAATATTAGACAACCAGAACAGAATTGGGAGTTGAATTTGGATGCAGAATTTGAATCAAAGTGAGTAGATAGCTTTGTTGTGATTCTAACCGACCCGTGCAATGAGAAGAATCTATGGAAGAGGAAACCCATCGTCTAGAACATTCCATCGGAGAACAACGTCTTCTCCGTTTTGACGGATAACGTTCCGGCGATGGCCATCTCCGCTTGCGCCGCACCATATCGCCGCCACAAATAGCGTCTGCTCCGCAAACCGGTGTTTTTTAAAAAAATAATAATAACACAAGCGAATAGGGTTAATTTATTTAAGCTTAAATAAATAAATAACCAAATCTTTTAGAATTAGTATTTATCATTTTTTTAGATTTTAATTTTTACAAATTTTATTTTTTGAAAATAATTTCTACTGTTAAATGAAAATTGTTAAATAATGATTAAATAAACAATATTTCATATAATATTTGTCATATCAAGTATCATATTTAAATAAATAATTAGTTCTTAAAATTATTTTATACTTATGTAAGAAGAAAAATATAATTAATGTTTATATATTACTTCAAATAGTATTAGACCGGTAGTTTTATTCGTTTGGTTGGTAATTCTATTATTATCAGGGTCCAAATGCTAGCAATAGAAATAAAAGATTTTAAATAATAATATTAATACACCAAAAAAATAAAATAAATTTTAATTTAATTAAATTGATTAAATATAATATTGTGTTTAAATTGAACTAAGTTATAGCTGTATTTTTTATGTTTGAATTATATTTTTTTATATTAAAACCAATTAAAATTACAAACACTCTTAATATGTAGATTTTTCATATAAGAAAATTAAGATTAAGTTTTAATCATATAAATTATAATTGTAAAGCTGAGCTTTACCTTTTTATTCTTATGTTGTGTTTGATAAAATAAATTTATAATTTGTTTTAAAATTTATATTTATTTTTTTAAAATAAGTTAATTAAGTAATTTGATAATGACAAAATAAAAGATTTTTATAATTTTTAAAATTTAATTATTAAAAGGTAAATTTTACAATGTCTTGTAAATTGAAAAAATATAAAATATTTTTTAACACATAAAACAATTATCACATTTAATTTTATATTAATAAATAATAGAGTTATTAATTTATTTAAAAAATGTAAATACTCTTTAATTTTAAATATTAAAAGAATCATCAATTTAGAGAAGACATATAATACTCGCCAAATTTATCAGTATTATAACAATTACATACTTAAAATACTGATTGAAATAACATTTAATTTCTAGCTATTAATAATTTTCTCTCATCTTTATTTTTATTATTTTAAATAAATTAAAGAACAAAACTTAAATATAATATCTTAGGCGTTATTAATACTATTTATTAGTCAACATTAATTTTTTTACTTTAATAATACATGATAACATTAAATTTAAAATGATATATAAGTTTTATTCTTTAAACAAATACATAAATAAAAATTTTAAATTTCACTCTCTTCCTTTTAAATCTAATATTATAGACTCTCTTTTTTTAAGTAATATATAACAAATAACTATTTTAATCCATTATTTGCGAAGGCAAACTTTTAGTTATTAATTACAAGCTTGTTACTGGCGTTAAGGTAGTTTTATCAAATAAAACTTTAACATCGTTACATAATACACTAGTTTTATGTATTTTTTCTTGACATCTTTGACAGCAAGCTCCTTTATGCTCTTTGCATGTACAACTGAGGAAGTGAACTTCGTATTACCGTTTGAGAGATGATAACGATGGTGTTAACTTCCTTTAACCATTGAGGAGGGGATTATGGAAGAAAATTTCATCTATTTCCTTCCAATTAAGGAAGTGAGATATTTTCCTTGTTGCTGGATTGTAACATTTAACGTGTAAGATATAATAGTTGATCATCTACAATGATGTAATTTTCTGTGTACCTTCACGCTACCACATTGATTATAAATAAAAAACAAGAAAAATTTTCATCAATTGTGATGGGTATGAATCTTGGGCTTTATCGATTGCAGATTTTAATAGATATCCTGGGATCCTATTATAATCTGGAAATAATATCTAATACAACTGTTACATTCATATCGTCTTTACACACAACAGGTGTCAGAGAATAGCTCGCTCCTATTGTTCCATCAAATTTGAAGATTTTATAATATCATCATCAAATTGATATAAACATTGTACTAAGATTCCTCTATACTGCTGCAAGTTACTATGTAATAGCACCCACATTTTGTTCTCTCTTTGGCCCTTTTATCTCCCTGCTGTTGATTTTCATTAGAGGATAAGATTGCGATTATGGTGTCACCCATGATAGAGAATTTATTGAAAAGGAAGTCATAGAAGGGTGCTGAAGGAGGCTCTTGGAAGAGACTGCTCAATGTCATGATATTGCAAAACCAACATAAAAATTAAATAGCAACATTCTTGGCTGCATCTACATGTGCCAAGACTAGTGCAATTTGTGGTTTTGGTGAATAGAAAATTTATGGGCCCAAAAAACGGTAGGAAATTTCATGGTAAACTATTCTTTGGACTGATTCCTACAATGTCAACATTAGGAGTTAATTTGTGTAGAATTTCACTATCTAATTGCTCTTATATTATCTCTATGTATCACATCAAAATTGCCTTTCATAAATGGGAATTTGAGTTTAGCAGCTAACTAGGCAGATATTGATTTATGAAAATTACCCAATGACAAGAAATATCTATTTTACTCTCCTTTTTATCTATAAGATCGATGTTTACAAAGCCCAAAACGAAAATCAGTGATTGACAAATAATGGTACAGTTGGTGGGTTTTAATGCAAAAAAAATTAGTCACTAGTGTAAGCTGAAAAAGAGAAAACAAGGAGAAATCACCACCCGCTAAATTAAACCAAATTTGGACATATTCAAATAATAAAACACAAAGCATTGTTTTATTTCTGGTTCAGATTTCTCTTATACAAAAGCAACAAACCATAAAGCTGAAAACTCTACCAAAATTAGTCAACTGGAACCATATATATTAATTGAGCACAGTGCTGCATCTATTGGTGGAAAATGCACCATGACAAATAAGAAGCTAAGAGAATTTGAGGGCCACCACAGGTGAAGTGAAAGCAACATGAAGTGAGGACCGCAGATAAAAGAATTATTGAATTACTGTGGCAACACAACAAAAAAGGTCCTACTCTAACACCAACAACACTGACACTAGAAGACACACTCACATAACCTGTTGGATCCATTAGAAATCCCATAAAAGGAAAGATAACCAATAAGGATTCAGAGAATAAGATGAACATCAAATCTTCAGCCAATGAACATTGAGGTGAGACCAAATCGTGGGTCCCTGAAAAACTTCGCCCGATGTCCTGTAGCAAATTACATGGGCAAACATTACACAAAGAAATCAAGTGAGTAAGAACAAACTATAAGACCCCACTATGCTTCTCCCTCAACACGTTGTCAAGTTTCAACGCACATGACAAAGACAATTGTTGAATTTGAATCATTCGGATCTCTAAATAAATACATGAACACCCCCTCAACATTCTTATGACCCCTTAATTGTATGTAACTATGTTACAGTTACACTAACCATACTATTACATTGGCACTTCACTTTGCAACTGAAAATCAGTTCCTATAATCAACCAGATGAAAGAAGCAAGTGCATTAGGAGCAAGGACAGCACGAGCATGTGATAGCTGCCTTAAAGTAAGAGCAAGGTGGTATTGTGCTGCTGATGATGCTTTCCTTTGCCATGGTTGTGATAACATGGTTCATTCAGCAAACCAATTAGCATGCAGGCATGAAAGGGTTAGGCTTCAAACTGTATCCTCTAAGGTCAACTACTCATTGACCCCTCATCATAAGGTAGCATGGCACAGTGGATTCACACGCAAGGCAAGAACCCCGCGTCATAACAGCAAGCATTTATGGGTGCAACAACAACAACAACAACCACCATTACATGAAAAAGAAGTGCTTTTCAGTAACACCATTACCCTTCCCCTTGTGCCAGATCTTGGAAGTGAAGAACCCCTGCTTAATGATGAGACTGAGGAGCAAATGCTTTGTCGTGTGCCCGTGTTTGATGTTGAGCTATACAATGAAGTGAAGGGTGAGAGATTGAATTTGGACACCACCATGAACAATGATGCTGTGGATGGTGAAGAAGCCTTTGATTTGGACAACTTTTCTTCTGAGTTTCTCCCATCAGATATGGATCTTGCTGAGTTTGCTGTTGATGTGGAAAGTTTACTTGAAAACGGGGTTGATGATGATTCATCTGGGCACGTGAAAGGATCATCAGAACTTGATTGCAAAGAAGAAGATGAGATAGATGCATATGTTAATAGACTTGGAGCCAAAGGTACAATGGTAAAGGTTAAAAATGAAGAAGAATTTGATGCTGAAACATCTTGTCATTTGGATTCAATTCTTAACATGAACAGTGAATCCTTTGATTGGAATATTATTGATTCATCAGAATCACCTCAACACGAAAAGGAGGAAAAGGTGGTGAGTGAAGTGGGAAAAAGGAAGGAGATGTTTTTGAGGCTAAACTATGAAGAGGTTATCACTGCTTGGGACAGTCAAGGTTCAGCATGGACAACAGGAACCCCTCCTAAGTTCGACACTCATGATTGCTGGCCAGATTTCTTGGTAATTAATTTCTATTCTCAACATCTTATACTTACGGAGCAATGTTATCTAGGTGTGCATTTGGTTTAGTTTATAATTTTTAAGAACGATTTATTTTGCCAATTTCAAAAAAGAGTTTTCACGAAAAACATATTTTTTTCTTAAAATAAAAAGGGATTTACAAACATGCAACTACTCAATTCTTCACAATTGTATGTGGCTTCTCATGACCCTATGTTATTATTTGGACTAAATAGATGTTACCACTAAATACAAGAGTAGTATAATTACATAGTTTTGTTATCATTTTTGTTGAATTTGTTGCAATCCAATCAACGATTGTTTGAAAATTTTAGAAGCTTACACACATTCATGGCTATTTCAATTATTAATTGACGTGCAATTTTGTCCTTTTTTTGAAAGGGTTCGAGTGGTGCAGATGTTCAATGGTGTTACGGGGAAGTAAGAGGATTAAGGGGGCATGCGGATGGAGGAAGAGAAGCAAGAGTATCAAGGTACCGAGAGAAGAGAAGAACGCGTTTATTTGCTAAAAAGATAAGGTATGAAGTGAGGAAGTTGAACGCAGAGAAAAGACCAAGAATGAAAGGTCGATTTGTGAAGAGGACATCATTTGTTGGAGCCACTGCTTAACCATCACTCACATCAAAGTGATCATCAAGCGGTTAACTTTTCCAAGTTTGATTTTATGGAGAAGTTGGATTAGTTACTTGGTTTTGCCATGTATATATATATGTACAATATCATCACTAGGTCAGGTTTCTCTTGCTTGTTGGGATATTTCTTGCTTTCTCTAGCAGGTCTAGCTATAGCTAGTACTAATGGAAATGGTAGTCCCTCTCACCATTTTGAAGACTATGGTAATTGTATTTCGGAAGCACTTTTTTAATGTTGCTTGTGAATTGTGATAATAATTAAATTCAGTTATTTATGCTGATGCTATTATGATTACCTTCACTTTTTGAGGCAACTGATTAAGTATATGTTTACTATATATCAAGTACTTATATATCTACAAGTTATAAATCTGCTAGTCATTACAATACGATTGTGTCCAACGGATAGGAAGAGGAAGAAGAAGAAACGAACGGATGAATAGGTGTAGAAAGATGAAAGATCGCATCACATATTTGAACAAATTCACTATCAATTTTCTAAGAACAGATAGATGGGAATCTGAACTTTTATTTGAATGGGGGTGTTGAAGTTCTACGTTGATTATGGTTAACGAGAGTTTATAAAGGTTAAACCAATCATCATTTTTACAAGATAGTTTAGAGTTGAGTTAGGTATAAGTATAAATTTAAGAGGGGCACACAGTTAATAGCTTACACCCACATACAAATCTCAGCATTAGACTTATAGAGACTAATAATGAACATGCTATAAAGAAAATGTATGTTGTAAACTGTGAATTTGTTGCTACTTTCAATGTAATTAAGAAATCGGAGACGAGCCCAAATATGACAAAGAAGGATTTTCCCCTTTTAGAGTATTAATTAATCGAGACTTGGAATCGTATGCAGAAGTATAGAAGCTTTGTTTCTATCTTTAAAATGACCATTGATCAACCACCTAAAAATATAAATACCTAGTGCAAATTAATTTTTATATTTAACATATCAGATCATATAATTACCACTATTATGTTGTACTCAAATAAATGAAATTGTGTCTATATACTATTATCAATGTGGGTATGCAGAAGCCAAACCAAACTGTTAACTTCGATTTTAACATATTATAACAACGTTTTGTTTGACTTGAAAAACAAAGTTTTCCATATTTATACAACAAAAAGAATAACAGAAACCGTCCGAATAAGAAATAGAAAGGACACTCCTTCGCTCAAAGGAATCAAATCCTTAAAAAAAAAAAAAAAGCAGGCAAAAAAAAAAAACTATAATAACTACTTAGGTCTGACATATTCGAGTGAATTATCAAAAAGAAATGTACAAAATTTAAAAATCCAGACATAGGAGGTTATCAAAGAAGAAGAACAACAGAGAACAGTTTCACTAACTAAAATATGTGCGCAGAAAACATAAATTAAAAAATATAACGGAAAAAAATGAAGAGAACCGAGTAGGGTTTCGTTTCTCTTTTTCAAAATGACCCCAAACTTTTATTTTAGCTACTTTTAGTAATGAAACATGATCATTGATTGGTATTGAATAAGCTTATTTTTTATTGTTGGCATTTAGCTAGTACCTAGTCAAGCATTATTGAAATTATGGTGAGTAATTTCTAATGATATCAACTATTTATTTCCTTTCAGAAATATAAATGTTAGTAAGATAATTTCAATGAAAAATCACAAAAGCAAACTGAATCAACCAGCTTGATCCAACGTGTTTCGGATTGGTTCTTCCAATTTTGTCTGTTTAGATAGTTTCTTTTTTCTTCTTTGTTGAATACAACTTCTTATGGGTTACATGAACCAACCAACTTTAACCACTACATTTCATCTGCATATCCTAGCCACTTGGGGGACATATAAATGTGGGCCAATATATGATTAAAGTTGTCTTCTTGGTGCGTCAAGAAAATACAAATGTTAGTGTGCTGGCTCATTGTTATACTGATACACATGAATCACAGTTTTGTTAGTTAAGGTATATAATATTTTAAAAATAAAATAACTGCTATCCAATATCATAGTGTGTTTTGTTAATACACATGTTTACACGCCCGTGGTGTGTATAATCATCTCCAAAATTTCTTTTTGATAACTTAAGAGTAGGGTTAACGAGGTTCATGAGCATAAAAGAGGTGCGAAGGGTAGGGTTAATGGACCAGGTTTTGTGAGAGTGATATCAGAAAAACTTCAAAAAGAAGACAATGGCACAGAGCAGAAGCTCAAAATGGTAAGTGGGGTATCCCATCATTTCATGTCACATGCATTTTTGAGGTGAGGACAACATATTGCTTGGGCCAGTTCGTCAGACACTAGCTTGCTTCTTTATGATCATCACTTTTTCAATTTTTGAGGTCCCCTTCTACATATGATAGACTTCAGCAAAATGCCCCATCATCTTATTCATCATCCATGCCATATATTTGGTTTTCCATTAAAAAATAATCTTTATATATATATATATATATATATATATATATTAAATTACACTTTTTATTAAGAACTTATGATTAAGAGTGCGTTTGAAACAGCTTATAAAAAAATTATAAAAATACTTTTTTTTTTGTAATTTTTTAAAAACTGGTGTTAATAAGTATTTTTTATATAACTTAATAATATTAACTCTTTTCAACTTATACTAACAACTTTTACCATCAAATCATAAGTTGTTATTTTTTTTTAAGAAAATATTGAGCTAGTAACCCTTTAATTAAACTACTTACCTGAAAGCAACTTAACTTAAATTTTAGCACTTATTCTAGGTACATTTATGATACAAAACTAATGTTATCAAAATTAATTCCATTTAACCTCAAATCAAATAATAATAATAATTCTTAATTAGCTTAGCACCGGTGGCAATTACAAGATTTATAAGTGCGAATGAAAGATTGTGAATCTGACGCCACTTTGATGAGTTACTAATTCTTCTATCTAGTTACTTCCACAGTCAATCTAATTCAAGCTGCCAAGAGTTATGCTGCCGCTGCATTGTCCTTTTCCCATGAATTTTCTGAATCCAATTAGCTGGTTATCATTGTACTTTCTCAAAACTCCAATTAACCGCTCATAGTATGTTTGAATTCATATTAATATATTTACGCTTATTTTAACGTTACTGAACATCAGTTTTTTGTTAATTTTTTATTTATAAATTTTTTAACGTACGAGACTCAAAAATAAAATTGTTATAGAACCGGCAAGAAAGGGGAGCAATGTGATCAAAACCAATTGTTTGAGTGGGGGGTATGTGTGGTTAATTTCAAGCCTTACGTAAAGCTCAACACCTTCCATAAACCAAACCGAGAGATGATGTTATACAAATGAAAAAATGTAGATTAAAATAACAGCTCTGCATAACTTTTTTATTGAAAAATGTTTTTATTAGATCAAAAAGTGAAAGTTTTTATCAAAAGATATTATTAATAACTCTTTCATAATTTTTCATGTATTTTGACGTAATTTTTAAGGTAATTAGTTAGTGTACTCACCCTAGTCTCTCATGTTTGAATTCTTATTGGAACGAGTATAAATCACATTTATTTAAATGCATTTTTAAAAACACACACCACACACATATTGTGTGTGTGTATATATATATAGAAATGTATCTAATGAAAAGATCATTTGAAAAAAAAAACCTGACATATGTTTTAATATTTATCATGGTAAGATTTAATAATCAAAGTTTATTATTTTCACTTTTTTAAAAAAAGTTCTAGCCAGTTGATACGCTTCCTCCTGTATATGTATATATTTGTCGTGCTAAGTGAAATTTAGAATATTTAATGCAAAGGCACACAAAATATTGAATTAATGGAACAAGGTGACAAGACTGATCTGATAAAGAATCGGAATCCCAAGTTATTGGAGATGGACAAATGCAAAAATTCAAAGATCAAGCTTCCTTGGAACTCAACTACAATGTCATGTCACATGAAGCATGGCTTTAGTATTTGATAGGATGAGTTTTCTTGTTGAAGAGGAACTGCCATTTTGGACAAATCAGATTTCTTGTTTGGATGCAACATGCAAGAAGCTATCAATTAACCAAAATATATATGGAAAACAGAGAAATGGTCAAGCAAGTTTCTTTAACTGTTTACTTGTCATTATGTGTTGAGAGTTGAGAAAGGAAAGGAAAATGGCAACATATACTTCTCTCACTGCCTCAGTGATCTCGTGGGAATCCAGTAGGTACTACTGAATTTGTTTGGTACTGTAGCAATAGATTTTGGACTTATCCAGGTTCTTGACCAGATTATTTCTCGAATATTATATACGCACACATGTAGTTTAATTTTTACAAAGAAAAAGTTTTAAAAATTCCCTTTGTAACATTAGAATTTTGAAACAATCCTAATTGCACATAAATAAGAGAACTAAAAAGCCATGCTTAAGCGTAAAGCTACCTATTGGTTAAATTCCAAATGAATATATAGGTAATACAAATTAGCATGATATAATCTGTATGCAAGATTAAAAACCCCCTGATTTATTCCTTCAAAGTAATAATCCTTCAACAATTTTGGTTTTTAATTTAGTTTCTCAAAATTTTGTGGAGATGTAATATGATGACAAGTTAATTATTTAAGAGACTAAATGTGTGTGTGGATTCGTGTTTAGATTGTTATAGATCTAAGTTTATTTCAAAGTTACTAGTTGTAACTTATGTGAAAAATTCACATTTATAAGTTTTTTCTCGTGTTTCCAAATACGCACTAAGGTGCCAGCAAATTCTAACTTAGACTTTTTAATATAAATGATTGTATCATATTCCTTTTCCTTGCTGGTGTTCAAGTGTTTGTATATATTCACATTTGCTGCATCATGAACGGGGACAAAACTGCTCTTAGAGAAAGTAGAAAGTATGGACCATGAGCCATTGTTGAGGATCCAAGTAGGAGGGTACAACAACCACCTTTTTAGGGAGTGGTATTTAAGGAGCAAAGGGAGAGGGGACCATTTTGTTTCATAGGTTTTGTTCTACTTGAAATGAGCAAATGATGAGGAACTAGGGGTGAATGAAGTACATGTATATATGGGGAAGAGTGATGAAGAGGCAAAGAGGAGCTCCTTTCAATCCAATACGAAGGGCTGAGGAGAGGCAAGAGCTGTCATCTCATGCATTCGGCTACCCTTAATGTTTGTGATCACAATCACAAAGGTCTTGCATGGCAGCTCCAAATTGCACTATTTTCAAATGTTAAGTTTGGCCAGGTGCATGGTGTGGGAGCAACTCCACCCGCCTGCTTAGCCCTACCATTGGATTGAAGGGAGCTCCAAGTTCCACCTTTTTTATGACTCAGTTTTCTTTTGCTTGCAGACCATGTTTTCTTTTATCAAGGATAACCTTAGTTACAGCCTCATCTTTATACTGTTTCAAGCTCTTTTAACAGGTTTGTTCTCTCTCATTCTTGTTATCGCGTCCCATTTTCTTCTCGTTCATGTATATATTCAGTTTTTCAAAGCTTTGCATGGTAAGCCAACAGATATCTACCCACAAAACAGCAACATGCGTTTACTTTGTTACAAGACATTTTGGCCAGAGACAGGATCTTTCAGCTTAAGAACTACCAGTCTAGCACCAAATAAAGGTGGAGGGGTCGTACAGTTGTTTTGAATGTAACATTTGGCCAATGAATCTTCTTGTTTAGGTTTTACTGTACATGTTATTGGAACGGCTAAGCACTAAAGGGTCACTCGACGTGGTAACTATTGTCGTTTAATTATTAGGTACTATCATGAGATTCTGGTTCTCCATTGCTTCATTTTATTATATATCTGTTATCATTGAATTATTAGGGAACTGTCATTCATATTAGGAAAAATTCAATGATAAATGTGAGTAGAGAAACAATGCAAGTGTAATTGACCTTTTATATCATCATTCAACGGTCAACAATACAATGTCGGAGTAATAGGCCCAGCAAACTGTAGGGGAAAAAGACTGAGGGAAGCCATTCTTTTGTAGTTTGATTCCTACCACAGTCTTAATTCCAACACCACCATTGATTATATCACTCAAAATGGTCATCTACCTATTGCTCCTATTCACATGCAACAGTGACACGATCAACATCATTGCTGCAGAGATATTTGGTATTTTCCCTTTCGAAGAGTGTCGGTTTGGGTGAAGAAAATTCTTGTCACCCTAACAAATTCAGAATAACAGTGAAATTTCATGCTCAACAAATTTAGTATGGTATTAATCATACTGCTGAATATCAGGAATGGAATAGAGGGCTCGTGCAATCTTATTATTAAACAGGCACTCGTCATAACAGATAATAAGAACTTATTCCATAAACTAATGTATTTCTGCTCATAGCCTTTCCATACTTGTTTATATTGAAACGGTAACAAGCAACAGAAGCCTAATAAGCCAAGCAAAAATAGAGACCCGGCCAAAATACAGTTGTGGTTCACAGGAAGGTTGAGTAACGAAAAATAACAAGAACACAATAACTGCAACAAAGGCACTCCTTCACCTAGTATCTGATTTTGCAATATAATCAGTTGGGTAATCAATCTTTCCCTGAAAGAAGACCAAAACTTATTTTCAGAGAAACAAAATCATTGAACTAATGTAATATTCTTTTGAAACATAATATATTACAACAGTCAATTATGTAAATGACATTAGACATTAAGATTCTAATTTGATCAATTATTAGTAAAACATTGTTGCATTCATCAAATTAACCAAGCAGATGTTCCTGACCAAACTTGTCAAACAACTCCAAGTATTAGTTCTAATCAATTTAAAAACACTGCAATGGGCCATCACTCAAAGGTACAAAGTTGGGAGGAAGGGTGGGAGGTTAATCAATCAATTAGGATATCTTCTTGTTGATACTCATTAACAACAAAGCATTTTAAGCAATAAGTGCGCCATCTTTCTTTTAATTATACTTCTAGAGTAAATGAGCGATTTTCCTTACTGTCATACCACAGTTGTTAATCTCAGATAACAGTACATTGTGGATGACCCTCAAAACGTTATGGCGGGACAGCGCATATAGTGGGATAACCTATTTTAAAGTTTTTTATATGGATATAAAATATATACATATGCAGATAATTATGTATATAATGCTAAAAAAATATGCATAAACAGCATATGAATAATTATCAACAAAAGACAAAGAGGAGAAAGAAAGTGGATTTTCCAGGAAAACATAACGGAGGCAGGACTGTAGAATCATAGAATAGAGAGAAGAAAGGAATTGAATTTTGCCAGAGAAGTCATCAAAGATGAGTGACTTCACTGGATTAGAGATTCTTGCAAAGCAGAACTGAGACAGAGATGAGAGGAGGGAGACGAAAAAAAATGGAGAAAAAGTGAGGTTCCGTCATGTGTCTCCAGTTGCAAAGCAGAACAACAACAGAGATGAGAGCATTGAGAGGAACAGGTGTGGAAGAGAGAAAGGAAGAAGAAAAATGAGGGGAAAAGTGAGGTTAGGTCTCAAAATTGAGAAGACTATTTTACCCTTAAAAAACCTCTAGACTGTTTCATCTTATGGGCAAAAAGGAAAAATCAGCTTATTTCTAGAAGATTAGAAGTCTTTTTTACCATTAAAAAAGACTAAAATTCCTTTGTTTTGAGGGTAGAAAAGGAAAAACACTCCACTATGCCAAATCTGTGGCAGCCAAAGGCCGCTCCATCACACACTGCAGCTATTGTCCGCTATTGACAACTGTCATACTAGTCATCTGCAACAATGTTAAATGAAGAAACAAGAGGATCTATACTGAGGGGTTTAAGGTGACAAAAATCAAATCACGACCCTCTCTAGAAAACTACTATTTTAGATCTATATCTTGGTATAGTTAAAATGGCTAAACAGCATTACATCCTCCCACAAAGTGTAGGGTGCTCAACAAGTTGCTGTTGACTATCAAAACTTTGAATAAGGAACTCAAATTCTTGAAAAGCTGGAAACATGAACAGTCAAAAGTAATATAAAGAGATTTCTAGTCAGCATGGACTTCTTCATTTGCAAGTATTTTTTTTTTTTCAGTAGGATTTGTTTAAGAATAATTCGTATAAAAAGATTGAAAATGATAGAAATGAAGTTTGAAATTACCTTTTATTTATCCACAAGGCAGTCATTCAGCCTCAACTGCCTCAACCTTTGGGCCTGGTTCAGAAAATTGAACAAGGAATTATCACGAAAGCACCAATGGGCAGAGAGAGGACAATTTACTATAATTCAAAATTCTATTAAGGAAAACTCAAATAAATTCCACATGTTTAGCTTGTCACAAAATCAAAATAAGCAGGATCCAGTAAAAAAAACTAATGGCAAAAGCTTCATATGTTTGAAATACATATGATAGTTGAAAATAACAAAAGAAAAAATACATGTTCAATTTCTTTTTTTCTTTTACAAAATTCTTTCAACAGATAATAGTAGACTAACTATCGATCAATGAGAGCTAAATGGAATCACTACATTCACTTTTACTTCATCTTAAGATGCAATCACTCCACACATAAAGAGAATGATCAAGCTGAGTGGAATCAGAGTTGCAATTCCAAAACTCACATCCTTTTGCACTCAAAACAAAACTTTTACACACAGCAAACCAATATAGATCAAATTCTGAAATTCGACCTGCGATGCAAGATTAAATGCAAAAAAGCCAAAAAAAAAAAAGGCTAAAATTTTGCTTCCATGTCAAATTATCTTTTCTTCCACGAACTTCATCACCCCAAAATCACCTTTCGAACAATGGTTGACAAAACACCAAAACATGAGAAAAATCACTCACACCCCACTTGATAATTCGGAAAAAACCCTTGTGCATTGAACACGAAAAATAAAATCCTTATAAACAGCATACCAAACTGTTCAATCCTAATTCTGCAAGAGGGGCCGGGGGGATACAAAACGACACCCTTTTATCACTGAGCAACCAAAAACCAAAGCTACAGAGAAATTACACACATCCCACTCAACAATTCGCTTAATTATACTAGATGAGCTATAATGGCATCACCCCATTCACTTAATCAAAACAAAAAGCCCTTAAAAACATCGAACCAAAATAAATAAACTTTTGATCATCAAGCAACGAATAACCACAACTTGAGAAACATTGCACACACACACACACACACAGAAGCAACGAAAAACTGAAACTTGACAGAAATTACATAGAGCCCACTTCAAAATTCGCAAAACCCCACATTGAAGAATGAGAAATGAAGAAGAATCGAACCGTGGAGGGAGGGGTGACGTCCATCTTTGTTCCAACCAATGCCACGAGTGGATTCGAGGTATTGTTGAACGAGGTGGCGACACTTCTGAAGGTGGTTAACTCCTTCGATGCGATAGCACCATCGAACCTTCTCCCTAAGAATCTTCGCCTTCTCGATTTGGATCCATTTTTCCCTCACTATGTGTTCCCTCATCTCCAACATCGCGACCGGATCCTTGTACGGATTCGCCGGATCGAAATCGTCCGGCGGCGATTCCTCGAACTCCACATACCCTTTCTTCCTTCCCATTCTCCTCTTCTCTCCTTCCCCAACTCACTTCTCTTCTCAACTCTGCTTCTGCTTCTCTTCTCATTCATAACTCACATTTTGGGCCTTCTTATGGTTATAGGCCCAAATAAACACCACCAACTAGCTTCTGTTTTACATTAGCCCATATTTCATGACCAAAAAAAATAATTTCATGACCGTATATATATATATATATATATGGCCATATTATTATAAAAAATATTTATGTCGTTTTTCTTGGTATTTATTTTGTTCCTTTTTATTTGTCACTTTATAAGTTCAAGGAAATGTTTATTAATTTTTCTTATTATATCACTACGAAAGGAGTATATCATTTCCTCAAAACGAGGGCATACCAATCATTCCGTAATTGTTAGGAAAGTCCTTAAGGTAATTGGAATGCATTGTAACCTCGTCTTATTGCTATAGATGAGGTTCTTCTGTCACTTAAATTTTCAGCTCTTAGCTTTATTTCAATGCATACAAAATTCCACTCAATTTCATTTCCATAAAATCAACTCCAAGTTGAGTTATTGCCTTTTGGTCGCTTTTGGCTTGCTACCATAATTTTGGTTGAATAGGATGTTAGTGTTGACACCATTTTCTGCAATTCAACGTTGCAAGATTGCCCATGTTAGAATCTCATCATATTTTTGCTACCAACATTTTGCTTGTCAACAATATAAAATGAGAAAACTTCAATGTAATACTATAAACACTATTGATGTCATTTGCCAATAAAGTTAGGATTTTATTTTAATAATCTGTAAAATAATATTCAATATTAAAAATTAGTATGTATTTTTAAAATAAAACTTCACTTCTCGGCACATCAATAATACTTTTAATTCTCACCAAAACATTATTCTATAGAACACTCTTATCTACAATATGAGCTAACATGTAATATAAAAAACACTTCTATAAACAATTGCACAGTGTACATGTAAAAAATCTAAAACTTGAATCATAAGTAAAAAAGGGGTGAGGGATAAAACATAATTCACCACCTATCAAACATCGACATGAATGAACTAGTCCAAGGGATCAATCTCTAAATGTGGCAACATCAAAACCAATGATGTTTTTACTTTAATTTTTTCATAAGATCTCACCCCAAAGTCAACTCAAGCTCCAATTCTCCATCATCAGCTGGTGTTGGCTCCACAATCTCACCAAAGTTACTGTCACCTTCTCCACCAATGCTTTTGTGTTCGCTCACCCGAGTCACCCCAGACCCTGAATCACGACTCACTGAACCTCCTAACTCACTTCCAGAATCAGCCACTCCCACCAACTCAGCCACACTTGAGTCTGCTTTCAGCTTCTTGGCTCGGCGCTTGAACTGGCTTGTCCCTGACTTCACCTTGTGGTGTCCATCAGAGCCGCGTGACTTCCCACTCTTCACCGCGTGACGAATATCGCAATCCTGTGGCTGAAGGCTTACGGAGCCATCCAAATGATCTTGTTGAATCGGCGCGCCATTAAGGACGGCTTCCGCTGCAGCTTCACAGAGGTGCCAACTCCCAGCCAAGAGCAACCCAGCCGAGCCAAAAATTGGGTTCACGATTCGACCACAAGCTTCGTAGAGCAAAGATTTGAAAACATCTAAAACAAAACAAGGTAAAAATTAGGTGCAAGAAAAATAAATTCTCTTACAACTTTTAATGGAGTATTTTTTTTAAATGTTAATATATTTAATTTTCATTAATTAATCAATGAAAAAACATTATAAGCCATCTTGTAGATTAAATCTTAACGTTAAACATTACATTTTATTTTATTGTAAAAAAATTTAGAATTACTATTTAGTACGAAAGAATTTCACACAAATTCTACGAGGAAATGAAGAGGATTAAATTTTTAAAAAAAAAGTTAATACAAAACTCCCAACTTTAACCAAATTCATGCCAAGTTCTTCTTATACACTTTTCTTTCCGTGCATTTTATAATATTTTTTATACCAATTAATAAGCAATTTTCAAAAAACATAACATTAATAAGGTGTATGCTTGATTTCTTAATATACATACATGTATATAGGTGGAGGACAAAAGAACTACTTCAAAAGTATCTGATGTAGTAATATATCTAACACTCAAATTTGATATGACTAACTAAACTATAACAAATTTGTATAGGTTGGTCCATGGAATGAGTAAAAAAGTAAAAGAAAAAAATGATGATGTTTTTGGTAGGTACCTGGTTGGAGTTGTGAAGGAGCAGTGGTGAGGAGGTTGATGAGGGCTTGGCGGCCATAGAACTTAGCAAGGAAGAGGGTGGCGTTGGATTGAGAGTTTGGTGATTTGATCCAATGGAGAGAGGACCCAATGGGGCAATTTGGGTTGCAACCTCTTCGGAGAACACGGCACCCATTGCAGCTCAAACGCATGCTTAAGTATCTATTGTTATGATCACAGATATTTCTGAATGAGAACTCACCAATTGCAAGGAAAATGAGAAAGAGTTCTGATTTTATAGTCACAAAAGTGTGGTTTGAACATATAGATACGGCGCAGTTGGTTTTGGTTCCAAGATAATGGAATGGTAGTTTTAGGAATTGAAGAGTGTGGTTTTGTGTTGAATAATGGGAATTAAGGGACCCACGTTGGGTGAAGAATGAATGAAAGAGTTATGATTTATGAACACAATTCATGCAAGTTTCCCGGTTTCGTGGAGTTCCGTACAAGTGGTTTTGGAAAAACATAAATCTTTGTCGCCCTTTGTTAGCATATATGTTTGATTAAACCCTCTCCAATTCCTGTTTATTAAATGTTTAGTTATTTTATGTTTGATTGCATGAATAAACCAAATTTCAATTTTATACTTTTTTAATGGATTTTTTTTTAAAATAAGTTTTATACTAAAGATGCGATCGATTCTCTCTCTTTTTAATTTAGTTTGTATTATGAAGATATTTTATCAAATATTAAATTTATAAAATTAAACATACTCAATGAAGAGAAATGCAAAATGATAATGAATATTCAAGTTAAAACTCTAGTTTCATATGTTTTTATACATTCACAATATAAGTTTTTAATTATCAATTAATTATAAATTAGTATAAATATGTTTTTTAAAGTAATTATTATAAAAGATAATAAGTTTATTGATATAATAATTTATAGTCGATTAGCAATATAAAAAAATTATATTATCAATACTTTTTAATTAAATATTATTGTTTTTAAACCATTCAAGTATAAGTTCTAAATTTGATTTATTAAAAGAAATAAGTATAACATTAACACTTTTTTTTTTTTTTTATCACAATTCAATCGTGGACGATGCGGGTTGAATTAGAAATCATCTTGTGAGACTGAATATTGGGTGATGATAAATATTATATAAATATAATGTGATATTTAACTGTATTTCACATGTTCTTTTTTTCTTTTTGCTAGAATTCACATGTTCTTTTAATTTTTATTCTTAAAGTTTTTATATTTATATAAACGAAAAGTAAAATAAATAATAATATTGTATCATGTCTATCACAATTAATTTGTAATATTTAACTTTTTTTAAAGTTAATATATGTATATGTTTTGACACGAATTCTATCATCCGTTTGTTGTATATTTATCAAAATTGGTCATACTTTTACATCCATCAATTTTGATTCAATACTATGTGAATGTTTATATTTATAAGCATCATCAAATTTAATTTAAGATCTTATAAAAAATAATTTTAGTACATGACTTTGATAATCATTAATTAATAAGTTAATATAGCCTATCGAATTCACAATGATCATTAATTTGATTATTGTATTTGAAAAACATCAATAATATATTATCTCTATTCTTATTTATTTATTTAGAAAGAAACAAAATTTATTCTTACTTATCTATTTATATAAAAATTTAAAAAAAATATTTTTTATTCTTTTTACTAATACTCTTTCATTCAAGTAATGTAAGAGCTAATAAAAGATAAATAGAAAAGCTTTACAATTAATTTCAATAAAATGATTACCAATTTTAAAGATTATTTTTAAATATTTATAAAACATAAATTTGTTAAACTCACATTTAAATAGTAACATGGATTGGAGACAGTGGGCGGTGAGGGTGGTTTTGCAAGCTTATCCAGTAAACGCGTAGACTGCATCTCTCTCTCTCTCTCTCTCCCATTAGAATTTGGAATCTTCCACTTTTTCTGTGTCTGCATACCCAACCTTCTCTATTCCTTTCACACACACATGTCAATTTATGTTCTCATCTTTCATATTATTACTATTATTATATATAATTTTAATCCTTTTCTTTCATCATACTTTATTACAAAATTGGTGTGGAAAATATATATCAAGCATGCTTTGGTATGTTGATAGCACGGGTGAGCAACTACTAGAGGCCCAACTCAAATTGATAACTTTGAAAAAAAAAATATTTAAATTTATTTATTTATTTTTATCTGACCTAATCATTGAACACTTTCTCATTATTCATAACTTTAGTCGTCAAATCTTTCTTTTATGTTCTTTGAGTGAGCTTGCTCTTTCTAGTTCTATCTTTACTTTTATTATTGAAACTATATGTGTTTTCTTGGTTTTGTACATTAATGATGTTAGAATAAAGTATAAATAATTTTACATGAGATAGAATATGAGTAATTTAAAGGTCTATAAAAAGAAGGACCCATGAGGAATTTAGGGTTTATAAAGAGAAAGAATCATGCACTTATTGTCTTAAAGTTTTGAGTTATATTGTGGTATCTACACTTTAAAGTTCCTTCTTAGTCTTCCCTCTCTCAACAAATGTAAGGAAGTTAATAGGAATTTGATATACACTTTTAGATGTTTCTTCACAACCTCACATGATAACTCTAAATCCTGTTATGATAATTCACATGGTGGTTGTTGTGATGGTAGTAGAGATATAGCTTTGGTAGTAATAAATTGTGATTTTAGTGCTCATGGACAAAGCATAATCCATTTTCATTATCCTCTATTAAAAAAGCTTGAGATTTTTAAAGTACTCACAAAGATAATTACTTTTGGATTGGACAGTTTTAATTGCACTATATCGTTGCCAAACCCTAATTCATAGCCATTATAAAAGGATAAAAATAAAAAAAATGTTAATTGGAATATATTAAAAGAAATAAAAACACATCAAATAAAAAACACCCATTTCTCCCTACTAAAATAAGTATTAAACTAATTACATAATTAGATTATGTCTCCTAAATATCTATGTACAATAATAAGTAAAAGGTGATTGATTGTTTGGCGCCTTCAAATTAGGGAGAACATGATGCTTTATGCTCTTTCATACATAGAATATTATTATTAATTTTATATTCAATATGTATAATAGATAATAGAATTAATGATTTATTTTAAAAAATATAAATATTTTTCAATTTATAAATATTAAAAAAATTACAACTATTAATTTAAAAAGAATATACAATGTTCTCTTAAATTTACGAGTACTATAATAAATATTGGATAAATAATACGCTGTCATTTTTTTTTATTGAATACATGTATTTTAATTTCAAATTAATATGAATTTGCAAAGAGACCCTCAAGATTTATATTAATTTTTTAAAATATCAAAAACAACTCCTACTTGAGCTTTCTGAAGACAGTATAGTTATTTGCCATAAGAGTAGAATATTTTGTAAAATTTATGTGCTTAATCTTCCATAACATAAATAAAATGGTAAAGTTGTTTGCTTATAAGCGACTCAAATTTAAGAAACAAGGCCCAAATTTTTAAATTGGTCTGCATCTTGTACCGTCTTTTCACTGTGAATAAAATTTTAATTCTGAAAGCTTTCAATATTCTGATCTTTGGATGCAATATTAAAATAGTTTATTGTTTAGTATATTGTGATAATTGATATGTGCTTCAAGTCATTACAACCCTTGGTACTCAGAGATTAAATATTGTTGAAGTTGCAAACCGTAGACATTGGTTCTTGTTCAGATCAATCCTTCTCCTAACTCAAATTGAACATAATAAACAAAAGATTCAATATTTCATGGCTACTAGGAACATGAGATAGGTTGTTATTCGACAGAAGATGAAATTGAAGATTACAACATTCCTCTAGGATTCAATTTTTTAACAGAAATCTCAATGGATTTAATCCGAATGAAAGTTTACAAAGGATAAATTTGTAAGTATAAATAGGTTAGATTTTGAAAAAAAAATTCTAAATGCACTTTTAAATACAAAGGCACTAGAGAAAATACTTAAGTAAAGAAGTAAAGAAAATTATTAAAAAATAAGAATGCAAACAATCTCTAATTTTATGATAAATGAATTTTCACTTTACATTTAAAGTATATATAGACAAAAAATTTTATGTATTTTTATAAACAGTTTAATTAATATTTAGAGCTTGTTATATAATTTTTTTGATTAATTATGAATTTGATTGAAATAAATTACAAGTTACACATAAAAAAGTCATGAGTCGCTTTCTTAAATTCAAATAAGTTCCATTAATATTCTTTAGTTATTCCCTGATTTATAAAAACAAATGTATAATTTTCACTTAAAAGAGACTTGCCTTAATTTGTCTTGTAATTTGTTTCCATGTTTCTTTTATATTTTTAGCATCTGAAGAAGTTTGCATTTGACTCTTCAAAATTAAATGCACTAGCTATGGCATTTTTCTTCAAAGTACGTTTTCTTACACTGAAAAGACATTCCTTCAACACCCCAACAAAAATGAAACATAAGCAAAGAAGAACCAGTGTCAATTGAAAAATGAATTGGTAACTTAACTTTCTCCTTGAAATGGCAAGAAGAGAGAACATTCACCTATGTTGTTATTATTGTTGTGGAAATCGTGTCAATGTTATTTGTGAATTAGAATGCACTATGTTTAGTTTGAAAAAGAAATTAGAAATAATAAAAATTGAAGAAATTGTACTATATAAAATTAGACAAAAAAAATTGAATATAAACTCTCCACACGTAATAAAAATTTAGACTAAAAATTATAAATTTTCTTAGCTTTTACAATTGTAGATATAAGAAGTTATATATAATAAAATTTTATAAAAATTATAATATTTAATACTATTAATACATTAAATTCTATAATTTTTAATAATGATCTGTGATATATAATTTATTATCTTATGCAATATTATAGAAATTAAAAAAGAAATTATAAGTTAAAAACAGCCTACAATGGACTAAGGTATGGCAAGCACCCACCACACCATAATTTGCATGCATTGGTGTTTTCTTCCGCTAATACGATTGTGATGCAGAGTGTTGCTCTCCTATTTTCTCGGAGCCCCTTTTCTTTCTCTCTCACAAATCCAAACAAAAAATTTCCTTAATCATTTAAATTAAACATAACTATATTTACGTAGAAAAATCCAATCCATGTTTTTCTAACTTTACTCAACTCTCCCTGCAGCAACAACATCGGATTCCATGTTATTATCTTCAAAGGTTTAATTGTCATGCATCATAGGTGGTGCCTTCCCTGCATTCTATTGTATAATTTAATGATTTAATTCATAGTATATATCAATACCACTCATGATTCTTACTGTTGATTTTAATTGGATATATAAATTTTAGGTTTCAAGAGTTTCTTGGGGGATATGATAATACAATGGAAATTTCCATGAAACAAATTTCCTTGTACGTATGAAGTTGTGCTTTGTGCCTCAAGGAATCACCTAGTGATGAATCCATCATATAATAAACACACTACAGAACCCAGAGACCTGGGAATTTCAAGTGCCAACTACAATGGAATTAACTCGGCTCAGAAGAATCTTTTGTCCCAGTCAAAGTTTCAACGTGTTTTGCATAACCCAGTTGAGGGAGGTATATATGGTGGACTTCAACTAGCCCTATTCTTTCTTTGTGTGTGTGTTTTGATGCATAGGAAGATATTGAGATATGCATGAACCTGCAATTTTTTACAATTTTTTAATCACTATTGACATGAAAATTTATAGGTGTTTATATCTACACATTTCCCTAACAAAGGAATGTGTAAGGAAAAGGAAGTTAAGAAAAACACTCAATGAGGTTTTATCTGTCCAAACTAGGCTCATGATATGTGACTTGCACAGTAGCTATGTTTGTGCATAAAAGCAAAATTTGAGGTTGCAAATTTTCATTTTTATTTGCATGGTACACTATTTTTGTATACTTTGTTTATTAATAATAAGACAGGTATGCTAGAAATACATTTATCTTTACTTACATTCGAATTTTGTGATTCACTAGAGTAATTGATGGTGTTTTGTTTTTGTGGCACTCATTTGGTATCTTTTTCTTTTGCAGAGCCATCAAGTACATTTATGAATCAAGTAGGTCATAAGTTGCCTGAGGTGATTCAACTAAAGCATGGAAACTACTCAGATCTTCCTCATGCAAAACTTTCAGAACTGATAAAATCAACCAATGTGGATGTAAACTCTCATATTCTTTTCATAACCTTCAGATTAGCACCATTTATACACATTTTTCTAGTTCTTTGCATCACTGATTTGTTTCAGCATTTACTGATGCAGAATGCTCCTACACAATCACTTTTAAGTGTTGTAAATGGTATCCTGGAAGAAAGTGTTGAAAGAAGAAATGGCGAAATACCTCATGTATGACGATGCCCTTGAAGGCTAGCTATGGTGTTACATTGTACATAAAATCATAAATGCATTCATGAAAAGTACACGTGTACAAGTCCATGAAAATTGTCTTTCACATACATGTGTATAAGGTTTCAAGTGTATGGTCTAATAAATCTTTGCATCTCAGCGTGTGGCTTGCTTATTGAGAAAAGTTGTTCAAGAGATTGAGAGGCGTATATCAACTCAAGCTGGTCATTTACGCACTGTATGTTGTGACAGTGACATTATTTTCAAAAGCTAGTTAACCTCGTTTATCTCAGCTGATTTTGTTACATCATTTTATTGTCCTTTGCCTTCAGCAAAACAATCTTTTCAAGGCTCGTGAAGAAAAATATCAATCAAGAATCAAAGTGCTTGAGGCTCTTGCATCTGGAACAAGGGAAAAGAGTGAGGTATCACAAGTAGTTTTAGCTAGTCATAATGTTACAAGTGAATTAATGGATCCATTTTAAATTCACTAGAACTTTGTATATTGGAACAAACTTTTCTGTTTGACTTAGGTAACTTTTTGTAACAGATTGCTGTTACAAGCCAGCATCAGCAGTTAAAGGTAATGTTTTCTCACTTTGCAAGCAACATATCTATGCGCTTGGAGAGATGACATGACAAGACCATTTGTTCTTCTAAATTTTTGTGTTTTGGTGCTGAAGAAAATAATGTTTAAATTGAATTATTTTCATTTGTTCACATTATGGGCTCTTTGGCCCCTCAATGCAGACTGAGAGGACTCGGAAGGAAGAAAAGAATGAAGATGAATCAAAACAAAGAGAGAAAACTATAATGGAAGAAAAGAAGGAAGATAACTCAAAACACATTGAGAAGACTGAAAAGGAAGAAAAAAAGACAGATAAATCAGTACAAACTGAGAAGACTAAAGAGGAAGAAAAGAGGGAATATGACAAAGAGGTTATTAGATTGATTAAAGAGATGGAGGATAAAAATATGGAAATTTCAAGATTGAAACAAGAGCTAGAAACTATGAAAAACACATATGAAGTTCAATGCTCAAAGTTGGAATCAGAAGCTAAGGATGCTAAAGTAACAACACAAATGGAAATTTCTAGATTGAAGCAAGAGCTTGAAACTATGAAAAATACATATGAAGTTCAATGCTCAAAGTTGGAATCAGAAGCTAAGGATGATAAAGGAAAAACACATGTGGAGGTTTCTAGATTGAAGCAAGAACTCGTAACTATGAAAAACACATATGAAGTTCAACGCTCAAAGCTGGAATCGGAAGCTAAGGATGCTGAAAGAAAATCACATTTGGAAATTTCTAGATTGGAGCAAGAGCTAGAAACTATGAAAAACGCATATGAATTACAATGCTCAAAGTTGGAAGAAGAAGCTAAGGATGCTAAAGGAACAACACATACTGAAATTTCCAGGCTGAAGCAAGAGCTAGAGACTATGAAAAATAAATACGAAGCACAGTGCTCAAAGTTAGAATCAGAAGCTATGGATGCTAAAGGATCAACACATACTGAAATTTATAGATTGAAGCAAAAGCTAGAAACTATGAAAAACACATATGAAGCACAGTGCTCAAAGTTAGAATCAGAAGCTAAGGATGCTGAAGGAACAGCACATATAGAAGTATCTAGATTGAAGCAAGAGTTAGAAACTATGAAAAACACATATGAAGCACAGTGCTCAAAGTTAGAATCAGAAGCTAAGGATGCTGAAGGAACAGCACATATAGAAGTATCTAGATTGAAGCAAGAGTTAGAAACTATGAAAGACACATATGAAGCACAGTGCTCAAAGTTAGAATCAGAAGCTAAGGATGCTAAAGAAACAGCACAAATGGAAGTTTCTAGATTGAAGCAAGAGTTAGAAACTATGAAAAACTCATATGAAGTACAATGCTCAAAGTTGGAAGCAGAAGCTAAGGATGCTAAAGGAGAACTGAAACAGAAATCAGAAGAATATGAAAATATGTTGGAAAAATTAAGAAATAAGGTTAAAGACAATGAGGCCCTTTCTGAGTCAAGATATCAAAAGTGGAAAATGAAAGAGAACCAAATCCGGAATGCTGTGAATTTTCAGTGTAGTTCCCTACAGGTAAACTTATACATGGGTGAATCTCCATCTTATTGTTATGATTTCAAATATTAAATTTTCTACTGAATTTTCATGCATCCAGAAATTGAAGTTGTCATGGGAATCCATTAAGCAAGAGGCTATGAAAGAGCAAATGGTTTATGTAGAGCAATGTAATCGATTAGGTATGCTTTTCCATTACATGTCATTTTTATGCTTCTTTCTTTTGGAGGGGTAAGCTCTGATCATTGTATTTTAACTTTTTCAGGTGTAAATCTTAAACCACTAGTAGATGTAGCTGAGAATTATCAAACAGTTCTTGCAGAAAATCGAAAACTTTTCAATGAAGTTCAAGAATTAAAAGGTGGCATTGTATGTGGTTGTCTAATAGGTAGTAATTGATTATGTATTGTGAATTCACATGAAACTTTTCTCTGATACAGGAAATATAAGAGTATATTGTCGAATCAGACCATTTCTTCCTGGACTTAAGGAAAAACAATCTATTGTGGAACACATTGGTGACGCTGAATTGGTTGTGGCAAATCCCTCCAAACAAGGAAAAGAAGCACTTAAAACATTTAAGTTTAACAAGATCTTTGATCCAGCCTCAACTCAAGGTTTATTTCTATATACTCTCCATTTATCATTAAGCTTTGAATGAAAGAACATTTTACATTATAGTAATACTAAGCTGTGTATGCATACTCCAATTTCTTGTTATTTGGGTTTGTTGACACTCATGCTGTATTAATCACTACTAATTTGAATGACGCAGCTGAAGTGTATGCTGACATACAAGCCTTTATACGATCAGTACTTGATGGGTATAATGTATGTATATTTGCTTATGGCCAAACGGGTTCAGGGAAAACTTACACAATGGTATTATAACCTTCTATACATAATGATTTTTATCTCATACATCATGGTAGTTGAAGTAACTCCTCATTCTATAAGATGCATTTTTTTCTCAGAGTGGTCCAAATAATGCAACAGGCGAGAGTGTTGGTGTTAACTATAGAGCTCTTAATGACCTCTTCAGCATATCCACAAGTAGAAAAAGCACCATAGTCTATGACATTGGGGTCCAAATAGTTGAGATTTATAATGAACAAGTGCGAGATTTGCTATCAGTTGATGCTTCTCCAAAAAAATATCCTTCTTCAATAGTTATGGACAGTTTATTTTTGCATACACTTCCTTCTTCTAGTCTTTATATTTTTTTCTTCTTTTTATATTCGTGTATTTCCTTGATTTGCACACACTTGGGATATTGAGTCACTCTCAACCAAATGGTTTAGCAGTACCTGATGCTAGCATGATGCCAGTTAAATCAACCTCAGATGTTATGAAGCTAATGGACATCGGCCTAAAAAATAGAGCTAAGGGTTCCACTGCTATGAATGAAAGAAGTAGCCGTTCTCACAGGTCTGTCTTTTCCCATTCCTAAACATTCAGTTCCCTTTGCTGAACATGACAGAACAAAATTTTATATCTAATCTTAATTTTTTGTATTTGTTTAAATAATAAGATACAATAAATTTATCTTATAGGTTTATCCTATCCATCTCTCTAGTGTAAATTTTATTGTCTAAGTTAGAAAAAGAAAAAATAACATAATGCTATCTTGTTTGCTGTCTTGATATGCAATAAACATAGGATAAGATAAGAGCTTATCCTACTCTTATTATATCATGTTCTTGTCTAACTCTCATATTTTATTATTTCTTATATTAACATGCTCAAAATTGAAAGATCTATAACTTTCTAGTATGATGACTTCAATAAACTTGTGTGCAGTGTTGTTTCAATTCACGTTCGTGGGTTAGATAAGAAGTCTGGTTCTACTCTTCAAGGTAATCTTCATTTGGTAGACTTGGCAGGAAGTGAAAGGGTTGATCGTTCTGAAGTAACTGGAGATAGGCTTAAGGAAGCACAACATATTAACAAATCACTATCTGCCCTTGGAGATGTCATTTTTGCACTTGCTCAAAAGAGTGCTCATGTACCATACAGAAACAGCAAGCTTACTCAACTTCTGCAATCATCTCTTGGTAAAATAATAGTTATTATTTGTTAATGTTATATGCCTTTCTTTGCTAGTGTTCTGTGAATGAAGAAAAATTCTTGAGTTGCTTCATGGATTTTGGATTTGTCTTCCATCTCCTTACTTCACAGGTGGTCATGCAAAGACACTCATGTTGGTCCAAATTAATTCAGACCAGAAATCTTATTCTGAATCTCTTAGTACTTTGAAGTTTGCTGAGAGGGTTTCTGGAGTTGAATTAGGAGCTGCAAGAAGTACCAAAGATGGTAGAGATGTCAGAGAATTAATGGAGCAGGTGCATAACCCTTGATTTAGTTGTTTTTCAATCATTTTATGAATGCATCAAATGCCTTCCAGTTTATCTAGTTTCTATATTCCTTTCTTTTCATTATGTGCTTTGAAATCAGAAGCTTATAAGACACTTATGTTTACTTACTATATGTTATGTTCTCATCATGAATTTCTTATTAAGACCTGTAGAAAGGTATCATAAATAATTCAGTTCTGCTGTTACTCTATACTATCTCTGTAGAAAGACAACTGGTTTAATTTGTTGACCAAGTTGGAGTTGACATCTCTCAAGGATTGTTTAAATTTTGTACCTGGCCTTTCAGGTGTCTTCTCTCAAGGATACCATTTTGGTTAAAGATGAAGAGATTGAGCGGCTACAATTACTTAAGGATCTGAAAAATGTTTATCCTAGTGGCAATTCTGAGAAGCCTGAAAATGCCTCTGAATGAGGTATGGATCTTCTTTTTCTAGTCGAAGGTTCATTTTGAAGTACCTTTTAAGAGAAACAAAAAACCTTAAAATGGAATCACAAAATCATTAATAAAACATAGAAACTCACAAATGTTAGAACTTCCAATGTTTTATTCAGTGTCCGGCAAGGAATTACTATACTTCATCTGATGATTTGTGTGCTTTCTTTAGACTCAAATTAAATTTTGTTATTTCATAATTCACCAAAGAAACTAATTTTTATTTAACATCTTATGGCAACTCCATGGTCTTTCAAAGTACTTATCTTTTTTCAAAAAAAATAAATAAATAGTGTGATGATGAAACTAATTGGAATTAAACATGTAAGCTTTTCCAATTATTCTAATATTTACTATATCCTACATAGGCTTATGAATGATATTCATCCTTCCCAACATCTAACAGACTCCATGAACATTTGTATGTAAAATTGTAAGTGTCGATTATTCCTGCACTTATATTTTCACAAATTTTTCATTTCAGGTGTTTAAAACAACTCCATAATTGGACACATTAAAGCTCGAAAACGGTAGCTGTAAAGTAGGAGGCAGTAGTTAAAATTTCATTCATAAAATGCTCGCAGTTATGCTTTTGCACGAACATAAAATACACACTCATTTTTGTAAATATAATTTACTTGATTGCTCTGACCCTTGATCTGTGGTTCAGGTAACAATTTTGTAAATATGGTAACCAATTTTGACTTTGTAATAATCATTTGAGGTTTGTATTTTTAGCCTCAAAACAAAGTACCCATGACTCTAACTAATAGCAATGACAATTGGGTTTGGTCTTGATTTGCTCATGCAAAAATAAATTTATATACTGTGTGTAGGGGTTTTACGTTTTAAATATGTTGGGACCTAGACCTAAATAATTGGTCTAAAAAATTATAGGATCTTGCTAAATTTGTGTCTTTAGAGCACTAGTTAAAGAAATGAAAGTGAAAATTTTTTATATTAAACTCCATTAAAAATTATGAAAAGTTCAGTAATAACATTTTTTGATAATTTTTTTAATTACTTAATCAGTGTCCAATTAGCATTTTACATTAAATAATTACCATGATATCCAGTTTTATGAGGTAACACCGTCATTAAGAAGACGTTAAAGAACATAAAAATAGTGTACTAAAGAAAGTTATCGGACAAATCTACAGCGTAAAAAATATATTAAAAATTATCATAAAGTTATATAATAAACATACTTTTTCTTTCTCGCCATTTAGTACTAATAACATAATTTAAAAAAAATAGTTTTACTAATATTATAATAAAATAAATTAGTTTCGTTATTAAAAGTATTGAACTTATTATAAAGTTGAGTGATAATAATAAAAATTAGAATTATTTTAATAAATAAAATCTACTGTACCTTTATAATTGAGTGTTTGATAATTTTTTTATATAAAAAATAATTTTAACCGTTATATATTGACAGATAATAGAGTTAATAATTTAATTTAATATTTTTTTATCTTTAAAATATGAAAAAAATTATAACTATTAATCTAAAAAAAATATAAAATACTCTTTTAAGATTAAATTAATAATTTGAGATGAACAAAAAATAATTAAATGACGTTTAATCTAAGAAAAAAAAAGAAAAAGAAAAGAAAGTGACATTAAGTTGTATGCGCATACAAATTTTGTTTCTGTAGTTTGCATGGTTTTAGATTCTCAAATTTATAAAATAAAAAATAAAAATATATATACTGATTTTAGAGAGGCAGAGTATATTTGATTTCTCTTTTAAAAAGAGTTTTTTTTTTTTTAAATATAGTATAAATTTATACTATATTTAAAAAAATTAAAAACTGTTTTAAAAATAGGAAACAAACATATCCTTAAATTCAATAAATACATATAAGGCAAAAAAATTAAATTTTTTTTTTTTTTTTATGTATTAAAGGGATTAAAAGGCAAAAACTCGGACAAAAGGAAGTTAAAATATCAAAAGTTCTTAATGCACAATTTAGAGACAAGCCATATCTAACAAAAGTATCAACCACAACGTCTCTTTCTAATTTTAAAATCATTCTTCATAAACTTTATAATTTTACAAACCAAAGCACAATTCACGTTTGAATATATATTAATTTATATTTATTAATTATAGTTTCGATGTTAAATTTATATTTACAAAATTTATAATGTATTTCCAAATATGCACGTAGCATGAATGACATGGTTTGCATACAACAACTAGAAAGTGGATAGCAATCTCTTTAATTTGATTCTACAATTATATTCCTAAATCCATAAAAAAAAATAATTTGCCCAAAATTAGCCTTTGTAATTGAAAATAAATATATTTTTTATATTTTCACACCCACTTTCTTACATTTATCTTTCATCCTCTTCTTCTTAATTTGTGTTTTATTTTTCTTTTTCTATCACATTATCAATAATATCTCTTACACTCTTTCTCTTCTTTTGTTTTTATTTTTATTTTCTTTTTTCCACCCAAAAAAGTGAGTGTAAACTCATTTTCTCCTTTAACAAATCCCAGATTAGAACAAAAAGGCAAATAAAAATAAACTCCACTTAGCAATTTAAATTATGAATCCTCTATTCCCCGCGTCTTGAATACCATAAAAAAAATTACCCAAAATTTAGCCTTGGTAATTTAATAAATACCCAAATTAAAAGAAAAAATCAATAAAAACTTTTTTATATTTAACTGCTCTCTTTTGAAAAAAAAAACGTCTAACTTAAGAAACAGATTAACCAATCTCATAATGTCATTATCTAATCTCATTGAAAATTTGACAAAGCCTGTATTATTAACCAATCTGTCATTTCTAATCAACCAATCTTACAACTATATTAACCAATACAAGAAGTAAGTTGATGATTTATTACTTTGTTTGTTTGATTAATTTGAACCATTGGATGCAAATATATATATATATATATATATATATATATATATATATATATATATATATATTGTAGAGATAATGAAAAGAGAAATCACTGCAAAGGATCTGAGTTTGGTGAAAAATCGCCATTATTTAAGAAATGGACATAACGAATAAAAAATGACAAAAGATATTGTGAAGAAATAATTGATCAAAAAAGAGAATATAATTAATGCCTATTATTAGTTTCTTCTAAAAAAATAATATTTCCTCTAAAAGAAATTCTTTTTCAAGAATAATGCATCATGTGTCAAAGGAAGGGAAAAAAAAAACACATTTTTTATAAATCGGTCTATCATTCTTCATATAAAGATTCAACAACAAAGAAATATTAATGTATTTTAACATTTTCATTACTAATTTGTTTTAAAGTCAGACTTTTTATTTACTATATAACTAAATTGTCCTTTTTAAAAACTAAAGTGATGTGTTAAAAATATACAATCAAGAAATAATCTAATTGAAATTTCACATAATTTTATCAAGTCAAAGTTATTTATTTATTTTCCTTATAAACTATGAAAAAATAGTCACAGAAAATTTGAATATAAAAAAAATATATTCGAGTATTGCTACTTGCTACAAGAGCATCACCAATCTCATCTTATTACACAGACATGACACAACTAGTTTGTAACTTGCCAAACAGATGATAATAATGTCACGTTCATAGGAAAGAGAGTAAGAAGATTATTCAACTCAAATATTTTAATGCAACGCAAAAGTTTCCTTCTAACAATTTCTTCCCATGCCGTATCGGCAAGCAATGCTCCTTCCAACTAGCAAAAGCCAGTAATTACTTCAGCCAACGCGCTTCCAATGCTACTACTGAAGGAGAAAGCCCCACGCAACTTCTCAAGTCAAGCTTTGCTGGGCCCTGTTTTTTTTATATCTATATAATGAATGAAAATGAATTTATCATATCAACCATCAACCACCAAACAAACCCTTAAGACCAGCCTGCATTCCACCCTCTCTCCTTAACCATTTTCCATCACAACAAAGTAACACACACACGTTTCCACATTTGTGCATTTGTGCTTGTCACACCTCATACCCCACTTTTGCACTCTCTCTCTCTCTCTCTCTCCCCCTATCCACATCTCACATAAGCCATAGCTGACTACTTAATTACTAATTTCTCCCACTTACCCTTTCACATCATCATATAGTTATCCTCAATCTTTTATCCCCCCAAAAATTATTGTATATATATATTAAAAAATCATCATCCAGATAGTACCCTTGTATCCAATGAATTTTAGACACAATGATTAAAATATTACTAGGCAAGAGCCCCCCAAATCTGACCATGACACGCCCTTTGAAGCTTCCTAAGATTCCCCTAAAAAGTAGTATTATTTCTTTATTAATTTTTTTTTCTCATTAAACTATCTCATGTTTCGGGGTGTACACTTGATATTCAAATTGTATAAGAATATACCAATACCATGTATAAAGTATGAACAATATTTCTTTGATATTATCAAATAGGAGCCACCTGCAAATCGAGGGCACCCACAAAAAATATATTTTACAAGATTCCAAAGATTAATCCTCAATTTCCTCCACATTACAATTACAAAAGGAGGATATGAGTTTCAAAATACATGCATGAAAGTTACAGACTCCACATGAAACTCACATGAAAGTTTCAATCTAAAGACCCCATGTAAACCTAACAAGAGAGTAAGAAGAAGACATTTGTTTGCCTTTTTCTTTTTCCCTGATGTGTCCTCTTATTATTATTCTTCAAAAAGATAAACCCAAAAATAAAAATTTCTCACCATCTCTCAAATTATACATGACACCTTAACTCATGAACAACCACTTCCATGGACCAAATTATATACATATAATACAAACAACATCGAAATTAAGATTAGCTCCTCTGTCCCAAAAATCTCCTCTGCTCTTAGAACTTTGGTGATTTTCAAATTCTCCTCTGACTTCTTTTTTTCTTTGTTTAAATTGAATCAAGCAACAGCAGAAATGCTGCAATTGCGCCTATCCCTGTGGAGGCAATCAAAACCTTCAACCCTCACTGCAGCTGGTGTGTGACCAAACTTCACTCTAACACAACCTCTAGCTGATGAAGATGGTGAAGAGGGTGCCAAGGAAAATTGACCAAAACCACCATTAAGATTACCAACACCAAATTGCTCATCTTGGATCACAGGGTTTGAAGCCCTACTTGGTGGAGATCCACAGAAAAATGGTGGTGATGAAGCCACTTGGCCCCCAGATCTTTCAGGATAGCAGCTTCCCTGCAAGAAAACAAAATCAATTGAAGCAATCTTTGGTTAGATATCATGTTTCTTTCAATCAACAACATCAAAATCACATGATAGAGATGTTATCATCTCCATTCCCTAGCAATCATCACCATAACTTGATTTTTGTTACATCTTTGAGGAACCATGTGAACAACCAATTTTTTTTTTGTGCGTAATTTTTTCAGGTAAAAAATTGCTTTGTTGGAAACAATTAACTAATTTAAGATAATTTGAAGAAAAAAAAAGTATGTCTAGCATGAAGATTGAGATAGAAAATTACCTTGGGGAGAATGATATCAAGAAGCTCAGCCTCAACTCCAGAATCTTCAATCTCTGATTGGTAGCTGAATTTATTTACAAAGAATAAATATAAAGTCAATTTGTTTACAAAATTGATTAAAAGAAAATCAACATAACAACAAAGATTATTTTTTTTTAGAAGTTGAGTAAATACTTGATAATGGGTAGCTTCAAGGGTCTGAGGTGGTCATTAATAGATGAGTGGTTCAAAAGACCCAATCTACGAGGTTTAGGGCAAACCACTGAATCCATCCTCATCTCCTCACAGCTTGTCAAGGCCTTCTTCTGTTGGTAACCACACTGATTCATCTCTTCTCTTTCTCTTCACACCTCAAACCCTGAGATCTTGACAAGGAACACCTGCAACATCAAACACAAACGGGAAAAAATCAATTTTTTATCCTCCAAAACTAACCAGGTTGCTGAGAAATCTGAACAAAATTGAGCCAAATCTGAACAAATCGTGAACCAACACAAACAAACAAAGAAACCCATTTCCCAAGTTTCATTTTTTATCATGAAGAAGTTGAAGAAACCCAAAAAAACAAAAACTTAGAAGTTGAGCTCGAAACAAAAGATATACGAAGACCCTTTTTCCCAAAATTTGGTCAGCACATGAAGAACCACAAAAAGGTTTAAAATTTGAGACTTTAAATACACAGAAGAAAAAAAAAACTCAAACAGAACATTTTCCAACGTTGGTGTTTTTCCCAGATGAACAAACGTAGACAATAGGAAAGAGAGAGTACCTGAGCTGCCTCAGAGGCTCCTCTGAGAGGAGAAGAGGAAGAAAACGAAGGGCAGAAAATGGGTGAATCAGAGGAACAATGGGAGAGAGAGGAAGAAAGGTAGAGTTGGCTGGGTATTCATAGGGAGAAAGAGAAGACCTAGAACAAAAAAATTAAAAAAAAAAAAGGAAAAATGATAAACTACAACAAGGCACAAAGATATTAATGTGAGACCGCATTCATGCACCGTGCGATTGATGATTAGGACATAGGTGGTGGGAAAGTGTGAGAGAGACAAAGAGAAGTGATGAGATCTGATCTGATCCAACGAGAAAGGGACATGGTGTGTGCGTGTGTGTTGTGTTTTCTCTTTTTTGACCCTCTTCCTCCTATATTCATGAACCTCTCTCTTCTCTGTCCTCTTCTTGTACGGTTCATATGTAACAATAACCTCTCAAATCTCAATAATAAAGGGTCATTGCTCTTTCCTAATCTCAGTAAATTTTATTTTTTCTGAGCAAACTTTTCTCAAATATTGATTTTGTTTCTGGAAGATTAGTGCTGTGTTTATCAGATCATAACTTTTGTTAAGGGGTAAAATTTAATTTGTTCAAAACTAATGTGATATTATTATATTTTAATGTAATATATATTTTTAATACATCTTTATTATCTTAGTATATTTAAAATTAATCTTAAAGATTAAAGTTAATAAAATTGTAAACATAAATACAAATTATACACGTTTTTCTTGTGAGTTTGCAAAACAAAAGAGGCTAATTAAACCTAAATATCATAAAGTGAACAACTATTTTACCCAAATCATTAGTCTTAGAGGGCATAATATTTATTAAAATATATAGTATTATGTGCTAAATTCTATTTCATTACCTTGGATTCTACTTCTATATATGCTAGCTTTCATAGGTCAATTTTTCTTAAGAAAATTTTATGACTTCCACTTACCATTTTTCCTATTACAACTGATTAAGAGGAAAATTATTGTATACACTAAATTGAGTTGTGAATTGAAATTATCGAACAACAATAAAAAGAAATAAAAACTACTTTTTTTAAAAAAAATTTATCAAAATAATTTGAATATAAATCATTCAAGAATAAAAATAGTTGAGTTTGAATTTCAAAATATAACTATATTATTAAAACCTTAAGGGATTTTTTTTTATATATATGTAATGATCTCATTCGAGTTTTCTTAATTAGTTTTTACAGTTCCATTATTCAAAAGGATGAAATAATAATTTGATCACTAATGAATTAAAATAATAATCAATAAATTTCAAGTATCCATACCATTATTATATCATAACGCTGACCTTTTTTTCCGTTTATAAAGCCAACCCTTTTAGGCAAGCTTCATACCTTATTAATACTTAAAAATTCAATTCATCACTTAATAATGGAAAGAACCCTAATCTTTGAATCAATCTTCAATATTGTAGATAATGTATAAAACAAACAAAACTATAAGGGAATAGGATCCTTCATTATTTTATTTACATTTGCTACATGACACAACTATAATAGAATATCCTATTCCATTATTGACTCTGATAAACTAAATCGTTAAAAAGAAGAAAAGATAAAAAAAATTAAGTGTTTGTTTAAAAAAAGTAACCAGGCTCTATTTAAAAAGTTATATGATTACTTAAATATATCATATAATTTTTTAAAAATTTATAATTTATATATTTAAAATTTAAATATTAATAATAAAATAATTTGTTTACATTACTTTGACATTAAAAAAAAGATTTATTATTAAATATGTGATGTCTTGACAAAGAGAGAGAAGAAAGTGTAAAAAAAAAAATATGGGAAATTAATAATATATGGTAATTTTCTGAAAGTGGGGAAGGACTTTCATTTCATCTGAATGAAGCATCACGGGCGACCAAGTCCATCTGAATGAGGCATCTAATCTGCTATTCAAAATCAGCACATTTAAGTGGGTGGGGTACTCAATTCTACAAAATATGTATTATTTCAACATTTTATTATATATTTATATTTTATTTTCCTTCTATTTCACGTTAAAGCCTCAAAAATTGGTGACACCATAAGGTATATTCTCTTATAGTTTAAAGGTGTTATAAACTTTTATATATAGAGAGAAAAATATTCTTATATGTAAATCTAAAAACTCTTACATTTCAATTTGAATTTTTTATTTAACTTAAATCTAACAAATTATAATTTATTATTTTATTGGCTATTAAATTTAAGTTAAATAAAAGACTTAGATTTAATATAAAATTTAAACTTATATTGATGTAAGAAGGTCTTCTCCCATATTAAAATGAATCAAATTATATTTTTTTTAATAAAATGAAATTATATCTAAAAGAATGAATATTGTTACAGTGAAAAAGATATAAAATAAATTTTTTATTTATAATATTTTTATTTTATCTTTCTTCAAAAAAAAAATTATTCTATAACTCACCTTGATGTAATAAATGAAGTGTTGGATCAACATTTCTCTAATAATAATTTATGAAAAATAAAATGTTATTTAACTTAATCAATAAAAAATAGAATTTGAGTAAATAATTTGCAAAATAGTAAGAATAGAAACTTTTAAAGAATTAACCTCACTTTTAGCAAGTTTTGAAAAACAATATTGTTTAGATATAAGTTTTTGAATTATCATAGTTTCACTTTTCAAAAGTTACCTTTTTAACTTAAAAATGTTATAAATAGTTTTAATCTTAGTAAATGATAATTTTTATAGTAAAAAGACTATTTTTTTAATTTATCAAATTTTGATAAAAATGCTTAAACATTTTTATATTGAAAAGAGACTTTTTGTTCTTGATAAAAAAAAAAAGCAAACAAGTCATTAGTTTTGTATATGATAATGAAGATGAATGAATCCTAGTGTTAAAAGTTTGAAAAAACATAAGAAACAGGAAATGTCTTTCTACATTCTGTAGTCTTCTTTTGTTTGTAGTTACGTGATCTTAACGGGATTCATTACTCATAGTCTCATACCGTTAATTTGGACAATGTAAATTTGTAAGAATTATTATAAAAAAACGACTAAACTATTGTGTCGTAGTTAAAATTACCGTCCTCTTTGTCAACGTTGCTTTTCAAGGTTAGGATTGTGATTAGACCTATGCACTCAAAATAATATTTGGACATGTTTGATAGCTAAATTTAGAAAATAAAAGGTATATGTTTTTAAAGGCTTAAACCCAAACTAAAGTGAGTGATATTATTTCTAACAATAATATAAGGACTTAGAGATATCCTCAAGTTCAAGTTTTATAAATAATTTTCTCTCAAGGAAAAAATAGTTTTGTTAATATTATTTTAAAACCAATTTTGATAATTTAAAAAGATTCCTTGATAAAGTTATTCTGTGGAGATTTTTCAAAATAAAGAAAACAAAATTTGTTTGAACGTGCCCTATATAGCACAGCTTTGTCATATTTATGGTTGCTCCTTTCCATTGTAGACCATTAGAGGTTAGAGCCATCTTTTGCCTTCATTTGATCATTCCTGTACCTCTACAAAATCTGCAACTAACAACATTGGATCAAGTTTCTTATGATCTGTACAAAGAAGTGAACTTGAGGAAGTTGATGAAAATGTTCAAGAAATCCACACAGACACACACATGTCTATGACATTGATGAATGTCTTTCTAAGGATCTCTCCAACCAGCTTTCTATTAAATGAATTTGGTGCCATACACAACACTCTTTTCTTTTGATTTTTGAGTTACTGTGTTCAAGGAGATTGTTATGGGTTAACCCAAGTAATTTAATTTTGAAGTTGTGTAGAGGGCACACAGCACACTAAGAAGTAAGCAATATATAATATACTAATTAAAGAAAAGGAATCATATACATAACTAGATTTTAGAGATAATTTAGCATTATTTATTACAGTATACTGAGAACACAAATACAACGCGTAACGTAACCCTACCAAATTGCCATATGGCCTCTTGAAAAGGTTGAGTAGAATGGGCACACCAACTAATTGTTTAAGCATTAAAAAACAAAATGCACAAGAATCTCATGGCTGCAAAACCAAGGTCACCACCATAGCAAAAATTTATATATAAAAGCAAAAGTAGCATCCATGCTTAGTTTAAAAATCACGCATAACGTGTATCACTGTTTCCTTTGGTTTGCCACAACAAAGACAAAACGACATCAATTAAGACATCCTGTGGCCGTAGATTATTCCATAAAATATCTAGAACTTGGCAATCAATTAAGATATTTATGATTTACCCGTGTTTTGATTAAGGTTTAAATATTTTTTATTTGATTTTTTAAAATTGTTTTGTTAATTTTAATCGTTATGAATTTTTTTTAAAGTTTTAAAAATAACATATATTTTCAATTTTTGGTGATATATATCCATGCATATAACATACCATGTCAGCAATTCTTTTAAAATAATATATGACATAGCTTAGTTAAATGTATGTTAGTACACCGTTATTAAATGGTGATTTAAATTATTTAAAAAATCATATTTATAAGTATTAAAAATACATCTTATCCTTAAGTTAAATATGTTCTTTTTCAAAATATTTTTAGTAACTAAAAATGTCATGGTATTTAACTTATAATTATTTTAAATTTATAAAAATATTATGTGATATTTCTGAATATTTCACTTCACTTTCTCTCATCCCTACCTCTATTGGCACTTAGCCCTCCTCCTCTTATCTCAACTCCCCCACCTGCAAAACCCAGCCCTGACTACTCACTTCCCTCATGCATTTGCAAACTTGCTTAAGCAAGAGTTAAATTAGACTCTCCATTCCTGCCTTAACTAGAGTGAATCTAAATATGATATTTTTATAATTTACTTTTAATTCATATTAACAAATTTTTGCTATTACTTGTCAAAATATTTTTTATTATTCCAATATATTTCATTTCAAATTTATGCTATAAAAATTTTGTATAAAAATTATTAAAATATATAATTAAATTATTCATCTGAATACATCTTAAATTTATTATAATAAATAGAAGCAAGTATAAAATGAAATGAATAATCTAATACCTAAACCTACATTCATACTCATAAATTTTTGCATGTCATATGCAAGTCTCAACTCAAATTTACTTGGTGGATAAATGCTCTATTAATTTTTTATGAGTATTTTTATTCAATGGTCATTGATAATTAAATTTGTCCTCAATTCATTTGGACCCTCTTCTCTGGAAGGTCGCTCGCGCGTGTGTGTCCTTTTTGTGGAAGACAAGAAGAACTGTGTTTTATGTTCTATAAATTTGTTGAAATGAGTTTTTTTTAACAGATCATATAAATTAATTGTTTGCAAAATCACTTAAGCTAAATGGAGTTGACCTCTTTTAATTTTGGATTTAAACTAGAGTTAACAAAATGAGTTATCTAACTTATTTGTAGTGACCCAAGACAAGTAGTGAATTTTAACAGGTTAAGTTGAAAAAGTTTGAATATAACTCAGTCAAAAATAATGTTAAAAACAGGTAAAGTCTGATTTTTTACGAGCTTTTACATATTTTTCTAGGCTTTATCTGCATCGGCTTAATCGGGTTGGACTAATTGTATTTTCTAAATTTGTTTAGTCATTGAAAATATTAATTTTTTAAAAGGATAAATTAGAGTAAGTCATTCAACAGTGAAAAAGAAGTTTAAAAAAACATTTATTATTTGACTTCATATGAAAACAATTCAAGAGAGTACTAAAAACATACTCTTTAATATATTTTTTTAAACATATTATTACTTATTTATTAAAAATTATAAAAATATTAATAAATTATTAAATTTAAAATGAGAATAGCATAAATTTTAATAAATTTTAACTAGTAATAAAATATATATTTTTAAAAAATATGATAGATATATCAACATTCCTCATAAAATAAATGTGTAATACTAAACAGCTGTTGATGATACCTATGTAACATATACCAAACTCATATTCACAGAGAAATGAGAGTGGCCATGTTAGGTGTGTAACTCAAGCCTTCAAGGTCATGTTTCTAACCTCTACAAACAGGTCAAATTACTGCAATGCACCATTCAATAATCAGCAAATAAACATAATAACAAGTCAAAGACACACAATAATATATGTATATTCAATTTGGAGTGTAAAAAATGCATTATAGTTTAACCAGATCAAAAAAATCAAATGCTTCTCAAACTTGGAGGGTGAAAGTACTCTTAATTATAAAGAAAAAGGAATCCAAAGTCTAGAATGGGGCTTATATATTCCATTTCAAAAGTGGATATGACAAATGGCACTTTGAATGTTGGCAATGGCATGTGATGGGCGAACGAGGATGCGTAAAAGTGGGGATCGCACCCTTTGGCTTTCTCTTATTTTTCCTGTTCTCAGTTCCTTTTATTCCTACGGATTCAAATGGTAGGGACAAGTTTATTTTGTAGCTTTTGTTAACAATTTTTCATATGTTGAATTATTATTGGCTTTACTTTTGCATGCAACATGTCTATACCTTGACTAAAATGACATGAGCGCGTCTTAAACATTGACTAAAACAAAATTGATTAGCTTTTCTTTTTCAATAATTGAAGATTATATATTGAAACGAGTGAAGTTTATATATTTTGTGAAAATCTGATTAGTTCATTATCAGATTTTAAAATGTTGTTTGAAAGCCCATGATTATTTGGAAAGAAGCAAGTGGATTTTAGATTGTGTCCAAAAGTATATTAATTTGAAGAGTCAAACATACTTTAGTCATGTAATTAATATATAAAATGTTAAATCAATATTTTTTCTGCTGCTTTGACTTAGTCGTAGTTGTTAAATTTGGAGAAGATAGAGATCAAATTAGAACTCATTTTAAAGTTTGGTTAGAAACCATTCATTTGGGGGAGTTTTGGAAAATTCTTAGGTCATGTGAGGCTGGGATTGATTGAATAAAATTAGGCTAAAAACAAGAAATACTCCATATCCTCTAATCTTATCGACATGAACTTTAAAAAGCTATTCCATTATTCAAGAAAAAAAAAACCTTATTAGTCCAAGAAAAATAAGTTGTCATTTTTAAGGATTGAAAAAATCATAATAAAATGAACAATTTTTTCTTATAAATTGAAATTAAATGAAAGAACTTATGGAAATAAATAACATATTAATTTAGAAAAATTATATTTTACTTTTAAATCTTTTTATAATATTTATTAAAAAATGATTCTACCTGGCTTTAGCACCGATTTTATAGCTATTAGCTAAGCTGAATCTAGATGACGCACCGCACCCTTCACTCTTTGAAGGGCGATTAAACTTATCTTAAGCTCAGTCTAGTCGATACATTATCCTTTTTAATTATTTTTAATAAATAAAAATTTATATTTTAAGTAAGAAACGAAAAGTTCTTTTTTCGTTTAAATGTATATAAATTAAAGTGTTTTAAAAAGAATGTCTAAAAACACTTGGATCAAACAACATATATTATATTCTAAAATATTTTAACACATAATCATCATAAATCATAGCATATTCAAAATACACTAAAATAAAATATAAATTAAAAAAAAAAGCAGTAGCCTTTTCTCAAAATACATGGCGTGGAAAAGAATATGGTTTAAAGTTGGGCCTTAATGGGTCATCCAACGATTTTATGTATTGTTCTTATATATTGGAAATATTAAGGCTCGTAATAATTTATGAAAGTGTTTTCTACATTAAAATATGAAAATGTATATTTTTTTTTTTTGGAAGAAAGAAGCATTATTAACAGATAAATAAATAAAAGTGCATAGTTATTTTACACGAAACCGTTACTACAATTAATGGATTTACAATATTCAGTCAAATTTAAATGTTTCTCTTGGCTGAATTCAGCACTCTTATTTGGCCAAATTGTTTATGAATTAATTTGTAATACATCTCTTCAAATTAATTATCACTGCAAATTAAAGAAAAAAATATCAGAGAACTCAACAAAAAATATATATAAAAAGAGAATGATCTTTAAGTATAAAAACTTTAATATTTAATATGAGTTTTTTATTTAATTTATATCTAACGACTAATAAATGTGATTAGATATAAATTAAATAAAATATAAATTTTTTTATATTTATACTAATGTGAAAAGATTCTTACGTATAACTAATTTAAAAAATAAAAATATTACGTACAGAAAAATGTGTATATTGAAAACAAGCGGCAAAGCCCACCGAGACACCGTGACTTAGGATGGGTCCTAAAGCCCATGTCTGATGGACTGGTAAAGTTAATTGAGAATTTCTAAAAAGTCGATAACATGCACGTGAAAAAAAAAATTATCTTGCAATATATTATTTTTTATGTGTGAAATAATAATAATAATAATTATTTTATATTTTATATTAATAAATTAATAATTTTATTAATTTATTAAAAAATTAAATATTTTTTTAACTTTTAACATAATTACTGTTGTCAATTTAAAAATAATATATTACTTTCACGAGTACTATAACAAGTTTAAAAAAAATAAATAAAAACTTAAATTTTCAAAGGGATATATACACGTGCACAAAAGTGAAAGATAAAAAAAAAATACACCGATAATGTGAAATTTTTATATGATACTAATTAAAAATTATTGTAAATATATCTTTTAAAATAATTATTATAAAAGTACACAATTTTAAATAACGTGATAATTTACGATTGAGTGATAATATTATATTTTTACATATTTCTTGTTGGTTGCATGAAAAAAATTCAGTACACAATTTTATAGTAATTATTAGCTGTCCAACCAAAAAAGGAAATTATAGTAATCAATAAGAAAAGATAAATCTGAGTCAATTTTTTGAAAGTAAGAAATATTACATATAATGGTAATTAAGTACTTGTAACCCTACAAGAAGTCCTAGTCATGGTGCTACTTTGATGGTAGATTTATTCCTTTATTTATTTGTTTTCCCTCTTTCAGAAAACAAAGTGGGGTCCATTCTATATTATTTGAAGGAGAAAAGAAAAACTAAGCCTACCATTCTTTTATGGTGTGATATACTTTTTGCCAAGAGCACAATACTACTTTTTATTGAAGTGCATGTGCTTCAGCCTTGCTCATTCTTCTTTTTGATTCAGCTCAAAAACCCTTATAGATAAACCCTAATTTAAAAGCTAGCTAAAGCAAAATAAAGCTAATCTTGTCTCTATCTTAATGTTCCTTGCTTTGTCTATGGTCTCTCACTTTCAATATTCATCAACATGACAAACATTCATCTTTCTTTACCCATCTTTCCACGGAACATATTTGAGGCTCCAAAATCCATGCCACCCCACATGTTTCACTTTGATTTTGTAGGGTCCCCTCCATTTTCTTTAACCATATTTACAAAGAAAAGTGTGTTATGGATATTCCTTTGGTGCAGTCATGCACATTCATCACCCAGTCACCAAGCAATATATAATAAAACTTGTGTGGGTCAATGTGCAGGGAAAAAAAGTGGAGTGGATTCTCTTTGAAGTTTTCCATCCACCACTCTCACTTTGCTCATTTTCTCTTCACACCAATGCAACTGTTCTTCACTTAACTCACTCATTCTCAGAACCCTTGACACCACTTTCAAGTCTATTAGTGCCATCAAAATCTCCATTTCTTCTTCCACCTTCAACTTTCTCTTTCTCAAACATTTGCGTGAACGGCGAAGATCCTTAACCTTTATTTTCTTCTGCACATTTAAATACATATAATATTAATAATTACTGGAGACACAAAATGTGTTAGGAAAATATAACATATGATGTGGAAAGCACTTAAGCACAATTATCAATTTAATTAATAATTTAAAATTGGAACTTAGTTAATTACCTTTTGATTAACTTTCTTGATAAGGCGTAGAAGTGTTGGATCAACCGAAGGTTTTTTATTTCTCCTAAAGTAAGCTGCCAGGACCTGACATGGCTTCTCTTTATCAGCCTTGAGGAAACTCATGAACGTTCTGATCCCATCTTCCATTATTATAAGAAATGAAGCTGTTGATATTTTTGAGTGAAACCCATTATCGTCCCTCTGATCATCATCTGATTCTTTAACACAAAAGGGAAAAAAAATCGTCATAATTTTTTTAATGTTTGTTTAAGGATATATATAATAAAAATATATATATTTATAATGTGTGATAAAAAAATATTATTTGTTAATTTTTTATTATATATCTTACTATACACATTAAAAAAATTGATTAATTAATTATCATAACAATGCTATACACGAATGTAGGTTGGCCTTGGATACCAATATGAAAATGCAATCGCAAAATACTGATAAAATGTAATTTTCTTTTTGAAGGGAGCTAAAATTGTAAAATCACTGTTGTATAATGAACTGCAATTTAAAACAATATCAAGCAGTGTAGTCACGATTTATCATGAAGCAGACCTGATTTTACCATATAAAATTTCCATTTTTTTAGTGTGTTACTTGTTATGATTATACGATGCACTCCTAACCTGTGAAATAAGGTCGTTTTGTATTAGGATGTGACCTTAACCATACTATAACTTCATGCAATTTAATAATTATTAATATGAGATTATTAAAAGTAATTTATATTTGAAAGATCGAGCGGTTCATTAAATCAATAAAAGTACTACACCTCGATTTAACAGTCTGACCATAATTGAGTATGTAATTATTAACAAATTAATATATATTTTTAAAATATTATACAATATATTAAGTAGTAAATTAGCATACATTCATAAAAAAAATGAAGGTAATAAAATACTAATAATAAAGAACAATATTATACATTTTTCTAAATAAAAAATAATAGTCACAAGTAATAATAAGAATTTGTAAGAATATCTTACAGGGAAGTCTTTAATTGTCTTAATTTTTTTAAATTGAATAAAAATTAAAAAAGGGGCGGGGGGGGGGTGGTAAAAATTTAGCCCAATTTTTGCATTTATTTTTATTAGTTTGGAACTGATTTTTTTATTGGTTGTCCAATTTTTTAAGGGAATATTACAAATATATATATATATATATATATATATATATTCTAGAATACTATTTTTAATACATTTTTATTATTAAATAAAATGTGTTAAAAATTATAAAAATTAAGTAAAACAATTTAATTAAAAATAAGATTTACATAGTTTTTATTTTTTAATAAATTTTAATCAATAATAAAAAATATGTTTCTAATTTTTAATACATGAAAGTGGTTATGATGATATTCATACCTCGATATTCTGGCACGAGGAGTAATTTTGGAGCCAAATGCCTCATTCTAGCGTAGATCTCAGGTCTCCTGCCATGTTCATAAGGTTCATTCTCTACGTATCTCTGCAACAGCACTTGAAATTGTTGGAATTTCTGTGCTATGGTTGCTGGACAACCCAAATCAACATCATGCCCTCGTGAGGCTCTTTTGGATTGAAAATTCTTGTAGTTCCAATTAAGAGCTTCCCATGTTAAGCAAATTTGTGCAACATATGCAGCCTCCAATTCACGATATGGATTCTGACGTATATCCGTTGATTTTTTATTCATAGTTGAAAACTTGTACACTATACGCTCTGAAATTGATCTTGGAGATACCTTGATAGATCTTAAAGACTCTGAAAGTAAATTGTTGATAATATGTAACACAATCAATCTTCAACTATAACTTAATACTTGTAATCACCAAAAAAAAGAAGATAGAATATACTAATACGGTTAATGTCTAATAAAAATTAAAATTTTAATAAAAAATTTAACATTAACAGTATCATGCATTATATTAATAACAGGATATATACTGATAGTATATACTGTTTTTTTATACCAACAAAATTTTGCTAGCATGATGCATCGTATTATTAGTTTAGATTTATAATACTTATATTAATACTGCCTTAATAAATATCTCATTTATTAAGAGTAATACAAAACAATTATATGTCATAATGTTATATTTTATTTTAAAAATACCTATAATATTAAATAGTCAAATTACTGTATTCTATATTAAATAAATGAATGTATTTATTTTATAAATAAAGAGTAAGTAATTTGTTAACACAAATTTTATAATAAATAAAGTATTAAATTATATTTAGGAAAATATATTGATAATTATTTTTATAAATAGAAATAAAAATAATAGTTTAATTTATGTTGAAAAAGGTCATACCAAGGAAGGAAAACTTAAGTGTGTTGTAGTTCATAATAAATGACATTTTCTTTTGTGAATAATAAACAAAAAATTGGAAAAGCTATGTTCGGTTACCAGTTTCATGAAGTTTCTGTGCGCTAATCCTGTCAAGGAATGACATATCTTCATCATATTTTTGGAAAACTGTATATGATTCCCATTTGGGGCAACTTCTTCTTGATGATGAAGAAAAAGGGTCTTCAGTTCCAGAATCCCTGCAATTAATGGAGCTCCTCCATTCAGAGGAGCTCTTAGAAGTGGACCCAACAGTGCATGAGTCACCATATATTTCTTCATCATCCTTATTTTCTTCAACAATGAACTTCTTAGTCTCTAATTGGGTAGGAGCAAAGACAAGGAATCTCTCATCTCTTGTGAGGTTTGTCTCTTGCACTTTCTTATTTTCAACAAGTCCAACATCAACATGATCTTCTGCAAAAAGTAGAATCAAAAAGAGTTAAGAGTAGTGTTGGACTATGTAGGTGTTGCATGTGAATAATGTAACAAACGTAATTCTTAAACTATGATGTGAATCAAACAATACCGTCATAGTTTTTGTCACTGTCCACCAAGTCATGACTTTTGCTGAGGTTCAGTGTGATGGGTGATGTGGGCCTGCTTTCAACTTGGACAAAATTTGGAACAGAATCAGCATCTTCTGCTGGAAATTCTTCTTCTCCTTCTTCCTCTTCATTTTCAAAGTCTGAAACCACAGGTGACTTGTGAAGAGACAAAGTTTCTGTGGAATAGTTTTCTTCTGTTTCTTCAATAAGGCTATTCTGTGGTGTTATGAATTCTTCAGAAGAAGAATGAGTACTTTGAGGGTGGTTGTTGTGAAGAAACAAAAGGGTTTCTCCACCACAAATGATGTCAGCTACTAGATGATCTCTCTCAATAGAATCATGGTCATAAGAGTAACTCTCTTGAATTTCTTCTTCTTCATCATCATACTCAGAAGACACATACTCATAGTGTTGATCTCTGCAACATGCAAAAAGAAAACTTGTGAGTTAGATGCTTTGTGGGAGGGAGAGAAGGACAGAAGAAGATAGGCGCAATACAAGACCTTTGGAATATGGTGTAGCTTCCAATTAAGCTTAATAACTTGATGAGCAAAATGGAAGAGAAGAAGATGAAGAGGAAGAGAAGATGGAAAGAGCTTGAGGCATTGTAGAAGAGTCTAACAAGAGCTTCTTCTTTAGAACATGGCATTTTCTTTGTGGTTGCTCCAAATTGTGCTCCAAAGGACTCCACTAAGCAAAGCAACTTCTAAAAAAAAAAGTGGCCTTGTTGCTTTCGTAACATACTGGCTAAGAGACCAAAATTTACTCGTAATCTCTAATATATCCCTAAATGGTTTTTAGTTTTACCCTTTTCATGTCCCAATTGTAAGTTCCAAGCACCAAGGGCATGTATGTCATACAATCTACCAAGCTTATAAGATTGGACAAACGTGGCTTCTCTCTTACAGCAAGATCTATTGGTCTTCTAGATATATTGGGACTTGGGATCGTGCTTTTACAATATATAGTTAGGATATTCTCATGCATAAAACAATTTTGAGGTGGATCAAATTTATGTGTTGGTGTCCTTGTGTTTATGAATTAAAATTAATTTTTTTAATAAACGATTTGTATTTACTATTATCACAGATTATTAAAAACTGCACCTAAATCCTTTTGAAAATTCAGTATTAAGCTTTGTTGATATATCCTTACTTTTTAAAATATGATAATTCAAATTTGAGTACATTACTACATTTCTCATCCTTCTTTCATTATTAAATAACCTAATTAAAAGGTTTGAAGTGAGATTTTATTTTAGTTACTTGAATTATGCCTTAAAGAAAACTGTGCTAGTAATTGTATGGTTCATAGTCTTACTTTTTTAATCTGAAAAAAAAAAAAAAACCTAAGGGAATCATTTCTACTATACTTTTCATCAAAAGCGCGTAAATCTTGTTTTTAGTGTGTGTGTAACACAAAATCCTAGTCTGCAACAGGGTCTATTTATTTTTCCTTATGGGAACCCATGGCTATGTGAAATCATGAACAGTACAGAAGCAAAAGCAAAAAAAAGAGGAGACCAAAACCAAGCCACACGCATTAGGTAGACAGATATGAACTTCACTTTATAGAAAGAATGATATGATATTTTCAGAAGAAAAAAAAAGTTGATACACCATACAGTTTCTAACAAATAAATATTGTATATTCATTATGCATGTATATTATTGTATTAATAGCTTTTTACACCAAATTAAAATGTATTAAAGGTTTTGCCCATGCCCCAAAACAGGGAAGAGTATTCTCTGTTTAATGGAAGATTTGAGTGCATTCTTTACCAACCAAAGCAATAAAAAGCCTTTTTAAAAAGATTATGTCGTTTGTGTTAATTGGGAATGTTTTTAATTGATCCTTGTCTTGAACTTGGCTACTAAGATTGCTGATTGCAGTGAAGATGTTGTCATTAGTTTATTATTATTATTAGAATTTTTTTCCTTTATGGTGTTTAACCAACTTATTGTGTTACATTTTAAACAAAAAGTTGGGGGGTCACTTATGTAGTTGACCAAACCTCTTTAGCATCACCACACTGATCCAATCATTAGGGATAAATTAAAACAGTGTGTAGAAAAGAACAGAGGGAAAGAAAATAATGTCACATAAGAAAACAAGAATATATCGTTTTCGATCATTTGTTAACGTAGAAGCAGACGAAGTTAATCAATTAGGATCCCTTCTCTGTGATTGAAAGCCTCAGCTGCATATGGCAATAATTTTCAATTATTTATTTGTCTTACACATTTACTAGACAGCTACTTTTAATTTTTGTTTTTCTTCTTAACTATCAATGATATTTAATTTCATTTCATTAATCACAATCCTTGACTAGGAATCACATTTGGTAAGTACAGTCAATTTCACACACACCTCAAAACATAGGAAAAGCAATCAATATCTTATATGAACTAGTTTGCCTTAAAGTTGAGCACCTAATCCACTGACATATAATATAGGTTAAATTAATTATTTAATCATTTATTTTTTTTTTGTTTTAATTTCATCCTTAATTTTAATTTGTCTTAATTCTTTACAAAATTTTGTTTCTTCTTTGCACTGATTTTTTTTTTGAAAAATGTCAATTCAATGGAATAAATATCGTTCCCTTGAGTACGTCAAGACTCATTCTAAAAACAGGGAAAAAGCAACACACGACTGTCTTTAATTTATATCAATCTAGATATCTCCTTTGCTTTAATATTTAGAGTACCACGAACTCCTCTGCTAGAACCCTGCTCCTGTCTCCTGTTCTTCCCAGCAATGATTGTTGATATTTCCTGAACTTAGTAAACACAGGATATATGTTCTTAAAGGTAGTATAAGTCTCATCTCCCACCTTAGCTCCTGTTAGAACAATTTTTCCAGAGACAAAAATTAGCAAGACAATTTTATGTTGCTTCATACGGTAGATGAGTCCTGGAAACAATTCTGGTTCATAACTGGAGAAAGCACCATGAATATGCATGACCCTCCAGCCGAATGGGGAACTTGACATCACCAGAGCCAACAATGTTCTGAATTTTGAAATCCTTAAATTTGGCAGGAAAGCCAAGCTTTTGGATAATACGAGCATACTTCCTTGCTGCCAATTTAGAATGCTGTTCACTCTTAGCTCCAGTACAAACAATCTTGCCAGAAGAAAAAATAAGTGCAGTTGTTTTTGGCTCTCTTATCCTCATAAAAACAGCAGCAAAACGCTTGGGATTGTACTCTGCATTTCGAGCTTGAAGTGCAATTGTCTTGAGGTCCAACTTACCGTCCAAATTGACTGTGGACACTATATTATGAAGGGTGAGCACGATCCCAAAAGGGTGCTTTTGTACATCTACCGGCTGGCTCCCTTCCAATCCTTGGTCCGCCATGAAAACCTAAATTTATTAGGCTTATAACAAAATCTTGAAAGAAGAATTAGGGTTTGGATTTGAAAGCGAAGAGTGAGGGAGTGGAGAAGGCGGGAAAGATTCGAAAGAAGGGTTCTTTTATAGGAGAGGGAGATGAAGGATTTGAGATTTGTGATTTGTATTTGTATGTGAGGGTTGGATTTGGAGAGAGAGAGAGAGAGAGAAAGAGAGGTATTTGAGTTGTTTGTGTGAGAAGGTCTAGAGTTTACATATGCTTTTAAAATTTAATTTATTAATATATTAAAAAAGTTTCAAAAAAAATAATATCACAAAATTTAATATTATTATCTTTAATTTGATATTATTATCTTTTACTTTTTGATATATGCTTTAAAATTTAAATGTTACATTATGACAACGTTTATTAAAATTTAAACCTAGTCAACAGTTAAGAGAATATTGAGATGTCACTTAATCAATTGAATTTGTTAAGTATATTGTTGATGATCTTGCCAACTATATTGCCTCGATCTAATCCTTCAAATACTTTAATATTTATTTAATAAATTTTAATTTTAAAATTTCACACTTTACATAAAAAATATATTAAAATATAAAATATTTCTAATGATAGAAAATTGTAAGAGGATTGAGGTGTCAATCAAATAAAGTCTTCCCGATATCTTGAGGCTATCATAGTTGAATCTTTGATTAATTAATTTTCCAAATAATTTTTTGACATAAATAAAAATATTATTTCTTACTAAAATTAATAACAATAATAAATATGAACAAATCTGTTTATTTCCACAATTATTTCATTTGAAAAATATTTATAAAATCAATATAATTTCTCCATTGTGGAGATTTATGTCTCAACTTTTCATATATAGAATCTAAAATCACATCAATCTATAAGTATGGCTGAAGATATGAACTGCACAACGAAAAAAAGGTTTGACTACATTTACATTCTGAAAATTAAGCAAGTTTTGTAATAAAACTCAACTAAAACATTAAAATTAGGCACAATTAACATCTAATTAGCTCAAGAGAAAGCTATATAGTTTGTGCCTAACAATTGATTGATAAATCATTTCTCCACATTTGCACCAAATGAAATCTTAATCACAATATAAATTTTGCTTAAATTGGTGGATTGGTGCCACTTTTGGTAATTAATATATAGTCATGTCAAGACGAATCTAATGGCGTTACGATGAAAATAATGATTTGTCCAACATTATAAATATTTTGATAATTAAAATATTCATTTGGTACAGATTAAGATTAAAAAACCATATTAAAACTCCATAAAAGAGGATCATATGAAAAAAAAGTTAAGAAACTTAAATACTAGTTTAGCTTATAACATTATATTGCCAGGTTTTATCTATGTGTGGAAATTACAGTATGGTACTTATAAGATTTTTTTTTTTAACGATAATATTGTACACAATTTATTACAACTTAGAACAAAATTAAAAAAAAAAATTGTTATAAAAATATTATAACTACCTACCTAGCCGCGCCATTAGCGGAACAAGTGGCCCAACCAAAAACTTAAATTGGGCTTGGTCGTGGGCGAACATGACCCAATAAACAACGTTCAGGCTCATGCATAGTTTATTGTGTTTCATTCTCCTTCACTTTCCTAAGGCACTCTATGCATCATTGGTGGAATCATCTTATCCAATGCTCTGCATTAACATGCTTTATATGGCTCTTGAGAACAAGGACCAAGCTTGCTTTGGGCTATATAGAAGACTATAACGACAAGGGATTTTTACGGTGGTTTTAAGACCATATCAAGGCATAGTTGTAACGATGATGGGTAAAATATAGTAGGGTTTTCTTATATTTGTCAAAGCTCATGTTTTTGTCTTCTTTAATGTCATCAATAAAGTTTCCCAAGTTATATAGGTTAGATTCTTACATAAAGATGTAACAGAAAATAATAATAAACATTTAACTCAAATCATCTTTAAATATCAATTATATATATAAGTCACTCAAATAATTAATAAAAAAAACTAATATCACTATTTCAACATCAAGGAGATATTGCCTTTATAACTCTCATGTACTTCAATTATAGATTCAACATCACAATATAACAAACTCAATTTCTTAACTGTCTCCCTTCACTCAAAATAAAAAGGTGGTGAATATATACTACTATCACATTTGAGTTAATGTCAAGATTGTATAATCAGTTCTATTATTTCTATTATTCCTACAGAAATATTACATGTTAAGAAAATTTTCGGCACAAATATTACACGCCACGTATTTTTGTATGAGTAGTTAGATAATTAAGTTAAAGATTATTATTATTATTATCATAAAGAGAACATACATCACAATGGACCACATATTAAAACAAGTTACGATAGCATTATATAAGCTAATGAAATGATCTAAACTGGAAGACTTTTGAGATGAATTTTTCTATTAAATTGGAGGAAGGAAGAATATTTTAATTATGATCGTGTAACGTTAATTTGAACTTGGGAAGAGATAGTGAGTGGATATTTGAAAACTTGGATGAAGAGAAAATGACATATAGAAGAGACAGAAAAAAAAAAAGAAGAAAGAACTCTTGTTCAATGTTTAGGTTGGAGAAAATAAGGAAGTAGGAGAATGAAATGATACAAAAGAACAGATGGAGTGGTGCTGATTAATTTCAGCTTGACATGCCCACAGGAATTGAACATGTGTCAATAAGACAACCCGTAGTTTGTTCTTTTGTTTTTTTATGACTTTGTGGTAAATTAAAAAGGCTATCATTGTTTGGAGTTTGCTTAGAGAGGGAGGGTATGGATCATAGGTGTGCTTCTAGAAACCCTAGCGTCCATTAAGTATAATTCACAAAGTTCTTGTTAGGATTGACATTTACAATTGTTTAATTAAAGATTAACACATGAAATTAATTAAGGTCAAACAGAAATGCTTACCTTAGTATATGCACAGTCTTGCAGTTTGGTGACCATTTTAACCACTTGGTAATATTAGTCACCGCACGCACAAACAGTAAATGAAAGTTCTCCTAGGTAATATCAACATATTTTTACGTACTCTTTTTGTTGGATTTTACATTATCTCATTTTAATAAAGATTACTGTATATGTGTTTCTTTTAGCCACTGTTATGCGTGATTTTATTATTGAATATATACAAACTGCTATATGTAATTAAATTTAATTAAACATATAATTCATACATAAGTTATGAATTTGCTACATGTAATCTGCATAATGACAATCTTACATGCAATCAGTTAAATTAAAAGTTCACATATTTATTTATTTATATATAAACTTTTCCAACAATTTGAGAGAGAGGGGGAGATGACGGTGTGGCTGTAGACAATATACAAGTGTCAATAATTAAATATTAATTAAAAAGAATATGGTTACTATAAGTCCATGTTCCCATTGGACTAGCGTGAAAGGTTTTTCTGGTGGGTAGAAATGGGTGAAGGTGGTTGGACAGGATCATAGAAAACATGGAAATTAATATATCTTAATATATATATATATATATATATATATGGTGTATCGGAGACTCAACCCCTCGTGCAAAACATAACAGCAACTAGTCTTCAATTCCTAATAAATTTAGAAAAATTCATCATATTATTTTTCACATCTCTCTATATATATATATATTGAATATGACACATAACACACCACATTGATTGAGTCAAGGTCGCAGGTATTCTTGGTTTGTTTAGTAAATATACGAAAATCCCAGTGACAATTTGTGAAATCTAAACCCTTTATATATAGCTGAAGGTTATTAATAAGTAATTAAAAAAATTGAATATGTAGGATATATCTTTGTCAAAGGGTTAGCTGTATGTATTTAACAAAAACATGAAGACTATCCATGAAATGCTTCTTGTTGAAGGGTGAGTTATAAAACCACAAAGTAGGGAGAGAGGCCTTTAAAAGCCTATCTTGGTGATTTTATAGAGCTTACTTTTGAGGATCACTCATTGGTACTTCATATATCTGTGGTGCCCCCTCTTGACTTTTTGGTAAGCTAAATTAACTTCATCAAGGGATCATAGCAAAAGCTGTAATTAAGTTATTAGGTTCATCAATTGGATGGAGGAAAATCTACCTCCTGGATTCAGGTTTCATCCTACAGATGAAGAGCTCATCACATGCTATCTTACAAGAAAAGTGTCTGATTCTACCTTCACATCAAAAGCTATAGCCGTTGTTGATCTCAATAAGTCTGAACCTTGGGACCTCCCAGGTAGTTTGAGAGTTCTTTTTTCAACATGATCTCTCACCACACACACAACACACACACACACACACATATATATATATATATACACACACACACTTGATTAAATTTCCGTTCATCTTTCCATCTTCAAAAACTATACCTTCGGTTAATTATTTGTTATCATGGTTGCATGATTTTTAATTTGCAAAGGCTATATGTTTTTGACACAACTTTTTCGCATTGATTCTTTTGGAAGAATTGCAACTCATTGAATATAGTTATAAATACATCCAGAATTTTAAGAGGTAAAAAAAAATTAGACCAAAATTATATTCAGCCCTTCTCTTTGTCTTCACAACTTTTCATTTTTTTTTCCTAAAAGATTATATAATTTCCATAACTGATGAGGTATTTATAAAACTATATATATATTCATTCTGGAGTCTACTATAGACGTGTCATTTACAGCTGTTTCAGTATCAAACGAAGTCTTTGTTCTTTAGCTTCGTCCTCATACATGTACAGTTTTTTGACCCATTCTACTTTTGCTGCGTCGTGAGTGGTTTACAATCCATGCAAGTATATATCATTCTAACTAATTTTAAAATATAAATTGGAAATACATATTATTCATATAGTAACAATAGTCAAGTACAAACTAATTCATTGGTATGTGCATGCCGTAGTTTACCAAAAACTAATCAATTAAAAAGGATCATTAATCAAAGTGTGTGTTATTGCAGGTAAAGCTTTCATGGGGGAGAAAGAATGGTATTTCTTTAGCTTAAGAGACCGAAAGTATCCAACAGGACTTCGAACAAACCGAGCCACTGAATCAGGCTACTGGAAAACCACAGGGAAAGACAAGGAAATTTTTGGTGCTGGGGTTTTGGTAGGAATGAAGAAAACCCTAGTCTTTTATAGGGGTAGAGCTCCAAGGGGCGAGAAAAGCAATTGGGTCATGCACGAATATAGACTAGAAAACAAGCATCACTTTCGACCTTCAAAGGTTAGTAAATGCATGCATCACGCTTTCCAAATATTCTTAGTTACACAAACAACATTATTAATATTTAAATAACTCTAAAAATTAGCAATTTAATATGTAAAATTTTTTTAAAATGTTTTTTTTTTTTTGTGCGTGTGTGTGTATATATAGACAACCTTGCATTAGGTTTATGCGACAATTTCTCTAGCGTATGCTTTATATATATATATATATATATATATGTCCATCACCCTGTTTAGCTTTCATGCATATTTAGAAGTTTAACATTTTAAAACAAATGTTTGGTTTGGTAGGACGAATGGGTGGTTTGCAGGGTTTTCCAAAAGAGCTTGGCAGCAAAAAAGCCACAACAAACATCTTCCTCCCAACCAGAGTCTCCTTGTGACACAGCATCAATGGTGAATGAATTTGGTGATGTTGACATTCCCAATCTAAACAACATTGCAAATTCATCAACTGTACTCCCTAACATTTCAGGACAAACTTTCAACACTAACCTCAATAACAATATTAATCATAATGTTAACACAAATATGAACTTGACCATGAATTGGCCATGTTCAAGTGAGGTTCCCTCTCTTCCATCTCTCCCATGGCCTTCTGAGTTGCTAAATCCAAATAATATTTCTGTAAATTCTTTGCTTCTCAAAGCATTACAACTTAGGAGTTATCAACAAAGAGAAGCAGCAGCAGCAGCAGTCACTGATCATTTTGCATCATATATGCCTCATGGAGTTTCCCATGTTGGAAATGACTTAAGTTCAAATCTCACTGCTTCTTCTTCAAAAGTTTTAGAATGTATGCCACAACACCAACACCAACACCAACACCAACACCAGCAGCAACAGCAGGAGCAACCATTCAATTTGGACTCCATTTGGTGAAGCTGTTTAAACCATGAAGCTAACACATTGTGTAAACATATCCTTCCTTGTGAATTAACTCCTATGAATAAAATGGTACCCCTTTCCAAGTAAATATTGGGATTTGGGGACTTTCTTAATTTTTCATCATTTTCCTGTTAATTCTTGAATGCAAAACTAAACTCAATCTCTGATGTTGTAAACATTGCTCATCAAATGCTGATGTAATCATGAGGAATAACTCCTCAATCGCTCTAAGTTTCATGTTATAGTATTAATTTCGATAAAAAAATTTATAAATTCTAAATAAATTCAAGTTATTATTTGCATACGTTGCACCATATATATATATGCTCTGATATAAATTTTACCTTGTTTGAAAAATATGTGAATAGATAATATTTCGACTATTTTTGTTCGTATTGTACAACCTATTTCTTATTTTTACCAATTTGGTAGAGCAGAGTTTAATTCTCAAAATAACATAATTTGTACATAGTAGTAGGTTCCACCACGATCTGGTAACATGTTTTTATTTTTAAATATTTTGATTAAATTATATTTTTATCTTTATTTAAATTTCTGTTTATTTATTTTTCTGAATCTTGACATGAATTTCTTCTTGATTTGGTTTTAATTTTAACAATTTTTTGTCGACAGAAATTATCGCTAATTTTTTGTTAATTGTGACAATTTTTTATCACCATTAAAACTAGTTATAACTTGAGAAAGTGGACAGATTAAAATTGAATGAAAAAATATGATTCAGAAATTAAAGAGAAATGAAAGACTAAATTAAAATTTAAAATAAAATATAAGAGATAAGTAATGCCATACAATCAAATATTTTTAGCGATATTGCTGCCACCGTTTTCGACTTATATATACTAAACACTATTAATAGTTAGGATTTTAACTATTGAAATAAATAATTTTTATTTATAAAATAATAAATATAATAATAGATTGTTATAATTAAAATTAGATTTAGTGTAATGAAAAATTCTATACAGATGATTCACATCCATGTTATATTATTTATCATAAGTATGGAACACGATTCCCTCTTTTTTTATATATATAATGTGGCAGAAGTCGTAAATGAAAACCACAATATAGATGGAGTGATGATCCATAATTATGAAAACCTTATGGAGTAGTACAACTTTTTGCTTATTAAAGTCAAATTGGATGAATTGCCTGAGTAGTGACTTGAATTATTACTAAAAAAGTTGTGGGCTTGTGTCTCCAGCCACACTGGTGATCTAATTCATCTGCTGAAAGAAAATGTTTAAATGTAGAATTGGTAGCTAGGGAGTTAGGGATATTAATAAGGTAGCTGGGTTGAGTCAGGTTGAAGAAAATGGGTAGTGAACAGAGTACAGAGAGAGAGTACCCTTTTATGTCTGTGCAGAATACTGACATATTTTATTAGAATGGCATGGAAAATGGATACACTGTTTTTCTTAGAACTGAATAAGGAAATTATAGTAATTGACTATGTGATGGGAGCACATGCATTGTTACACCCAAACCAGCAAGTAGCTGATTCACACTGTTCACTTTCTTTCCACTTTAGGATTGAGAACCTGGGATTTGAATTTAGGTCATTTAAACTCACAGGTGAGTTTTCAAAATATAAAACAAAGATTTATAATTATTCACTTAAATTAATGCTTGATTTTAATGTTTACATTTTATATTATTAATTGTTAAGTGTTTAATTAATAATTAAAATTTCATATTTTGCCTTTAATCGTAAACCCTTAGCAACCCAACTCAACCTGAACTAAAATTAATCATATAGGTAATTAGAGTATAATTAGATTTTAAAATTATAGACATGATTATTTTTTAGGTAGAAATCATATTTTCTTTTTTCAATTTGATGAATATGACTGAATTCGATTATATATAAAAAAGAAGTTTAAACATTTTATAATATTTATATTTTAATATTTTAATGTGTACTTTTAAATATATTTTTTATAAAGAATTTATTATTTGAGTATAATTTAGATTTTATATATAAATATAATAAAATTTTAATTTAAATATAAATCCAAGTATCTGACTCAAATTAATTTATTTATAATTTTACATGTATATGCAATCTAAATTGATATATTTTATCTGAGCCTAACTCAACTCATAAACATCCATACTCACATGGAGGTGGTAGTCCTTTTCCATGTTTTCAATGTTCAAACTGGTGTCATATTTGGTCAAGTTAGGAGCCTTGGTTTTTGACACCTTTTATAAGATTTTGTATTTTATACAGAAGTAGCAAGAGTATGAGTATGATGACTGTATAATTGTTTTTAAATTAAGGTAAAATATAAGTTTAATAAATACAAATTTAAGATAATTTTAAATTAAATTATATTATATTATATATATATATATATATATATATATATATATACGTAACTGATTTTTTGTAGAGGAAAATGAAAAATAAAATCAAAGAAAAAATTACAATCTCATTCAAGACTCTTCTAGCATCGGTACGTAAAGTAATCTCAAGTTTTTAAGAAGGGAAATTCAATATTTGAAATCACAAAAATTAAAAAACCTTTTAATTTAGCTAAAAAAATTTAAATATATTATTTTTAGGCAAAATAATTTTGATGATAATTTGTTAGCCTTATCCCAATCATAAAATTAACAAACATCTTATAAAAAAATAAAACAATTTTCATCACAAACATTATAATATTTGTTTCACAGAATAACACACGAGATGTTATAATATTTAGATTTTAAATTATTTTTAACTTTGAAATAGGATTATATTGAATATAAATATAGAAAAAAATGTCAGTAAAATTATAAGCTCCTCTAAATTAATTTTTTATGTTTTAATTAGTTATTAAAATATTGATAAAAAAATAAAATTAAAAAATATGTGTATAAATTTTTTTTTGGTAATGATTTAGTAAAAATTATAACAGCATGGTTTATTCTTTAAAAGAGATTAAATCACTTTTAAGAGAATGTATTTTAATTGAATAGGAGATAATTAAGGTATATAATAATTAATTACAATAGAATTTGAAATCATAGAAAGCAGCATGTGTCATTCTTTAGCTAAAGTGACATCTCTAAAGTTTCAATTTAAAATTTGACTAAAGAAAAAGAAAGAATCATATCCATCCCTTGACCAATTCTCAGTCCCATTCATGAGTCAGTTTATATTTCTTTGTCTCACACGCACCTTTCAGCTCCTATTTATAATTGTAACGTTGATAAACTTGAATGAAGTTTGAAAATTGAAGATAAGAGTAAGTATTACTTATAAATCGATTTTGATTACTTTAATATTATATATATATATATATTCTATTTTTATTGGAAAACCAATCAGACTACTAATTTTTACAAATTTCCATGAAAGATATTTAATTTTCAATTATTATATTAAGTACAAATAACATTTGAAGTTATCTATTTCATTAACAAACATTATAATTATAATATTACATATAATAAATTACATATTAATAAAAAATGAATATACTTATTTATATATTTTTTTTATAAAAAGTAATTATCACTATTTTAGTGTTAAGGTTAACATGCGATCAAAAGCACATGATAAAAACTTAACTAATAAATAATATTTTTTATTAAAAATTATAGTATTTAATATTATTAGTATATATTAAATTTAGTAATATTATTTGATTTTTAATAAAAAAAGTAATATATATATATATTGTGTGTCTTTGAGTACATCTTAAAATAAATTATTTAAAAAATAATTACCTGTTTTTAAATACATTAATTTGTTATAAAATTTATAATAACAAAGTACTTATTTGTTATCTATATAAAAAAAATATTTATTTAATATGAGTCACTAATTTGATTGATTTATCATAAATATATTTAAAGTAGATAATTTTTTACAAAAAGAATGGAAGAAAATAGGTTTAATATTTGAAAGAGTAACCCATGTAAGGTGTGAGTATTTTAAGGAATGTAACATAAGAGGGTGAGAGGTAAGGAAAGGTGGATAGATGTCATAAATGAATAAGGTGAGAAAATATTAACTTCCCATCGGCTTCTAATTAAATTTGAGAACCAAACACCTCTCACACATTGCTCTACCCACTTTAATCTCGACAGTTCCTTTTCTTTAGGAATTCATATCTTTATTTCCTTCTCAAAATATTTCTAACTCCCACTTCCCAGCTACTGCTGCCTAGTGGCTGCTGAAGGAGACACATTTCCATAACTTGCACACATTCTTCACTCTCTTCATAATTTGTGTTGTCAAGAGCAAGAAATTCAAGATCAAAGCAATGGCTTCCATCACCAAAGACGATTTGGAAACCATTTATTTCTCCAACATGGATGAGGCACCAGCTAGGCGTCGTGCTCGTGAGGCCTTTAAGGATATTCAGCTTGCCATTGATCATTGCTTATTTCGGGTTCTTCTCTCTTTATTTTCCTCTTACAACATACTTTGCATACTTTATCATTCTTCTTTTCGACCCCCAAGAATCACAAATCAAAATTAGAGTATTGTCAATATATAAAGAGCCTTTTCTTACAAGCTGAAATTTTTTATTGAAAACTATTATTATGGGAGATATATTATTAGACAAATGGTTTACTTTTGATTTCTTAACTATAGTATCCGATGACACTGGTTAACATTGATTGATTGATATTTATCTTAAACTTAAAGGAAAACCAAAGATGTACCGTAACTTTCTATTTGATTTGGGTGCTACTAATGTGTTTTGTTTGTTCTTTTTTGTTTTGTCACGAGACTACCTTAAAAGGTAATTTGATCATGGAAAAGCTTTTTAGATTGAAACATCAATAATGAAAAAAATTATATTTTGTATTTTACTTTTATTCCTGATCAGTAATTTGATCACATGCATTGTGACACAAATCGTCTATCTCAAAAACCTTTAAGCTTTTGAGCGAATAGATTTCTGACATTTAGCTCATTTTTTTTGTCCACGTGAAGGAAAGGAAGTAGAACAAGTAATATCTTGTCTTGTTACAAAATGTTAATTGTTAATAAAACCAAACGAATCAATTAATTTGAAAGGAAAATGTTAATAGAACCAAGCCAATCAATGTTCCTTTGTTGATAACCCATACATTTTATTCTACTTACTAATTGGTGGATCCAATAAAACCAAGTATTGGTTAAATTAGTTTTTAGTAAGTATTTTTTAAAATAAATATAAACTTTACTATATTTTTTAGTCTTTACTTTTTTTCAGAAGAAAAATTTTGAAAAAAAAATATTATGATTTATTCAATAAAAAATTATTTAAACATCTTAATAAAAATATCATGTAAATTAAGGAGGGTTTAAAATTATAGTCTACATCATATGGTGCTCCCAAAATATCTCACTTGTATAGACACTATGGTTGCAAATGCACTAGCCCATATCAAACCATGCATGTATAAATGATCAATTTGATTTAATTTTATTGAATTTAATATATATCTAGAGGTATATAATAAAAGATAATAAATTTTTATTAAAAAATCATAACACTTAACGGTATTAACATATAAGATCTTAAAATTTTTAATAAAAAATTATCATATAAATTTATATTATGTACCCTTTAACACACTTAAAAAACTTCTTTTATAAATACAAAAAATCAAACTTACACAAACTCCTCCAGATCGAACTACGTCAGATCAGAGATGATTTGACCTAGTCCAATTGAAGAGTCGAGTGGTGAAAATACCTTTCACTAAATCACACTGTGAATTATACTATAATTTCAAGAATCAAACTTACAGCAGCACGTTCACTACCTTCAGCTAAACATCCCTTAAACATGAAATTAATTTTAAAAAATGGAGCAATATATGTTGACGATGAATTAAGTAAAGGGTTAAAATCATGGGTAATCTCAATGCTAATCAGATCAGGAGAATACACTGGCTTGATTGAACTGAGGGATCGCTATGACCTTAACTACCACATTTATTGGTCATTAAGAGTGTTAATTGTGTTGTCAACTCTTTTTACACCTACATGATGTCTAGGCCTCGGAAAGTGGCCAAGTTATCTAAGCTTAGCAACAATTCACCTACCTTATTAGTGCACCAGGGTAGACCCAGGCTAAGATCAACTCAACCACTATGTACAACACTAAATTAATCAATTGTTACTAAAAAAATAATGAAAGAAAGAAAATTAAATGTCTTATCCAGTATCAAGTGATGTTTAATTATTGTGAGAATGAGAATAATAATTATATAATATTAAAAGATAAATATACATTTAAAATGGTGCGAGAGTATGCCCTACCAAATTGTTTATTAATGAAGTCTTCATATGTCTTCCTAGATATATAAATCAAATCCCCTAATTACTTTGACTATTTGGTGCTCATATTTTCATTTCATATAATAAAATGTCAAATTAGAGGAGATTGTAGCTGATTTCTGTGTTGAAATTTGCTGCAGTTTCCAGCAGATGAGGTGAACATGAAAGAGGTAAAGGACTCTTTAACAGTTCGTTTGTATTAATTTGTTTGGCTATCTTTAGCTAATGTTTCCATCGAGTCTATTCTTTAAACTTAAAGTTGATGATTCTAGTTAATTACATCAGGCATTAGACTTTATAGTTCACCCTTAATTACATCATGCATTAAACATCCAGTCATTTAGATACAGATCCTCTCAAGTGTAAAAAAAAAAATATGGATATCAATCTCACCGTTCATTCATTCGAACTCTTTATTTAAAATAAGATATATTATATTAATAGCATGGTCAGTAATTGCCAATTGATTAACATTCTTCATGCATTCTTCAGCTAATATTATAGTATGACAGACAGAAGTATATACTTAACTTTAATATATAGTGAATAATTTCAAATATGTGTACAGGGTTATGAAGTGAACTCCAGAGGATTAGAAATATTCTCTAAAAGTTGGCTACCAAAAGGATCTCCTTTGAAAGCACTTGTTTGTTACTGTCATGGTTACGCGGACACTTGCACATTTTACTTTGAAGGCATGAAAATATCTATAGTAAATAACAATTCGTTTTATTTTTATATGCAGAAAATAGATAGATAATTGGATGTCATTTTTTTCTTGTATTTCTTATTAGGAGTTGCAAGGAAGTTAGCTTCATCTGGGTATGGAGTATTTGCATTGGATTACCCTGGATTTGGCCTTTCAGATGGTCTTCATGGTTATATTCCTAGCTTTGAGAATCTAGTGAATGATGTCATTGAGCATTTCACAAAAATTAAGGGTTTGGCCTAATTTTCCTTGATCTCATTCTTTATGGTGTCACTGTTCTGTTTTTTTCTTTCAAATGTTTGTAGCTTGAGGTTATATGTTTCATCGAAGGATAAAATTTAAGTGTAATACTATAGGTATTGTTTGCGTTATTCTTTTATTAGGATTATAGTTTTATCTCGATAATATATGTAATAAAACTCAGTATCAAAGGTTGACACATGCCACTGAAACTCCAATTTTAATTGAAGAATAACACCGAAAGTACTTACAGTTTTGCACCTAAGTTTTGTCTTTTCATAAATCCTTATATTGGCTTCTCAATTATCATTTTCATTGTTCTAAAAATTTGTAAATAATTCTAGTGCTTTTGGATGGCACAGAACAAAAGGAGTACCAACATTTACCAAGTTTTTTGTTGGGTGAATCTATGGGAGGAGCCATTGCTTTGAACATCCACTTCAAACAACCTACTGCTTGGGATGGTGCTGCTCTTATTGCACCTTTGTGCAAGGTATCTTTTTGAATTAAAACTACTACTAAAGTTACTTCATTGCTTGAGCTATACGTAAGTAAATTAACCAATCTTTTTTGAGTAGTTTGCAGAGGATATGATTCCACATTGGTTAGTGAAGCAGATACTCATTGGTGTGGCTAAGCTTCTCCCCAAAACTAAGTTAGTTCCACAAAAGGAAGAAGTGAAAGAGAATATATTTAGAGATGTAAACAAGAGAAAACTGGTGGGTGTACCACATGCTTGAATTAGATTGACATTAAATGTAGGAAATGATCCATGTCTGTCTTCTCTTCTTCTATTGATGAATTTTCTGAATGATTTGCTCTAGGCACCCTTTAATGTGTTGCTCTACAAGGATAAACCAAGACTGGGAACTGCCTTGGAGTTGCTGAAAGCCACACAAGAGCTAGAACAACGATTGGAAGAAGTAAATCATTCCCCTTGACTAGCTTTTTCATAATAGCATGTCTTTTTCAGATTTAATTTAGGGAAATAATTCCTTATTTTTCAAAACCTTTGAGAACTGAAAGAAATAAGCAATTACTTCTCTACAATAAGCCAAATGAAATATGTATTTAAGGGCCTATTTGGATAGCTTATGAATAATTCATGGAAACAAGTCACAACTCTGATGAGTATTTTTTAGCTTATTTAAGATCTTTGGTCAACTTATTAAATTGGTTATTTTCATCATATCCCAATTAGTTTCATTGTTAAATTTATAGCATAAAGTATAAGTTCTCTTAAAAGGATGCTAACACATCAAGAGAAAAATCATAAAAGGAAACAAGCAACCAAATTTCTTAAAACCAAAGAAAGAAGAGGATGCAACAATTCAAGTTGGTTTTAATTTTCTTTATATTTTGGCGATTGCACATATAACCCAAAGTTAAGACATAATTGTGAAATTTATTTTATGGTATCTTTGGAACTTTTTCTCTTTAAATGAAACCTACTGAAGAATTTTAATTGTCAGGTTTGTCTGCCATTATTGATCATGCATGGAGAGGCTGATATAATAACAGATCCATCAGCTAGCAAGGCTTTGTACGAGAAAGCTAAAATTGATGACAAGAAACTATGCCTCTATAAGGATGCCTTCCATACACTTCTAGAAGGTGAACCTGATGAAACTATATTTCACGTGCTTGATGACATTATATCTTGGCTTGATGAGCATAGCAGCAGAAAAAACAAATATTAAGCACTTCGGTATATTTGTTTGCCCCAAAATTAGCCATTAAGTTTATGTATTCATGTTTTATTAAAGGAACTAGTATGAATGGTATTAGTATATGAAGTTAGATAACTAATCATATTTCTACTTTAATGTTCGATGCTTAAATAGCAATTTACAAGTGTTTAGCTGTCTCTATCTTTTTATATAAAAAGTAGAAGCTTCCATAAAAATTGGTTGCTCCCATCTTCTTTGCTTTTAATTTAACTCATTTACAGTTTTATTATTTGAACATAAAGCTGAAACTGATCACTTTCACTTAAAGGACTTTTACTTTTTAAGTAGTTCATGTATATTTTAAAATTATTTATTTATTTTAAAGAAAATCTTAAGAAGCTGAAAAAAAAATGTCTTTAACATAATATAAATCAAACATGTACTTAAATCATCAATATCTATTTATGATAAGAATAAAATAAGTAAATTGTTGTTTTCTTGTATTATCGTGGTTATATTTAAAAATTCAACTTAAATGTTTATTTAATAAATCTCAAGGACATATAATTTATGAGATATAATCATATAATTTTATTTTTTTTTCAAATGTAAACTTAAAAGAATAATATTGATATTTTTAAACACTTGCATAATCAAATACTCGAACTATCTAATCTTTAATAAAAAAAAAAGCACAAGTAGAATGCACTATTCATCGATATTTGCTAAAATTTGAAATGTTTTTCAATCTTATTTAGAGGTGAATAGTTATTATTCGCTGGGATCTCAGTTTTTAAAATTGGTGGTATTTAAGATCAAACACTACTAATAAAGTTTGTGCCAAAATTTTGAAAATTAAAGTAAATGGTACTTGTTAGTTAGTTTGCTTCTACCATTCTAAAAAATTTAAGAAAATACAATGGTTGTTGAAACTAACTATCAATGGTTAATAAAAAAAAGTAGAGATTTTATTTGTTTGGATAAATTTTTATATTTTATATTTTAAGATAAAAAAAATTTGTAAGATTAAAATACTAAATAATTTTTAAAAATATTTCTATCAATTAGTTAAACAGGTAGTTTTATGTAATACAAATTTAAATAAACTTCAAAAATAACATCATTCTTTTCAAATTATTAACTAAAACAAAACGTAATTTTATTTTTAAGATAAACAGAAAAGAATGTATTCATACAATTATACTCAATAATTAATTAAAATAAGCTTAAAAAATTATACGAATTTTAAACTAATTTTAAAAACTCTTTTAAGCTAAACTCTTGTTATTTAGAAAAAAAAAATGGTTACATATTACTTAAAATTTAATCTAATTCATCTAATATTAAATTATCATATCAATTGTTAATTTTTATAATAATTAATATAAAAATCCTATTAATAATATATTTTAATTGAGATATTTAAACAAACACTATATAAATTATAAAAAGAAATTTTTTTGGTAAGTTATATACTTATACTAAAGATTTTTCTTTAACGCAAGTGAACCATATCATTTGTAAATAATAATCGATAAAATATTAAGATATCATTTTTAAGAGCACAACAAATTGTATTAATTATTAAAATTTAAATTAATTGAGTATATATATAAAGAGTTGATAAATTATTTTCATAAAAATTGTATAAAAATTATAATTTAAAAAAATATATAAAAAAAATAGTTAAAATCAAATAAGAAAAATAGAAATTTTTCCTTTTCTATATTATAATGATTAAGAGATATATATAACAATCATTTTAATTGATATTAATGCAAAATATAAAAATTATATATTCTAATTTTTTAAAAATATACTTTTAAAATAATTTTTTAAAGATTTATTTCTCGACTAATTAATAAACTATCTAGTATTAAAATTTAAAACAATCAATAACTCGAAATCTATTCTTAAAATAACAAGTTACTAAATAATATCAATTAGACATAAATCAATTTTTTCTTAAAAATTAAATTTACAACTAATTTAAGATAAAATTAAATTTAAAATTAATTTAATATAAACTATTAAATTTAAAATTAGTTTCAAACCGAATCTAAAACTTAAAACTAGTTTTAAAAGAAAAAAATAAATTAGTTTAAAATCTAATTTATACAATAAATATTTGTACAGTATGCAAAGTAAAAAAAAAATTTAATTTTAATGTAATATGAATGACTGAATGTAAAAATGTTATTTTATTAATTTCTTAAAATATGAAGATATAATTTTATATTAATTATTATGAAATTTATTTTTTTTAGTATAATAATTTAATAATAATATAAAAATATTTATAGTATATTTTATTAGATTTAGAGTTAATTTTAAATCAAATATAAATTTTAAAATCAATTTTAAACTAATTTTTAAAAAATAAATTATATTAATTTAAAATCCTATTCATATAATTAGATTTAAAATTAAAATAGATTTGGTGTAGTTTTGAGTAAATCCAATTCATACCCATCTTTAGTCATGATTCTATATGATGTTAGACCTTCTCTCTGCCCTCAAATAATATTGATAAATTAGATGTGATTGTGAGAAATTGAAAGCATATGTCACATGTTTTTCTTAATGCAAGAGTAAAATTCAGAGTTAGCATTTCTTTCTTTTGAGCAATCTAATCTTTGAAAGCAACCCCAAATAGATGCCGATGAAACACATTCATATGCAATGAAATAACTTGAATAACTTTATGCAGCCTTAAAAACATTAGTTATATTCAATAATTTATTAAAACAAGGTAAAAAAATTTATAAGAATTATAAACTAATTTTGAAAACTCTTTTAAACTAATTATTTAGAAAATTTTGTTATATATTACTTAAAATATAATTTAATATTAAATCATCATATCAATAGTTAATTTTATAAAATTAATATAAAAATCCTATTAATAATATATTATAATTGAGATACTAAATTAAAAATCTTTTACTCGTGATATTTATTCAGTGTTATTCTCTTGTCTAAACGTATTCTCTGTGTCACTAAAACAGAGGGAAACAGAGGCCTATGTACAATACACGCAGTTCGTTCGTCCATCAATCCATAGAAACCTCTAAAAGTCTAAACCCATTCTTTCACTTTTTATTTCGATTTTGGGATAAACTGAAGATGTCATTCCCAAGGTTAAGGTATGGTATGTCCCTCACTTTTCTCGAGTTTTCCTCTGTTCCTCCTTTTTACCCTACACGGCTTCACACTCACTCGTCGCCCCCATTTATTCACAATGTTCATGACGCTGTTGGCTCATTCAATCGCATGCTCATTATACCTTCTTCTCCATTTATTCACAATATTGATCATGCTTTAGCCTCATCCAATAGCATGCTCAATATGCCTCCTCCCCCATTTATTCCCGATGTTCATGAAGCTGTTGCCTCATTCAACAGCATGCTCGACCTTTCCCGCCCATCATTCAATTTAACAAGATTCTTGGGTCCCTTGCTAGGAATAAGCGTTTCGAAACTGTTATTTTCCTCTTCCAAAGATTGCAGTATGAGGGAATTTTACCCGACTTTAGCTTTTTCGGTATTGGCCAGGATCTTCAGACTGGGTTATATCCCCCACACCGTAATCTTGACCTCACTCATGAACGGTCTCTTTCTTACTCGTAATGTAAAAAAAGCCCTGCATCTTCATGGCAAGGTGATAGAGCAGGGATTTCTGATGGACCATGTTAGTTACGGGACTTGATTAATGGATTATGTAAAGTGAAAACAAGAGTTGCCATTCAGCTGCTGAGATTGAAGGGCAGGGCAGCTGATTCTGTGGTAATGTACAGTGCAATAATTAGTAGCCTATGCAAAGATAAATTTTTGGAAGAGGCATGTGATTTTTTCTCTGAAATGGTTATCAAGGGAATTCATCCCGACTATGTCATCTATAATAGTATTATTCACGGCTTTTGTCTTTTGGGTCAAGTGAAGGAAGCACTGGGTTTGTTAAATGAAATGGTATTGAAAAGCATCAATCCAAGTGTTTATACCTTTACCATATTGATTAATGTCCTCGGTACGGATGGAAAAGTGGAAAAGTGAGAGAAGCTAAAGATGTGTTTGGCTGTGATGATAAAAGGAGGTGTGAAACCAGATGTTGTTACTTATAGTACTTTAATGCTTAGCTGTTGCGCCTTCAACAAAGTAAAGAATGGAAGACGTGTATTCAACTCGATGATCCGAAGTGGTTTAAGACCTAATGTACGAAGCTATCACATATTGATTAATGGATTATGCAAGACTGGAGAGGTGGTGAAGCCATGAATCTCCTCGAAGAAATGCATAGCAAACATGTAGTTATGATCCCGATGAATTTTTAATTGATGTTATTGATAGGCTATGCAAAGATGGAAGACTTAAGGATGTGCTTTTTAAGGATCATCTGGTTGAAGGTTATCATCCTAATGTTCATTCATATACTCTGACTCCTAGGACTTTATAGAACTTGCTTGGTGATGGAGCGTTGGCTTGAACAACAATGGAAGACATTGGTTGCTTTCTAATTTCACATTATTTTGAATTTTGACAATGACCAGCAATTTTATAGTTCCAAGTACATTGTGATGAGCTCACTGTGGTATTACTTTGATTTAAATCATAAGCTGACATGCTTATTCTTAATTTTTCAGTTTGTTACAATAATAATGAGATTGATATATTTGAGTTTATTGGAATCAAAATTTCAACTCTACTAAATAGATATTGTTACTAGAGTCTATGTAACAGTTAATTTATAAATAACGACATTTGATCATTCTCAGCCTTGGGCAATGATTTGTTGCTTAGTTTCCTCAATGATCTTTCCTTAATTTTGGATATTGGATATAACCATTTACCTATTTGTGTTCTAACCCACTTGTTAAATGCCTAACCGTGTTTAATAATTGTGGATATTGGATATAACAATTTTCTACAAATGTATCGCGTAGGTAAACGGCTATATCCAATATTCAAAATTAACTGTTGTACACTCTTTGATGCAAGTAATAAAATAAATTAGTTATAATTACTTATGAATTCTATAATAGAAACTTCAGAATATGAGCTATATTTGTACTTGAAAGTTTAAAATTAAAATTATATAATTTATAAAATTAAAATTGTTTGATAAATTAGTTGTGCAGCTAATTTATTTGTGTTAAATAACTTAAAATAACGTATAATATTATATTAATATATATAAGATTAAAATTAAATATTATTTTTTATTTATTTATTATCAATTAAATAAATAATTATGTAAAAAAATTTCTTTGAATATAAAAAATTCTAAGTCATATTTTTTCATATAAAATATATTTAGATAGAAAAGATGTAAAATTTTAAATTTGTAATGGTAAGTTATTTTTTTAAATAAAATGAAAAATAAAATATAATAGAAATATTATTAACTAACTTTTGAAAATTAAATATTAATTTTTTTTCCATCCGATTTAATTCGGGTCAAACCAAGTGATACATCATGATATAGTGAATGAATATTTTTTTCATACACAAAAACTCAAACCTGAAACTGAATTGCCTGCTACTGAGACTTTAATTTTATTTTAAATAACTTTTAAAGAGTATAAGCTCATTTCATTTAATATTTGTTAAACAGGTATAGAAATTTATTGATAAAATTAATAAATTATAAGCTCTTAAATAAGTAATAAACAAATTTCACTATAAATTTAATATTTGATGTTAACAATTTAATTTTTTATATATATATTATTATTTCAACGTTTACGGGACCAAAATTTCAACTCCACTAAATAAATATGGTTACTAAATTTAAAATAAGGACATTTGCTGATTCTCTACCTAAGTTAATGACTTTGTTGCTTAGTTTACTCAAAACAAGAATAAAGATAAACAAAGATAATATTCAATTTGAAAACACAGATTGTTAATTAGTTAGCTTTCTCCTTTGAATGCGAGAAATTCTAAAAATTTATAAAAATATGATTATTATTGAAATTAACCATCAATAATTAATCGAAAAGGAAATTTAGAGGTTCTATTTATTTAGGCAAATTTTTAAAATTTATATTTTAAAATAAAAATTGTAAGATTAAAATATTAAATAACTTTTATAAAAAAAATTATCAATTACCTAAAGAAGTAATTTTACGAAGTACAAATTTAAATAATCTTCAAAAATTAAATTGTCCCTCAAATTTCCAACTAAAACAACGTAATTTGGTCTTTTGAAAATTGAAAACAATTTACTCAGATAATTATAGTCAATGATTTAATAAAAATTATAAACTAATTTTGTAAACTCTTTTTAAGAAAACTCGTGTTATTTAAATTTTTCTATTACATGTTAGTTAAAATTTAATTTAATTCATCTAATATTAAATTATCATATAAATCTTTTAATTATTATAATAATTAATATAAAAATCTTATTAATAATATATTTTAATTGAGATGCTAAATTTAAAATCATTTATTTATAATATAACCATAACCTTTACTACCGATGAATGGTCTGTGTCTCAACGGTAACGTAAAAAGAGCACTGCATCTTCATGACAAAGCAGTATCACACGGATTTCAGATCAACCATGTTAGCTATGGAACATTGATCAATGGATTAGGTAAAGTGGGAGAAATAAGAGCTGTCATTCAGCTGCTGCTGAGACAACTTGAAAGGCAACTGATCCAGACTGAAGCGTGTGATTTTTTTCAGAAATGGTTGTCAAGGACATTTATCCCGATGTCATCACTTACAATAGTCTAATTTATGGCTTTTGTCTTTTGGATCAAGTGAAAGAAGCAATAGATTAGTAATCTTCAAAGTTGTTAGCATCCTTTGTATTCTGTAATTAGTAAGATTAGATTGTTACTTAGAAAAATTAAATTTATTAGTTTTAATCATGTTTTATGAGAAACTAACCAATGTGCTGATTGGTTGACTAAATGTGGGCATAAGGAGGTAGAGCTATCTTGTAGGTTTGATTTAGCTCCCACATCTTTAGATCCTTTGTTAAGACTGAATTCTCTGAAATCTTTTTAGTCTAGATCCTTAGTCTAGGTGTTGTTTTATTTTTTGAGCTTTTGAGTCCCATTTTTAAACCAAAAAAAAAAGTTTTTTACACAAAATTTGAATTAAAAATTATTTTCATAATTAATTTAAGATAATTGCTATTTAAACAAATTTAACAGTTTCTTTGATGTAAACAGCTCTAACCCAAACTTAACTTCAAAAATAATTTTTTTTTATAAAATTATTTAACTGATAGTTTTTTGCTTGTCGGTCCGTTGCGACATTTACATTCTATGTTAATTTAAATTTATATATCAAACACATAAATCATCAACTTGCAAAATTTTCACATGTAAACAGCACAGCTCAAACTTAGGTTGTGCAAAGTTAGTTACGGCACTTGACCATTGGATTATGTAAAATGGGAGAAACAATAGCTGTCATCTAGCCTAGGCAGATTGAAGAATTGAGATGAACAGAATAAAAAATGAACAAGATAACCTAAGGCTTGACTCAGCTTAAAGTTTAAATGGGATCACAAGTCTTCAACATGAACAGGAATCTATAATTATCACACTAAACCATCATAGTAAACTTTTGTTGAGGGACGAAATTAATTGTAATTTAATAGGTGTTTCTAGTGTTATTCTATAATTAAAGATGCCATATCTTGCAACATGTCAAAATTTAGATATGAACATCATCTTCTCTAGTGCATAATGATGGTGATAAATGAAATTACAAATCTGCCTGCTTTGCATGTATAATCAAATTACATCTAGCAAATTCAATCTTCAATATAAAGGCATATCGTTCTTGGCTCCCTTGACATATAACATTGTCATACAAATTATAATTTCAATTCTATAAAGAAAACACCTGGGAAACTGGTACCTGAGCTGAGAAAGGGTGCAGGATTATTCGATTTTTCTAGCTTGTGACAATTTTATTAAAAACAACAAAATATTACATTATTCAATAAGGTTAATAATATTAAATTGTACAACTTTTAATAAAATTTACTATTTATTAATTTTTTATTATGTAACCTTAGATACGCGGCGGAAAAATTGAATCACTGGATTAAACTTTTTACACTATCAATGTTAACCAAAAGAAAAAGCTGAACAAGGAATGCAAATATGGACAGCAACGTGAGTTTGGTGACTATAAACCAAAATTGTGCCGCTTATCCCATTTCATCGACATGATACATTTATTTATTGTCCACTCCAAGGAATTGAATATAAAAAAATCTAGATAAAGCATAGTATCACAATAGTAAATACAAGAAAAGGATCATAGTTGACCATATAGCCTATTACAATGTGATGAAGGATTTACAATAATCAGATCAACTAAATCAGCAGACTTCATATACAGCATAGTGTTTGTCCATGCTGCTCTAAACTCATCCGGCATCCTAAAAGGATACTATTCCAAATAGCGGTGAAAGATCAAGTGCCATTCAAATGAAAAGCCAGAGGCAATTAGACAATTGATGACGGATTTTGCTGATGCAGGACCACAAAATGATATGTTGGCACATCTTTGTAGAAATTTGGAAAAGTTAAACTCCATACTTTCAGCTCTAAGAATGTACAAATAAAGGAAGTTAATATTTTTGCCTCTTGATTCAATGCAAAGGGGAAGAAAATGTCTCATCTGATCAAGAAAATTTATTTTGTCCATGCAGGACCAAATTGATCCTGGACACCCATTGAATAAACACTAATACAAGTAACCAGCCCGTTTATTAACAGTGCAAGAATCACAGAGATGAAGTATAGCGTCAGAATTGCATAATAACTGAGGAGCTCATGCCTTTCAAAATTAAGTAAATTGTGACTTGGGCAAACTTATGAGCTACACGATCAAATAGCTATGTTAATACCTTCTAGCTGCAGGCAATGGAAGATGCTATCCAGGAAACTTCAACGCAAATATGGTTGCCAGCCTTCAAGGATGCTCATCATCTATAAATTTTGAAATCTCAAGAGTCCTCGTCATCTTCCCAATCAGTGTCTTCCTCATCATCAAAACCATCCGAATCTTCATCCTCGGTCTGCAAATTAACAAGTGGCCAAATTAATTGTCATTGTAATGAAAAACTATTTTTGTTCATATGTTCTTTCTGTCAATCTTTCTCCTCCTTACCCACTTTCAGCTGACAAGCAAATTAGTATTATAAATAGTATCACACTTCATATTAAACATGTTTAGACTAGAGTCCAAATCTTACACCTTAGTTTCTATATGAGAAACTGAACTACAAGTACAAGGAAGTTATAAATGCCAGAGGTTAGAGCTACCGTTTAGAAATAGTAGTAAATTGGCAAAAACCTAACCTTCCCAAAAAAAAAAAAGCAGATACGAGAATGAACAGATATGAGGAGTATCTTACCAGGGTGAATTCTGAGATGTTATCAATTTGGTTACGATCCTCTTCCTCTTCGCTCCACCCATCTTCAACATCTGAATCTTGAGTCAAACCCTGGTTAAATTTAAAAGACCAAATTAGAGTAGCTGATATAGAGACCATAGAGAAACCATAGTGCTGATCTGGTAAATGCCAACATTGGGATATGAACTTCACATTTTGACATGAATCGAATGAAATCCTAGAAAGATATAAATGCCAACATTGGGACCAGGTTGAAGAAAGGACGATAGTTCTAAGACATTCAGATATAAACCATTCCAAATAAAATTTGGAGCTACTTGATTATATCAAAAAATGACCAGTCCCACATGTTGAAGTTGAATAAATACAGGCCTAATGCAAATCCCAGAGCATAATGTCAGGGCACAGGAGGCAGAAGGGTTTCCATTGTCGATATTGATCAAAGATTCTATAATCCAAATATGCAAAACCAAGTTATCTATATATATATTGGTGCTGGGGGGAGGGGGGATAGTGACAATGAAGCAACACAATTTATTCAGACTGTAATCAATAAACTCTACATAAAAAAATAACTAAATAATTACAATAAGTCAATACTTACAAGTTCTTCATTCATTTGTTCTATATTTTTTTCCAATTCAGTAATATGCTGACTCAAAGCCTGCAGAATTAACACAAGATCAAATGTAACATCACGGATATAAAAGACATGAATAGATTAGTAATTCCCATATAGAAATCAGGAACCTCATGGCGTTGCATGGCTACATAACGCTTTAATGCCTTTGCTTTTGTTAGAAGGTTTCTAGGCCTCAGGGTAATGGGTCGTTTATAATTCTTTCCACGATAGTAAATAAGAGCAAACCCTTTGGGTACTCTCTCTATTGCCACCAATATTCCACCAGTCTCATATTCTAGTAACCTTGCTGTGTCCTCAACAAAAGCAAGAGTCTTCTGTTTTGTTATCAATTTTACAAGTTCTCGGTGTTTCCAATGCAAATGCATATTCTCAACAACACCATCAAAAACACCACGTACACCTGGAGATTATCATAGAAAAATTCAGTATTGCATTGTTGGAATACAATAACTTTCAAACAGTTGAAAATTACTCACCAAGTGGTAAGTACGGCTTCATTCTTAAACCAACCCTGCGGAACATAACTCGTTCTTCATCTGTGATTGTTTCCTGGTCATAATCAGGACCAGCTGGAACCATAGATGCTTCTATCTTGGCTAAAAGCTTTTCTGCTCTTTGCTTTTTGTCTTGGGCCTATTCGTGCATTAGTGATAAATATGAGCAAAGAAAGACAAAAGTTGATAAGGCAATCATAATACATACATATATATATATATATATATCAGGATCAAGTTAATTATGCTGCATTCCTGTGTGTATATATTGTTGAAATAAGTTGCAACCAGATGCAAGCAGCCAAACATACAGCAGAAAAATTAAGGAGAAAACAATGCGAGCAGGATTTATATTTACATCAGTCAAGAATTTCAATCTGGGGACTACTCCTATAACAATGCTCATAAGCTGTATCCACTAATGCCCCATAAACCAAGTCTGATTTCAGTTGGTATAAAGTTATAAACCAAGTAATATCCTAAGCATATCTTCGTATAATATGTAGATACTTACAACGAATAGTTTGTGTTCGATTTGTCTGACAAGCTTAACAGTCTTGGCTTTGGCAGCTTCTTCCACCATCTTCTCACGTTCTTCAGCAGATACATCCCTTCCCCATCGAGCCTGGGCCTCATAAAACTCTGCTAGAGATCCGGCTGGTGCTATTCCTTCACCTTGCCTTGACAGAATTGCGTCAACTGCTCCACACCTAACCTTGTCTTCGACATCCTGTACCTGTTTTGTCAATTCCTCTCTTTCAGCTAGAACTGCCGCCACACTTGTTGGAAGAAAGTCCTTCCCACGATATATAACAATGAAATATTTATTCCTTAGCAGCAAGGTACCTCCTGTTAACATCTGTACCATAAAAGGGGTTAAAAAGATTACTTTTTCTGAAATTTAAATTGACAGAACTAGTGCCTTGTTCTCTATTATTAGCTGATCATGTCTTAGCAACAAAATTAACACACACACACAAATTAACCACATAACATAGATTCATCCCAGAGAATGTGTTAAACTGTTAATATCTTCAATATAACACTTATTTTCGTGATAAAATTAAAAGAAAATAACCTCTTGTGCTGAATGATGTTTTGGGCATAAACAGAATGCTTTCAGTATAGAGTACCCTTGAAATTATTATTCCTAGCTAAAATTATTTGCTAGCTGGTAAAATTAATGGAAAAGGAAAACATAAAATGCATGAACAAATTATCATTTTGGTTGATGACTTCCAGGTATTTCTGAATATAAGCATAGCCAGTAGCTTCAAGAAAACAATTAAAATATAACCGAAAAATTGATATAAGATTTAGTATACACCAGAGTTGTCTTGATTGGATATTCAATCAGGGATTGTGGACCTATTTCTAAATGCTCTAATAATTATAATAATTTCAATCACTCAACCTTCGTACAGATCTTACTAATCTTTACAACCCTCTTGTGTATTTTTAATTGAACAGTCATCACTTCTACAAAATAAAATGCGTTAGATTTGATCCAAGCATGATTGCACAAGCAAATAATTGTCAAATTACAAATAGCCACGTCCATACCTTCAGCTCTTCAGCCATTAATTTATTGTTTGTGTTCTGAATCCCAGGTTTGACAGCAATCTTTGCAACTAAACTTTTCTCCCAAAGCTTAAGAACAGCACATGCCAGACCTTGGTGATTTCTATTTCTCCCTTCATAAAGTTCAGAAAAAGACTCATATAAGTAAAAAGGAAAATCAATTAAATAAAATATTGCAGTGCATGAATCTTACCCAAGGCAAAATGACAAGGAAGTGATTTTGAAAGATTTCTTAAATTAGTCATCTCTGCATTTGTTAGCCGAGAACGCATTCCGGTAGGAAGAAGCCTAAAAGGTGTTTTGTAACCTGGAACTGTCCGGGGAAGTAAATCAGCATCAACAGGAAGTATTCCTGTACCCCACCATCCAACAAAACGAGGACCTAAACCATCAAGTAGAGCATTGTACTCTGCTTCTGCCTCTTTCATGTTCTCAGGCTGTTCTCTATTCCTCACAACCGGCTCATTCTTCTCCACGGATGAAGTTGCATTACCATCTTCAGTTTTCAACAAACTTGCTGACGAGACATTCGGCACAAAAAAGTCACCACCTTCCTTTTCATTGAGCTCTTTCCGCGAGTCGGGCCCTTGGTAATCAGTACCACGATACACCATCATAACACTTCCCGACCTCCAGGTAACCAACCCTCCTGTTCGATGCTGCACACTACAACAAATCAGTCGACTTGTTTTCCAACCAACACAAAGTCAAACGTCAACATTCAACACACAATTATGGAATCACCTAGCAAGTAATGACACACTGACTTGACCAACAAGACAAACAAATGTTCATTTTAAACGCAACTCAAATAAAAAAATTCACCAAGGGCACGGATTCAAGAGCTTACAAGGATTAATTGAAAATAACTTATGCTTTCAATAAGTTTGTTTTATCTTATTTCAATAAGCTTCTTAATATAACTTAAAAAAATAAGCTCTTACTAGCTTATTCCAATAAATTTCATGATCAAATTCACATCATAAGCTCTGTCTAAAACATTATTGAATTAAGTGTGTTTGAAAACATGTTAAAAAACCTATAAATGTTAATCCAACACAGAAGCTACAATTAACATGGTTGAAGTAAACGTAAATCTACGACTATTTAAAAGCGAAAACAAACACACTATATTTAATTAAGTTGTTTACTGAAACGCGCCCTAGAACCGAAGTAATTAGTAATTGATCTATGTGCTATGTTATGAATTTGTTCTAAAGAGTGAAAGAAACCGAAGTGGAAGCAAGAAGTGTACCTCAACAATCTCATGAGCCTTCTTCATGTCCCTTGCAAGTTCCTCATGAAACTTGAGTCTCACCAACTCCTCCTTCCTCCACCTCTCATGAATCTTATCCATCACATCCTGAGTGAGACCAGCTTTGGGGACACTAACCCTCTCTCTCACACGCATCCCTTCTCTCCTCAACCTCCTCAACAACTCATCCTCAAGAGTCAACTCAGCCAAAGACGGAGCATTTACCCTTCTCTTCCTCAACCCCTCTTCACCCACACTCACAACCACCGCCTTCTTCTCTTCCTCTCTCTCCCATGGTAACACCGTTTCCTCACTCTCTTCCTCTTCATCATCATCACTAACCAACATAGCATCTGGCCGAACCCATTCTCGCTTCAGCAACTCCCCTAGCCTCTCTTCTCCGGTCACCGGTAACACATTGTTGACCTCAACCTCTTCTTCTTGTTGCTCTTCTTCTTCTGAAACTAAACCCAGGTTCCGTAACCGTAGAACGATTCTCTCGACGGCGTTTTTCCCTTTATCGTTTTTCCGGTGAATTGGGTCGTCGGCGGTGGATTCGGAGACCCTTTTGGGAGAAGGGTTGGGAGAGGGCGTTTTGGTAAGCCAAGGGGCGGAAAGGTTGGGTTTTGGTGAGGACTTGTTGGTGGTTCGGAGAGAAGAGAGAGTGAGAGTGCGAAATGAGGATTTAGAATTAGAGAGAGAGAGATGGGTGAGAGTGGAAGAGTTGAGAGAGTGTGACACTGATGATGGTTTGAGAGGAATTTGAAACTCTGATAGTTTAGCAGTGTGAGAAAATGCCATTTTGTGTTGATGGGTGTTGTCAGTGATGCATTTTTCTTTTCATTTTCTGTGTTATGTTTGGATGATGAGAAAATTGCAGAGTTTGCTGTAGAGGAATGAAACGGTGGAGTGAGAAAGGGAAGAAGATGGTGATGTGTGAGTACAAGGGAAATGAGGATAAGGTTTTTTTGTTTTCTGGAAAAATCAATGAAAAATTATGATTTTTTATTTCCGAGAGATTTTTTTGTTTTTCTTTTTACAGTTTTGTTTTCGTCAGTCCGGAATTTTGATTCTATGCAAGCAAATATATATATACTTCATTTATTTTATTTGTTTTCTTAAATGAATAATACATAAGTTAATGACTATAATTTTTTATTTTATATTAAAAATATTTTAACTTTTTAATATAATATTTATTTTTTTCTTTTATTTATGATAAATATTTGAAGTATTTGAATAGAAATAACTCAAATAAGGACAGTTAAAAAGATAATAATTATATAATCTTAATTTCTAAATAAATAGAAAAAAACTTTAAAATGGACAGATAAAAAAGTGAAGACAATGGGTAAAAATCATCCTCTATAACTAAAAAAAGGTGAATACTTTCTCTGTTTTTTATAATATAAAATATTTTCTTGTAAGAAAAACAAAAAGATAAGGGAGATAAAAAAAATTGAAAATATTTTAGATGATAGAATTAGCATTGCAATTTAAAATTTCGATTAAAATTATAATAATGTTGCAATTAGAAATAATTTAAAATTTATTTTTTGTGTTTAGGTTATGTAAAAGATTTAAGGCACAAATTAAAAATTTTATATTTAATTCTAATTTGGTTGCTTAAATATAAAACTCAAAACTAAAATTAATTATGAGTTCATGTTAAAAACTTATTTAACATTCTAATACAAAATTTAATGATTGTTTTTCTATACTTCCAATGTATTATAATATTATGTTGTTAATAGCAATAACCTTTACCATAATTTACTCTACTTATTTGGTCAATCCCTACCATTCTAAATTAAATGACTTTTTGTTTTTAACAAATTTAAAATGAAATTGCCCTTGCATTAGGCCATTGGCATAATAACTAAATATTGGTGGCTATTGGATGTAAACAGCCAAAATGAAATGTCTAAATATAAAAATATTGTTAAAAAAAATGCAAAGACGAGGATAACAGTAACATATTCATCTATGTTAAAACTTCACTTCTTTCAACTATAAAATAATGGCAATTGATCGTTTTTTCTCATTGAAATTAATCATACAGAAATCCAGAATTGCGTGAAAGTTTGATTACATCAACTCCTTCCATTTATTATGCATCCCCTTCTTGCGAAAGGAACTTCACCAGAGTGAAAAAAAATGATCAAATAAACATGTACAAGCAAAATATGTGGTAGCATAAGAAGATTAGCTACTCTGAGAAACATTTACAAAATTTGTCCGTGATGATTTCCATAAGCACTATTTTGCATGGAAAACATTAAATATTAAATACTGTATACTATAAGCAATGTTTTTTTATGAGGGTCAGTTTCCAGTTCCAGAAAATCTTCTGTTGAGGGAAGGAGAAGAATTAATAATTTCCTGGCCAAGTTCTTTTATCTTTCTGAGAAGAAGCATTTGTTCAGTCTCCAATTGGACAATGTACCCTTCCTGTGTATCCTCTAGAGTTTCTAGCTCACTCAATATTGTAGCTAGTCCTTCAAGATTTCCATCCTCTATTAAGGACCTGAACTTAATCATCATCTGTTTTATCTGAATAAGTCCAATTTACAATGGGTCAGAATAACAAATGATAAAGAGAATAATGATAACTTCACAAAATATAAGTCCATGCATTCCTTTGAGCTGAATTACTAGATAAAGGGAAGTGTTTCCAGACATGTATGAATATCGCACCTGGCTAGGAATTTGGTGTAATTTACTCAAGGAAGGTTCAGATTCTAGACTTAGTCTCCTTTGTGTCTCTGGAACTTTTCTAGTAATTTGGATGTGAATCTCACCCCTTTTCACTCCTTGGAGAGGTATCCACTTGTCGGCCGTCTGATTTGGAGGTAACCTTTGATATTCTACAACACATTCGCCTATACTTGATGTGGGTAGTAATGCATTGTGGTCCTTAACATAAAGTACCAAGGGACTTCCATCATCAGGGAATTCTAGGGTCTGGTTCCACTGAGGGTTAAGAGTTTTGTATATAACCTACCACAAAATGCCAAAGCTAGTCGTAAGTACTTGAGTTTTGTATGACTGAAGTAATAACAGCATGGAATAAAGAGGCAAAGTAAAATTGAGAGAAAACGAGAGGTATAACATATCCATGATAGATAAGTCTAGAAAAATCCCTTTAGAAAATGTAAAATATATAGATGTTTGAAAGCATAGAGAAATTCTAAACAAAATTAAGGGGAAAGAGAAAATCCAAACAGTAAAATAGTTATATTGCCTTTTAATAATTCACTTCAATATTTATAATGTAGTACATATAAAAATTTTAAATCCTAACATTCAATTTCATGAAAAAGAAGCCAAGGATGAAGTATTCCAACCTTTGTCCTTTTCTTAAAGCTACCGTAGTGTACCCTCACATATGGATCACTTGTGCCTCTGAGATCGGCAGCAACAAGATCCCTTCCTTCAATTAGAACAAGTTCAATCCAACCACCGCCAGAGCCCAAACTTAAACCCTGCCCGTTTCAAAGGAGTAAGGCATGTTAGGATGAAAATCCAAGAGGTGAATAACCATCATGATTCATGAATAAAAAGCTGAAGTGATAATATGCAAATATGATCTAGCCCTTCGCATCCTCTTTTCATAAGAATCATTAATTTTCTAGTGAAAAAACACACCCTTGATCCTTCTTGGTCGTCCACTCTAACTGCTTCTATTTTAAGTCTTAATTCTCCAGAGCGCACTCTTTCAAGGGGGATCCATACATCCCTGACTGAACCATCAACCAGTCCTTCCAAATTCACATGTGCACTACCAATGTTTTCATCTCCAAAAATTTCTTCAGTAAAGCCTTTTATTCTCAAGTATTCACCGCCACCAATCTCATCAAATTCAAATGTCTGATTCCAGGAAGGATTTGGAGTATGAGCCGTCCTTGTTTTCTGGACAACCTGAAAAATTAACAACAAAATTAGACAAAGCATAATCATTAACCTACAACCTCAGTTAATCACGTAATGGCAGAACTGTCAAACTCTCACAGACATACAGTGCCACTCACCTTTCCATACTGCAATTTAATGTATGTGTCAAATTTTCCAGATTTCTCTTTTGCAGCAAGATCCTTTCCTTCTACAACAGTTACGTTAAGTTTCCTTCCAGTTCTTAACTGAAGATTTGACGATCCATTAAGTGACTGCTGAGAGCTATTTCGGAGATTGTTCAAGCTATGTGTACCATCAGAAAATTGCCACTCTTTTACCACAATGCTCACCTTCAACTAAAAAATTGAAGAGAAGAGGTAAAATGTATAAAATGTCTGATTCAATTCCAATTTTATTCACATTCAGAAAGGTAAATCAATTAGCCATGTTTGAGTAAAAAATGTGACAAAGGGCATTTTGATCTGAGCTCGAAGATTTAAAAACCAGTCAGAAGTGACGAACAGAAAACTATGTTATTTTAAGAATATGGTAGATTAAAATTTAGAAGACCATTTAATTTAGTAAGATTAAGATCAAAGAACAATTTGATTCAATAAACTCAACCAGTAGAGGATAGAAGGATGCTGGAACAGTTACAAGCTTTACCCCAGAAAGGCTACAAAAATGAAACTCTATCTTCCATTTTAAATGATTAATTCCGTACAATGTTTCAGCTTTACAAATCAAACAACAAGATTGATAGTATAATCACGTTCCTTTTGACTTACATAAAGAATAAACATTAATTAAATATGCAATTAAATTCACATTCATGTTTCTTTATATTTTACTTGATCAAGATATATGTTAAGATTGGGAAGCTTTATGAAAAGCAAATTATGATGCAGTAAGATAACCACGGAGTCTGTATTGTATTTCATAATAAAGCAAGAGGGGCAGGAGGAATTGATCATTACATGACTATAAAATACTGTACCTCTCCAGAGTTGGTCCCCTCAAATGGGACAACCATTTCAATTTCATCTCCACAAAACTGTGCTTGCTTTGCTATGACTCCAGAATCAGGTCCTATAGCCCACATTATTGTGGAATCATCTTCAACATGCCTCATCTACACAAAGGCATATACATTAACTAATCATATTATAAAGAACTAGAAGTACTTGTCAAAAAGAAATAAAGGCTGAAAAAAGAATTAATGTTTGAATGAATATAAAATATAATAATATTTATTGTTAACTGATTCTCCTGTTGCTAGCTCAAAAAGGAAAACATCGCAGACAGTACCTTGATTTCACAACTTGCTAAATAGTCACACTTTACATTGCTGGGACGGCACTCATAAAGATTGAACCGTATAGTTCCTGTATTATCATGTAAAACCATATTAAATGGTGCATCCCATCTAGGGGTTGAACCCACTCTCACATCTGTTCTCCTGGTTAATTCCTCAACTTCTACCTCCACAAATGTCTGAAGGTCCTTCTCATCAAAATTGTCCTCTGAATAACCATTGGTTGTACCATTTTGTTGCCTCCTAGATGTCTTGAAGGAACTTCTAGAAAGTTTATTTGCAGACATCACTCTAATATATATTATGCCTCCAACTGCCTTCTTTCTTAAATCAACTGCAGGCAAAGTGAAACAACGGCGCCGAGGTTCCACCATTGTTTTAACCAAAGTGTCAGTAAAAAGCTTTTCCTGCAAAGAAGGTAAACTTTCAATCAGCATAAAACAAAAGAAAGCTAGCCAAATAAGATTTCAGAGAATTTGTTAAGACAATGAGAATATGAGACCAAACATCTAAATGATTTTTAAACAACTGCTCCTACGTTGACAGATAATAATATCAGTCATCAACTTTAATTAACAGAGATTCTGTCTGCCCTTATATTACAATTTCCTAAAATTAAATTCACTGAAAATGCAAAAAACTTTCTGCTTCATCTTCTGTTCTTTGATATAGTTATCTGCGACTAGCAACAGAGAAGCATTATGTTAATAGTCCCTATACCAAACCCATATATGCACCATTGCACCTGAAAACAAATTTCATTGAACTCAAGCATCAAACTGAAATTCCATTGATTCATAGATTTAGCTTCAATATCTACCAGGCATAATGAATTCTAAGAGTTGCAGCTGAAGCAAAAAGTATGCATATTTCTACAACAGCACCACCATAAATATAGGACTCAACACAAAGAAACACAATTTTGTTACTTTTCTACAAGAATAATATTAAACTTCATGGGTACACACCAGCCATGAAGAAACACCAGGCCACTCAGTAGCAGGAAGTGACTGGCTTCCACCGCTTCCAAATGCAATTCCTATTCTCACCTCAGGAGTTGATACAAATGAATACAGAAGTGCTTTTCCATCAAGAATTGGTGTAACAAGAAGCTACAAAATGAACGTACATGATGATTAGATTAATAAATGGAAAAAGAACAAACCAGTTTCTTAGCAATTAGGAAAATCTGTGCCTGGCCCAAGAACTGAAGTAATATCCAATGGAAACTTCAAAATAAAAAAATTGTGATAAGCTGGTGATCATGGTCGAAAATTCTCAAATAAATTACACACTTCAAAATCAAATCAAATTTGTTTACATGTACCCAACTTTAGTTTACATAGCTTTTTTATGTTACAGAAGTAAAAATGCAAAGGTAGTTTATTTCATACATCACCCTTGATATTCTCAAATAAATTACACACTTCAAAATCAAATCAAATTTGTTTACATGTACCCAACTTTAGTTTACATAACTTTTTTATGTTACAGAAGTAAAAATGCAAAGGTAGTTTATTTCATACATCACCCTTGATATGAAGACTGTTAATCACAATTCGAGCAGTTCCAATCAATGGCTTTGCAAGCTTAGCAAGCATCAAAATGCTCATTTCATTTGTATCCCAATCAAAACCAAGTTGCAGGACTCGCTGCAAAATACCCATAGAGTGCTTTATCAAAATCTCAGATATCTGGTAATATATCAATAGTAAAATGACAGCACATAATCATAGACCATAAGAAAACTGAAGGAGGAGGTGGCAAAATACCTCAAAAAGCAAGGTAATGGAAGTAGGAAAGTCAAAAATAGTAATTTAAATTAGGTGGCACTTAGTGAGCTGTACAAAAGATTCATATGATCTCTGATTTGTAAGTAAAACTTTAGTTTCAAAACTATGAATACAAGGAAATTCACTGGGCACTTGTTCGTAAATATCACAGAAACCAGTGGCAATGGAAGTGGTGAAGGCAACAACAACTGCAAAAATACCAAGTCTCCTAGTGGTAAAGTCACATCAAGGAAAAATCAAAAGCACATATTTGGACCAAAATCTGTTTCACTATAGAAATGATCCCCCTGCTTCATGGAGAATAAGATATTTATGCTATCTACTAATGATGTTTGAAATTTGAAGGAAACTAAAACCTGATCACCAATAGTTGACCACCGCATCCCTTGCAAAGCCACACTAGGAGGGCATGATCCCAGTGAAAACTCCTGTAACTCAACTCTTTCCTACAAAAGAAGTGATCTAGTTCAGCACACATCTACCAAATATTCAATATCCAAAATATGTTTGTGAACTGTTTATGCAAAGTAATCAGAACTCTTCCATAGCAGAAAATGTGGGTCACTTACAAGAAGTCTTGGTTTCCGAAGCTTTAAGCGTTTCTAGAGGCACAAAGAGAGAGAAAGTAAATTAGTAAATCTATAAAAATATAAATTCATGTCTGAAGAGAACATGGAACAGATCCAGGCAGACAGTGTTGATTGTTTAACAAAGATGAAAATGTCAAAAAATACATCAACGTTAACGTTGTAACTGGGAAAGACAGTGAAAGTACACCTCAACTATAGCTGATAGCCTTGTTGAAAACTTGGGGTTAAAATAGTTGGACCATACTTCTGTCAACAACTTGTTCAACCACTCGCAGTGCTCCAATGGTGTGATGGGCTACACGAACATGAACTTGAGGTCAACTTCATTAAGCACATTGTAAGTGTGAAAGGGTGAAAGGGTAGGAAAAAAGATACCGAGACATTCAGTATGATTCGCTTCCATTTCTTATCCAAGTCCTCCACAAGTAGTTTGCGTTGATATCTCCCATACTGAAAATGAAAGTGCAGTACCTCACATTAACTATTGCTTCTATCAATCACTACCAAAAACAACATTACTCAGAGATGATGATGGAGGGAGATTTCCTTGCACATAATTTGAAGTTAACCAAACATATTTATTAAAAAGTTACGGATAAAAATAGGAATCTCAAGCTAAAATTCCACTAATTCAGCATTATTTTCTCCAATTAAACGCATGTCTCCAATTGGTAGATAAGAGTTCCAAGAACAAGTGACTGCAAACAACTTAGAGATATGATAAAGAACTACATCAACAAGTAATGTTTTATGCTACAAATTACATATGCAGTGGAAATATTATGTAGTTACCCCAATTAAACAACAAGTGAAAAACAATAAAAGCAAACCAAATTGACCAGGCAAGATTACCCTTAACAGAGTAATTTTAGTGGAAACATATTTGGGTAAACACCAAAATAAAGATAAAGGAAAAAGAGAGGAAAGTAAGGAATCAAACAAAGCTACCTGTATAGTAGTCCACACAGCAAGTGCAAGAGGAACCCAAGTGGAGACCGAGAAGACCCATCTCTCTATAGCCCAAGCAATCAGAAACAGTGGAATGAAGAAAGTAATCCGGGGCTGCTCCTGCAAGAGATGGTTGAAAAAGTCCACTGCAGCTTCTTCAACATTAATGGAAATGACCCCTTTTTTTCTGTTCATTGCTTTGCCTTTTACTACCACCAAACACCACCCCTCTTAAAAAAAAAAACAAAAAAAGGCAACTTTTTGTATTCAAAATTGTGTTCTTGCCAGTTTGTTTCTCTTAATTCCAATTCCTCCCACTACCAATATTTGCTATCAAGATGATAGCATAAGGGGGAAAAAGAAAGACCAAGGGTGAAGGACTCATAGGATAAAGGTTCTGTTTGTGAAAGAAGCACAAACCATGGAAAATTTTTGGGAGTTGACAAATCTTTGAAGGATATTTAGGAGAAGCAGAGAGAGAGAGTTGAAAAGTCAACAGAAGAGAACACAAAACTAACTCCTTGTGGCTTGCAAAAGGGACGTTTTTGTTGTCCAGAATTGAATTGAATAGATAGAATACAGACTAGAAAGGAAAGGGTAGACGCTGAATCAAATCCTAAGTTCCACATTTGTCTCCTACCTCACCTTGGTAATTCTTCATGTTCCCAACGCTAAGTGGGTCCCATCTTCAACCTTTATGAAACAACATAGAATATCTTATCATGTAATTTTAATATTATCAAATTAAATCTTGTAATTTTCATTACAAATTTATTATATGTTAATTTTTTTTAATATTTTTAGATACATTATAAAAAAAATTTAATCTCAATCATTAAGATTAAGTTTAAAAATAATATTTTTTATTAAAAATATTCATCACAATTTTACAAATTTAATGTTTGAGTTCTTTAAAGTTAATTAATAAAATAGTTAAAAATTTAATTAATTCATTATTTTGTTAATTTTAATTTTTATAATATATATTATCATTAAATAAAAAAAAATTATATTTTATAATATTCATTAAAAGAATTTATATATATATATATTTTTAAATATGCATATTAAAAAATTAATAATTTTTATTAATATAATAACCTATATTAAATAATCATCCAAAAAATATGTATACTCTGGATATATTCAAATTAAATTTATTTATTATTTCAAATGTCATGTTTTTAATCTACGGATAGTAAAATTTTTTTAATATTCCCTTTTTGAAGGAAAATGAATTCCTTACGACTTGTATCAATCAATGTTGATAAATCAAATTTATGTCTGCAGCTAACAATCTCCTTGACTGAAACATTAACTAACAAGACTTAAATATTATCTAATATTTTTAGGCAGCTTTAAAAAATTTATAACTATATAAACGGATATTAGTTCAAGTGAGAGACAGCATGATATCATTTAAGTAAAATATTAAATTTAAATTTTATATATATAAAAAAAATTAATAATAAACTCATTAATCACGTTGTATTATTTTAATTGAATTCATATTAAATTAAATAAAAAATAAAAAAATTATAATAATTTTAAATAATATTAAATTATTTTTATAATTTTTAATAAAAAATATTTATTCAGTTTTTAAACTACAATAATAATTAACAAAACTTTTGTTTTTTTATAACTTTTTTTAAGAATAAATTGAAAAAAAAATAATAGAAACAGCTAAAAAACACCTTAGTCCTTACAAAGGACAACTTGACATTGCATGTGCTGACTAAGTGACAAGGATTAGATGAGACACGACAGCGAGGGCGAGACAAGAAGTGATATATCCTCTGCATAGAAATGAGTGATTTTGATATACAATTTTTTAAAATTAAATAATAATAAAATTTTATATAGTATTAAATATTATAATTTTTTAATAAAAATATTATTTATTATTATAGACACACTTTAAGAAATTATTCATCAAATCAATTATTTTTTATAATTTTTTAGTATATATTAATGTTATGTCCAAGTTAATAATAATATTTATATCTATCTTATTGTATAAAACAAGTTGTTCAAGATGTTTTATCATGTAAATTTTCATGTAGATTCTAATTTTATTATTTCAGAATCATTATTTATTATATTTATTATTTTAAATATTTACTAAAAAATTATTCTTACTATATAACTTATTAAATTTATTTTTATTTTATATAACTTTTTCTTTTTTAAAACATATCTACTTAAAAAAATATATAAGGTAGATGGACATCACGTGCCTCTTCTCTTTTCAATTTTATTAAATATTATTTTTAAAATAATGATTAAAAACTAATAATAAATTATTTTAAATTATTAATTTTTAACATAAGATAATATTTGTTAATCCATTAGTGTTGAACACAATCAAAATAGATAAAATATAGGTGTAATTTTTTTATATATTTTTAGTACTGATTATTATTTAATTATGGACATTTTCTTGAGATAAAACTTTAATTTTATTTGACAATAACATATTTTTAAAAAAATATATTATATTTAAATTAATATTTACTCTCGAAGAATTTCTTACTTTATAACGAAATATCATTATAATTTAAATTTTTCATGCAATAAAAAAAAAGACAATATTTACTAAAATATATTAAAAATAAAAAATTATTAATATACTTTTACCTTATTTTTTAATATATTTATGACATATTTTTCAATACAAACTTATTTAATAATTAATATTTCACATATGTTATGAAAATGTTGATTAATAACGCCCTTACATCAAGGATAAGAGACGATATCTCTTTGCAAGATTAAAAATAAAATAAAATTGTCATACTTTGCTTCATTTACTTCATCCTTAGAGAGACAAATGAAAACTTGAAAAATTGAAAATATGATGAGACCACATATTTTTGTTTTTTGATAAACAAAAAATTAAAAAAGAAAAATGTACTACTAGAAAACTTAAAAATATAGACAAATTTTTTTATTATTATAGATAGATTTTAGCATTAGAGACAGATTTATAGATGGACTGAAGCCGTCTATGATATACGCGTCGGTAAATAAATATAGACAAATTTTTTAATTTGTCTATAATTTACAGACAGATTGAATTTTTAAATCTGTCTGTAATTCGTTTATGAAATTTAAAAAAAAAATATTTTTTTTATAAACATAATTATTCTACGCTGTTCCTAATTATCACAATTTATAAACATAATAAATATTATAAAATTATATATTTAAAATCAGAAATTACTTATAAAATATAAAATTAAAATTTTATTACAAATAAAGAAGTAAACATCTAAAAAAATAAAATAACATTGTATATCACTAATAATATTTCCTTACATTTGTTTACACGTACTTAATACAAAAATTTAAATTTTCTTTACACATAATATATATATTATATAACAATTTATTAATCAATACATAAAAAAACATACATATTACAATCCTAAACCGTTCTAGAGCACATTCCCTTTATAACTCCACAACATGCATATTCTACAAACTCCATAAACACAAACAATCAGGTTTAGAGAAGAACTTCTACGCCCTTTCCCTCAGTCATACAATCTCCAATCCTACAACTCTATCTCAGAAATTTTAAGTCTCTAAAATACATAAAAAATAAACTAATTAAAAGTTAAAGTATCATACCAGAAACACAATAATACAAATTATGTTTCAAAAATAAATTTGTCAAGTCCAGTTACAGACGAAAAAATCCATCTATAAATTGTCAGATAAAAAGTTGGTCAAAAAGGACAATATTTACAGACGGATTTTTCCGTCTGTAAGTTCCGCTCCAAATTTTTCTTCCATTTTGAAATTACAGACGGGAAAATTTGTCTGTAATTCCTGTTTATATTATTTCGCTTCAAATGACGGGCAAACTATAGACGACCATTACAAATGATTTTTTATCTGTCTGTAATACAGACAAATTTACAAACAAATTTTTCATAAAATTAAAAAAAAAATCCACAAATCTATTTGTAAAACCGTCTGTATTACAGACGGATAAAAATATGTTTATAATGGCCATCTGCAAATGACGCTTTTCTAGTAGTGACACAACAAATCAATCTTAAAAAACATTTACATTTACCTCACGTCCCAAAATGATGAGATAAAAAAAAAATCAAAATATAATACCTTATTTTTCTTGATCTACTATATCTAAAATAATTGTTTTATGATTTTATAAGAAGCAATAAGTTTTTATTTAAACGTTAGTTTACTAAGTTGAGGAAAAAATAATTGGTTTATGACTTTATGATAGATAGGATTAATTTTTTTCTAATTGAGATGAATGTAATTTGAGTATGGATAATTATTCACAAAAGTTTATATTACTTAATTCTATTTATATATACGTAATATATTTATTATATTAAAAAATAATGACAATACATTAGTAATTATAACATTCAAGCTTTGATAATTTTTACCATATTTTAATTAATAATCAAGAGTGTGTTGAAAGCATATTTGTACCTGAGAATGACACTATTCATTTAGCATGTTACAGGACAATATTGTAAGCTAATTTATAAACATTAAGACACCTTTTAAACAAGATAAATGTTAAACCTCTATAATACTAATTAATTAAGAAATTAAAAGTAGAATATTTTTGTGTGAGAATCTTATTCATGTATTTTTTTTCATGTTTTAAATAGAGTTTAATATATTTTAATAAAAAAAAATCAAATAACTTCAATTTCAATTCTTAATCAGTGCTTCAAGACCCTTTAAATAAATTACACTTGGAATAATAAGATTTGCAACCTTTAGATGTGCCATTTCCACAGCTAAATGTTGTTTCCTTGTCTTTCTGATCATCATCTAAATTCTTTTTTTTAGAACTGTGCTTCGTTTTAGGATAATTTTCTAAGTTGAGAAAATGTTGGGTCTCGAGATATGAACAAAAAGAAATTTTCGATGATTTTTAATACTCAATCTATTTTTACTCTCTAGTTGTTGAAAAATGTTCTAGATCTATATTTATAACCACACGTGTTAAACAACTTTTTAATCTTCAGACCTCGTAATTAGCATGCTTCTTAGATGGTTCTAGTCACCCACTTGATGAGTACGATTTGTTCATTTGTAAGAACCAAGAACATAACTAACATAAATTAAACGCAGTAATATAACATCAAAACCCTAAATATATATAATGTAGAATATAACCGTAATTATAAGATTAATTGAAGCAAACTATGTTGTTCCATACTTTATTTAAACGTCATTCCAGGGGCTCCTTTTTTTTCTTCTTTTAATTACAGAAATATAGGTTTTTTTTTACAAAATTATAAAAATATGATTTTTTTTGTCAAAAATTACTTATTTTAAAAATCGTTATTGACCATTTTTATATTTTTAATATTTTTTAAAAATCTTCATTAACGGTATTTAAAATTTTATCATTTTTTAATTTTTTTATCTCTAAATTTGTGTATTTATATTAAAAATTGCCTATATTTATATACATGTATAATTTATAAATGCCACGTGTACTCGGATCTTCGTGTTTTGTGAGACTACAACCTTAAATTTTCCTCGGAATGCGCCGCCACACACGACAGTAAGAAACACTGCTCAGAGTGACGCGTGAGACTCACCGCTCAACTGATTCGCGCCCTTTCGCTACTTCGAACACCTCAGCACTGAAAATTTCACATTACCACGTGTCAGAGCCCCATTGGCTTTTATACTCCGCCTTAACAATATTTGCATGCATCATGCAAAACCTAAACTCTATATATACAAACACTTTCGTCCATCCAAAACTTTGCCTTGACCATCTCCGCAAGAGAATAACAATTTTAACCACAATTTTCATTTTGTTTCCATTTGTTGAAGCTTTTGAGGTTCATAACAATCTCTTTTTTTATTTTTTTTGGCTCATATCCATTTATAGCAAACTCATAATTAATTCATAACTCTACCATTCATTTCTCTTTGTTGTGGGTGATTGTTACCCTTCTTCAAAACCAAAGCCATGAGTCCTTCACAATTTCATGCAAAGAAAGAAATCCCCACCACCAATAACAACATTAATGGATTGTTGCCGCCACCTTTGAAAATCAACAAGGATTCTCATTTCATTAAAAAATCATCATTGTCACCGCCATCATCATCATCATCGTCGTCGTCCTCTTCTTCTTCATCCTCATCTTCGACATCATCTACCCTTGTTAATAGCTCGATGGCACCGGCAATACCGATATCATCAAACAAACCACCACAACAACAACAACGTCATCCTGTGATTATTTACACACATTCCCCGAGGGTAATCCACACACACCCAAGAGACTTCATGGCATTGGTGCAAAAGCTCACCGGCCTCTCTCGTTCAGAGGAGGAGGACGGTGGCAACCCGCTACCACAACAACAACCGAAGCAAGAGCCTGGGAGCGGCGTTGTGGTGGCGGTAGGAGAAAAGGAAAGTGAGAGAAAAAAAATGATTATTGTGAGAAATGAAGACAATGAAACTTCCTCCGTGATCACGGAGGAAAATAACTGTAGTAGTAGCATCGGGGAAAATCAAGTTAATTCTTGTTTTATGTCAGGGGAGCCACCAATGTTAGAGCCTCCATTGAACCCTTATGTGACCAATTTGCCGGTGTTGGCACCATCCTCCGCGGATTTTGTGTGTTCAAGCCAGCCATTGTTGAATTACTCAGATTCATTGTTCTTTTCTCATAACATGAGGACCTCTATTCCATCATCTGCCACCTTAGAAGGGATGAAAGAGTTCCGAGAGTATTGATCATATACAGTTGAAGTTTTTCTCTGGTTTGAATTTTGGTGCCAATAAAAGTTCTAATTTTCCAGGATAGAACTTCAATTGTTTTTTTTATCTTTTGGGATTCTTTTTTGAAGAATGTAGAAAAAGCTGTATCTACAGGGAATTATTCCAGTTATTTTTCTATACGTAGTTTCATAGATTTGTAATTCAGAATAATAAAGAATGATATAGCTTTCTATGTTACTATGGGTTTGTCATGCTGATCCTTTCTTTGTTAGGTTGATCAGAACTTCAGAGACATGCTTTGTGGGTAATCTTTGTTTTTGTACGTAAATGTGTTTCAATTTGTGTACAGAGTTTAGGAAAACACGAATTCGCTGTAAATCACAGGTAACCATGCAAAAGTTTCAAGAGATAACGTCATATTGGCGGGAAAAGAAAAAGAAAAAAAAAAGTGATAAATTTCTTAGAATGTATGGTGATCAATTGTAAGAACATTCCCAATATTTTGCGTTTTAATTCAAAGTATTTTTTTTTCCGGCGTCATTTGAATTTGAATTCAAAGTTTGAAACTATAAAAACTACAACTGAAAGGAAAGATCTATTTTCTAAACGTTTGTTTTATAGTTATTTTTGAATTAACGACACTTTTGGAACGGTCGCATAAATGACAAGGACCAAGTCGGTAAACTTGAATAGTTGATGACAGCCTTTTCTTAATTATTTAAATCCCCTTGATTATACATTTATTATTTTCGGAAGATCAAAGGTTATCTTTTGTTTTTCTTTTACTTTTTTTTGGCAAATCTTGAGCCAAATTTTCGTGCTAAAAATTTCCATAAAAAGTAAATATTTTTTAATTTTTTAAAAATAATAGAATTATTTAATTTTCTTTATATTTTAAATTAATCATATATATATATATATATATTTATTTATTTATTTATTTCAGTTCATCACCTATTGGATTATTGACCAAAAATGAAAACCAATGAGATACTTTGCTTCCACTAATGAGTTTTACACTTCAAACATCTCTATGTACAAGACAAAAACAGTATTCAACAAAACCATGTACACACCAGATCCTCCATCAATCACTTTTTCTTCTTTTCCTCTTTGTCTCTTTCAAGGGTAACAGGAGCTGCAGGTATGCTGAACCACCATTCCTTTAATCTCCTGCTCCATCTCTCTGTGCTGGCTTTCCTTGGAGGTGAATACCTTGTAAAAAACTCCAAGAAGAGTAGCATAACTACGTATTTAATAGGAAAGAAGGCCAAAATCAAGGCTGTTGATAGAAAACCAAAGGCTAACTTCTCTGTGGCCTGAATATCATATAAAGCGAACCAAGTATTACAATGTGTGATAGTTTTTGCGATTAATATTGAATAAAATTATCAAGATTAACATTCTAAGAAGTGCATATACAACATTTTGTAGTGATAAAAACATGTCACTATCAGGAAAAGGGTAAGAGGGAACCTGAGGAAAAATGGACAGCAACAGGCCGCGGAACTTGAGCAGAATTATGTTAAGATCTTGTATGAGCTGTTCAGCTTGAGAAACAGCATTCTGAACAGCCAAAAGCTGTTCCATTGTATTCATAGGTGGAGGGGCTATTACTTTAACTTCAGGAACAGGCCTACCTTGGCTAAAACATCTGGTAATGATCATAAAAGCTGCAAGTAAGATAAGCACCAGTGCCACTGCATAGCCAAGCCAACCCCTGGAATAATAAGATTAGCTAAGTTATCAAAAGAAGGGCAAATTTAATTTGAAGAAAATGCTTTCTGTTTTTACTATTTCTTGTACAAATATTTGAAAACAGGAAACAAAAAGAAAACGTGAATTTTTTGTAATTGTAAATGAAAATATAAAATAAAAAACAGAGCATTTGATTAAACTAATTAAGTTCTAAAGTCTTCAGTATTTGCATTCCTTCTCACATAAAAGATTTGTAGTTTCCCAATGCACTCTATTAAACAAAAAAAAAAAAACTAAAAATCGCATCATACAAAAACACTAGATAATAAAGCGATACCAAATTTGTGTCTGGCGTTCTTTTCTAAAGAAGATTAAGAGAGAGAGAGAGAGAGAGAGATGAGAAGGATGTGCCAGAGTCAGACTGGTATAATGTGGAGGTGTATTGAGGTAAGGAATGTAACATTAAGTTTTCAGATCTATATACCAGGGAAATTACCTTGATTAACAAAAGATTAAGATTACTGTTCTATTAAAACTTGGATTGAAAAGGATTGAAAATTGCTTAGATATATACTACAAAATATTTCATAATATCATTATTGCATCGGAAAATATATTAGTGTCTTATATTGATCCCATAGGAATGGTTTTCATAATTAATTTCATGATCATTTCCTTATTTAGTTAGGACCAAGAGTCTAGTATTAATATAAATAGAGGCTAGTGTTTTTGTCTTTTATATTACATCATATCACATCAAATCAATACCAATTTCAATTTCTCAGTCTCTCTTCTCGTTCCTCCTTCCCCTACCAAAAAGCCCTATAATTTCAACCACCCAAGCACATAACTGCTGAACCAATAGCAAGCTACATAAAGGCTTAAATGTTAAATGTTTATTGTGTTATTCCCAATACTTTCTATATTTACAATACTATCCATATCAAATCACACAGAACTTTTCACCTCAAAATTACTCTCTAATTTCTACAGCAACGTCATAAATTTCAATAAAAAAATATATCCAACCTCCCATATAACAGTTCAACAGAATACCAATTGGTCTACGAAGTTTTACCTGTATATGATATAACTGAAGAACAAACAAAACCCTAATGACTTCCATGGATCATCCCAATCTGCTAAAGATTGAAGAGACTTCCTAAGTTCATTTAGCGGAAAAAGCAACTCCTGAAAATAGAGGTAAATGATAAGTATCAGAATCAAAATACAGTAATTCATGGAAAATGGGTTTAGTATTCTGAAGATAGAAAAAAAGGTAGGAGCCGTAGAGCCAGAGAATACAAATTGCACTCTACAAGTAAAATTAGTTATTTTACAATTTGGTTTCATTCCATTATTATTATGTCATTAAAGAAAAGAAGAGGTAAGTTGTGCACAGCAAAACATGCACATTACATGACTTATTCAAACGTGCATATGTTTGTGGACTTTCCTATTATGAGTAAGTAGGATGCACAACCCAATGTATCTTTACAAATTACAATAAAAATGCAATAACCTGTTTGAGTAATACTATCATCATTAACAGTATTTTAAAAAGGAAAAATGCAACAGCTTGACCAAAAGGTAAACAAGGATAATAAACAGTACCTTCATGACAGCCAAATTAGTGTCAATACCATCAACTTTAACACCATCAACTGTCGCTTGTGCAGATATGACCTTTTTCTGACTGTTTTTAGATTCTTTAACTGCTCTTTCCAATGAAGTCATTTCTCCAACAGATATTTCACCCACAGCAATCCTGCTCTCATTCGAGTTGTTTGAACTTGCTCCAAATACAAATCCCAAGTTAGAAACCATGTCCAAGGCTGAGATAGAATACATTCCACTTCCACCCCTGAAATCATTGTCTTGATCTAATTCCCTTATGTTTGATATATTTGCAAGGGTTTCTAATATCAAGTCTCCACCTGGAAGCTGGTCACATAAATTAAACATTAAAAGAGCATCATTCTGAATGGGGATGGTGGAACTAATATCTTGAATAGCTTGTAAACGCAAAATTCCCAAAACAGCCTTCCAAAGCGCTTCCTCCTGTGCTACCCCTTTAATTCTATACTTGCTTATGAATCTGTGAACATTTAGAATCTCTTGGATGATAGCTAGCCAATAATCACGACGAGCATGACCTTTGAGCTCTGGAAATTCTAGCACAACTGGTTCTGATCTACAAGAGAAGTACTTTTGAAAGTTAATAGCAAGCTAATTTTTCAACAGTTATCCCTTATGAAAATAATTTTGCAATTACTTACAAGGCTACTGAGCTATAGAAGACTGCTTTGTCAAAAAGTCGAGTACCCCAAGGACCAGTCAACTCAGGTTTAACAATTTGTTTTAGATCGTCTGCTAAATCATATCTCTTTGGTTTGTCATATGATACAACGCGAAGTGCTTCAAAATGAAGTGCATGATCGGTCAGGATTAACCTTCCTGCATCATGCCACAAAGAAGAGTCCAGAAAGTTCTTAAGAATAAATAATGCATATTTCTACTTTATCAGCAAATACATATATTGTAATTTTACAGCAACATGCATTGAGAAAGATGGCAGATAAATGTTTCTTTTTCACAAACTTACTTACCAGGCCAGGTGGATATTCCTACATGCTCAAGGACTGGCTGTGTAGTGACTGTTCCATCAACCTCAAGAATCTTCTCACCTCTAGAGGATCTTATAGCAGAAAGGAGAGACGACTCTGAATTGGTCTTCATTTTTCTAATTGCTCTGTAAAGATTAAATAAAAAAATAAACAATTTATGCAAAAAATTTTTGTCCCTACCACCAATCACATATCAAACAAAACAATAAAGTTATAAACTCTGTTGAATTAGAAACTGAAGCAAATATAAAATACAAAAGTGGGACCTTGGAAATTATCACCTACAAAGTGAAGAACTACACCATATCAATCTCCTTTAGTACTTAAAATTGTCAAACTTTGGTCATTTAGTATGTGATGAAAAGTGATGAACCTGAATTTTATTCTCTGGTAGAGTAGCAATCACATTTATGTGCATACATTAACCTGAATTTTCAGTACAAACTTAAAACAGAGCTCACGCAGTACAACAAAGGGAGGACTGGGTCAAATAAGTATTACAGTTTTATTCTCCTTCCAAGGGTTTTCCCTTTCTACAATAGAGCTAAGGCTCAGTTCTCACACGATAACAAAACAGAATGTCCCCTCCTCTTGTTTAAGCTAATTCCCTATCTCTACAACTTTAACCAACTGACTATTCTAAACACGAACTACTCTCTGGCCCAATCATCTCCTGAGAACCATCAGCACAAACATTAATTCTAAGGGTTCAGTAAATTTCTTTAAAACTACTTTTTGAAAAGTTGCTACTGAATTTTAAGTATAACTGTAAACTTGTGATGGATGTTTTCAATGCTGTCTATGTATATATATATATATATCCTCTTGTTTAAGCTAATTCCCTACCTCTACAACTTTAACCAACTGACTATTCTAAACAGGAACTACTCTCTGGCCAAATCATCTCCTGAGAACCATCAGCACAAACATTAATTCTAAGGGTTCAGTAAATTTCTCTAAAACTACTTTTTGAGAAGTTGCTACTGAAATTTAAGTATAACTGTAAACTTGTGATGGTATATATATATATATATATATATATACATATACATACATTTTTAATAAGAAAGAATAAAGAAGAAATAAAGCACATTAGCAGAAGATGCCCTCCTAAAAAACAGCTGATTAATATAGTTCTTTCTTATGTGATTATACAAGTCATCTTGTTTAAGTGTTTGTAGCTACTTGTAGTGCACCCAAACTCCCAAAGTTGAGAGTATGATTGCAGAGGTGTTATGTCATCTTTTGATCATAACTACACAAAGGGTTATTACTGAACTATATTTCATATTGTTCCCTCTCCAGCTCCCTTTCCCATTCCATCTCCTTAAACTTTAATCAGTTAGAAAAATATCAGAGTGGTACCATCTATATCATTGCAAGCCAACTCCCCACAGTTTTACTGTCTACCAAATCACTGAATAATTGTTGCAGTAAATAGATGGTAGGGATTTCACACAATGCCATTTTACTCAGTCAAAAACCAAGTTGATATTCTTAACCATGGCATCTCTTTTAACAATTTTGAAGGGTGAAAAATCAGGTCTAAGCGGATATATATACAGCCACTTTCCTTTTTAAAGTACAAATCAACAGTGACAGATAAATATATCAGTCACTCCTACTTACAAATATGCCCTTCCCCAAAAATGCAAAGAAAGGGGAGAAAAAAATAATCAAACATAATCCTACAGAAAATGCAGGAAAGGTGGTTAGTATAAAAGAAACTTGGAAGTTAAAAGAATACCACACAAAGGGGAAAGCAACAACATATTTCAAGGTAAAGGTTGTTACCTTTCTAGGCCAGTGAGGTACTTGTCATAGATGGGGAACTGAAGGCGGCCCCCAGTTGATGAACTCAGCACCTCAAAAAGATATTCGCTAATGATGACATTGGCAATGATAGGAATTGCAGGAGCTATTCGACAGAAAGCTTCTAAACTGACAGATACATCCTCATCAACCTTCTAGAAAATTTGAAGCACATTAATAATAAGAAGGACCATAGTTCTAAAGCACCAATAACAAACCTATAGCATGAAAATTTGACATGAGTATAGATAATTAGGACTTAGGAGAACATACACATAATAATTATATATATTGGATATTGCCATAACAACTGAAAACTAATAAAATATCAAAGTCATAGAAAAGAAAAAAAAATTGAATATAATTTGTGTTCACCATAGATACAAACAGAAATAATGAAACAGATAGAAATATATTATTCTTTAAGGATACTTCAGTTATTTATTTCTTGTACCGTGTAACACACTTTATTGTATAATGCCCAACAATCACAACAACAAAAGATTACAAATTTGTTTCCTGGTAACATCAATCTGAACACATTATTCCAAGAAAAAACTCACTTGTACTCAGAAAAACATACATTAATTAAAGGTTGGCTGGCAGCAGCTGGGGCCTCCCACGCTAACATCATATCAAATGTTAAACGGCGGATTGTTTTATCAAAGAGATGACCAGTCATTTGTGTTGTCAAGGAAAGTGCCTTGAAACAGCAATATTCCAGTAAGTTCCTAGCATACCGTGATGGATGCTTCAAAGACTCAGAAGCCTCTTGATTGAAACTCTCCTGAAGCTCACTTGAAGAGATCCTAAGGATTCTGCATTATTTGTTTTTCGTTACAATTGAGTTTCCAATCAAAATTAACAAAAAATAAATAAAAATATGAAGGGTCCAATGTTATCTAATATTCAAACTGAATCCAACAAGACTGAAATTTTAAAAATTGATCACGAAGCAATAAATATATGCTAAGTAAACGAAATAAGTTGTCTGAAAATGCACTTACTTTGAGCATCTACGAACAACTAGATTTGCAATCGGAGAGAGTTCTCGAATCATATTCCTCCCAGCAGAGGGTGAATTTTCCATCTCCTCAAATTCTTCATCAAAGTAGCTCTTCTTGCCAAGCAACCACTTAAATGATCCTTCTTTTACCAGACCTTCAAGCATATTTCTGGTCTTGCTACCTACAGCCATCTCTTCTCTCCCCACAATCTTATCAAGTTGTAAAACAAGAAACCCAATATCCACTTTTTCTTAAAGTTCTTGCATTTGCTGAAACATAAAGGTTCCCAACAAAACAAGTCACAACAAGGAGCCCTCATAACCAAATCATCAAACTAAATATAAGCACAGACTAATAAGCTACAACCAGTTCTTACAATTTCCAAAACTTTTCAATAATCCTACAAATTTTAAGATCTAAGCACAAAGCAAGCATGGAAATTGAAGATAAATAAACACAAGGGTGCACACACAAAATTAATGCTAATCTACTTCAATCTCAAACAACAAACACATAATCATGCTTCCAAAGGCACAAACCCATCAATGAGCAGCATGATTTCAAATTCATACAAAAAAATAAATTAGAAGCAAAGAACATACATTGAAACCCCAAAATCAACACTGAACAAAACCCAAGGGAGGTACCTTTAAATGCAGAAAAATCTCAACTTTGGAAAATGGGATAACTTGAAATGGTGAAATATTCGACGATCTCGGAGAAAGAAGGAATTTTGAAGTAACCCATTTGAACAAATAGCGGAATTAGAAGGATAACGACACAGAAGAACAAGTGGGTAATTCGGGTTAGAGACATGTGAAGAATCAGAATTGGATAGGGGTTTATGAAAGACAAGAATGTTCAGTGTTGGATAAGCATGAAGAGAGAGATAGAGAGAGTCACACAAACACAGAGAGAGAGAGAGAGAGAGAGAGAGAGAGATTTTGTTTTCTGAAAGGTGAAGTATTCGAATGCGTTGGGGCAGAATCAGGAGCTGGCAGGTGCAAGGATATCGAATACGTGTATGCTTCTCTCTTCATATTTGCAATCAGCAATTACTTTCATTCCATTTTTTGTAATTACGCTTATTTTCTTTATATCTTTTCATCTTTGCCTTTTGTTTTCATTTTTTAAATATATATTATGCTTTTTGAATATTGTGATGAAAATTAAGAAAATTATAAGGTATTGTATTCAAGAAATTCAATTGGTGTTGAAAAGAGCTTGCATTAAAAGTGCTCTGCAGTAAGAAAAATATTGAAAAATGTATTATCTGTTTTTGGTGCATCCACAAGTTCAATGAATATCTATAGTTATCTATTTATATTTATTAAATTGTTGAAAAAACATGTAAAAATATTGAAAACAGAATTAATGAAAAGAAAATATGTTAATAAAAGGTTGATTGAATTCATTTTTATTTAAAAATTCAAAATATTTAAATAATTTAACATATCAAATACTCACCAGTGTGGGAATAGGCGTAAAAATAAAACCTACCCCTTCTGAATAAAAATTAATCTCCAAATCTACTTGATGTCAAATTTTATAACAATTATGTCATTCCTAACTTTTTTATAAACAAAAAGTGATAACTTTTGCAAGCGTCCTTTTTCCTTCATTTTCAGTCACAAACAATTCAGAGCAACCAAAATATACACTCAAATTAACCAAACCAAAATTAGGACAAAATAAAACTGTTTCATCACCAAAATTTTCTGATATATATTTTTCTTCTGAAAATGATGTTTAATAAAAGTCACCTTTATGTTTGGTCAACAATAAAAGAGACCTTAAAGATTTAGTATTAATATTGTGGAATCAATATATGGACTGGGCCAAACAGCAACATCATTATGACTCTTAAAGGAACAAACAATATGGGCTTGAATTTCTTTTACTTTGGGCTTTAACAATCAATACTTCATTACCAGTTTGTCACTATTGAAAAATTGGATAATCACAATGGGCCTTTTCAACATGAAGTTATATAGTTACACTGAATTTCGTTGAAAAGAAAAAGTTACAGTGATGAAAATTTCATGCCCAAATAAAAAAAGTAAAAACAAAGCTTAAAAATGATATATAATTAAAATGCAACAACCTCATTAAATAATCTCAATTTAGAGCACTTTATCCTGCTAGTTATATCACAAATGACACAATTAAGATGGTCAAATTTTATAAAGACTAAATTATTCCAAATTAATTAAAAGGACCTTTCTTTAGCCTTTTTATGTATTTGTACATCATTTATACGTAAAACTGGTTCCTTTCAACTTACAACTTTCGTACAAGTAACATCTATAAGATTTGAATTTCTGACTTATTCTAAAAGCATTACAAACATCTACACAAATTTAATAAAAATAAAAACATTTAAATTCTAAGCCAACTTAGAGATAATTGTATTATATGTTCCCGTCTTGTTTTCAAGCAACATATTTTTAATGCTGCATAAAAAAAAAAATCTATTTCCACTTAAATAATATTTCCAAGGCTCTTCATGAAAGTTCATGCCTAAAAGAACATATGCTGCTAGTATGATCTTGCACACCCATTCCACTTGCTATAACTTTTACCTTCCATTACCCTCTGATGCCAAGTAGTTCCTCCATTGTTTCACTCTTTTTATAAAAAAAAATATATATTTTAGAACAGATAAATAATGACACGATGTTCAAATAAGATAAATTACTGAAAAAAATTGATAATAACATATTTTTTAATATACTCTTTGTTATTGACTAAAATTTATTAAAAAAAATCATGTGAGCCATATTTCTAATTGAACAATTATTACTCTTATTTTAATATTCTTTAATAAATTTTAACTAATAAATAATAATATATTAAAATATAAAAAAAATGTGTTAAAAATGTGTGCTTCTAGCATTCCTCCACTAGTGAATGATAAGTAATGAATGAAATGCTAGAATAGAGATTAATTCCTCGTTAATCACTTGATGTTGATTAATTTTGTCCTTAGTATATTACTCATAGTCATATGACTAAGAGTGTATACATATCATAATCAGGTACTAAAAGTCTAGGTGCAAAATCCAGAGCTGTGGAAATGGAGGCTGATGTGAAGTGAATTATTAACAGGAACTGAATGGCTGATTACAAATTGAGAATCCCTGAGCAGTGGCACGAAGAGACAGCCGTCTTAATATTTGGTCTAAAACCTAATCTTGCCAAGTCAACCGCACTTGACCTTAATAGTGGGAGGTGAACATGTGTGCTTTTAAGAAGATAACAACAAAAATTGGGGTGAGAGTGTTGCAATTCAAGAGTCATGAACTTTCTTTTGAGTGTTAAATCTAAGAACATACAAACAGATACGGATGGTTTTGCTTCCATTTGGTCTAATTTGGTGGGGTTATAGTATACCTGACCAGCTAACAACTTCCACTTTCAATTCAGCAGCTTGGTAGTGACTCGTGAGCCCACTGTACTTGTGCTTGGGTCCTTGAACTTGCCCATGTTAATAACTAGTCTTCTCCCCAACTACTACCTCCCAACATGTGTCCCAAAATCTAAATCCATATTGGGAATATATGATATACACATCTTTCAAGCATCAACATAACTTTTAAGACCCTTTAAGTCCATATTCCTCCTCCTTATTCATGCATGCTTGCTAGCTCTAAGAGACAAGGAAACAGCATGGTCAAAAGTGGGTCAAATAAGAAAGTTTGAGTTGGAGTGAAGAAGCAAAAGTGGCTTTAAAAGGGTCACAAGCTCTTATCATTTTCCTTAAGTTGGAGAACCCACATTGCCCATCCTCTTTTGAGCATGCTATGGCCCATTCAAGCTGTCTTCTTCTTATACCAATGTCATGGATGCAATGCATCTAACCCCTCCTTCCATTTTCATTAAACAATAACAACAAATATGCTATAATCTCAAAAATATTTTTCTCTCCTCAATCATTCACTGAATGAATTGGCAACATCCACAAGATCTTATGAATTCATTGCTTCAAGTGGGACACTGTTTCTCTTGGATTTGCCTTGTGGTTTGTCATGTTACTACAATTTGTTGCACTCACGCCTCATTACACTGCCAAAATGGATAAGCAATTTCCTTGTTTTACCGACAAACGAGATTTTTAAACCACGTATTGACAAACCATTACCTCTGGCTCAATTGACAACACTTTTTTGTGTGAACATAACGTTAATGAAATTAGTTTTTTCTTCTCTCATAATCAACAAGTTGCATAAAATCAAAATGATATTAAATCCAAGCTTTTGGGAAATACTCCTAGTCCTAGCTCTTAACACGGGTCCACCCCAAAGTTTATAGGTTCAAACTTCATTAAAAATACCATGTAATAAGGGTCATCACAAAGCCTAAGTAGGGATTAGTCCACATACACCAATTGAAATTGTGACTTTTGACACCTCCTAAGAGGAAAAATAAAAATGAAAAAACATTGTCGATTCTACCCAATAAAATAAAAAAACACTTCTTAATAATATTGTTGTTGCCTAGGTCCTACAAGACATGGACCTCCTAGTTGATTCATGATAGCAACAATTCAGTCTGGGTCCATCTGTGGAACTTAGTAGAACAAACGGAATCACGTGAATAAATTTTCATGCTAGTTTTGCAAGTAAAAATTTTCCAAGAATTTTAGCAAGATTTGGAGTTAATTGTGTGGATTTATGTAAGATTTTCAGTCTCAACCATTAAGAAAAGAGCCATATCTGAAGAACCAGCCAAATACACATTCAATTTAGAATCTCAAAGTTCAGACTGACGAAGTCAAGGGAAGATATCGATGGAAATCGACAAGGGAACTAATACATAGGACTCTAATGCTAAAATTTGACATCAAATACTAAATCCATTGTTATTGCAATAACCATGATAAACCAAGTTTGTTTGTTAAATAAAAAGATGATAATGAATGGGAAAAGAATTTATTTCATCAAATTCAATAATTTTTAGAATATTTCAACTGCAAACTAATAATCAGAATAACAAGGTTCGATAATAATTTTATTCCCAAAATGATATAAAAAGATATGAACCTTTTCTATTACGATAATGAAAGAATCCTTGTACTGTTAAACTTTGAAGTAAGTGTGAATATATCCAGCAAGATTGTTCATGAATAAAAGGCTCCAATGTAAGCCATACTACAAAAATCTAACTGAATACTACATTATTGTTTCAATCGCAACATAAAAAATTTATAGGCTTAAACGTGTTAGTTTCATCTTTGAAAAAGAACGTTTCATGCTAGAGAGAAAAATATTAAAACAGTTTCTTTTAAGGTTTTTGCGCTATTTTTAGAATTTATGTAATTATTACAAAATTTGTAAATATGCTTTTAGTTATTAATAGTTAATAAACACAAATGAACCGGTTAACCGGAGTGAAACTTGCATTATCTTCTGAATTTTACATGAATAGCTAGTGCCAATGAATTCTGATTATTTTTTGCTGAACGAGCCTAAAGTGCACGTAATTGGATCATAGACACAAACACATGACAGGATTATTTTCTTGTTATTTTATTTTTCCTTTTTGATTGTTGTTATTTGTGCTATGATTATTAACATCTGTATATTTGCACATGTATAGTCAAATCTGCAACTTCAATCACACCATTCCAAAAAAATATAAGAAATGTAGGCTTTTATTAACTTCCATTTCATTTCTACACATGTCTGAAGGATTGTACAAGCAAGAATGTCCACTTGTGCTGGTAGCACAGAGTGGAAACAAATTGATCTTTTAAACTTGTAGAAAGTAAATTAAGGACCATAGATGAAGTGTTTTCATTTTCATGTCTTGTGTGGCTGCTGAGTTAAAACATCCAAAACTAAAGTCAAAGGGACCAATTTGATTGAAAACAAGAAACTCCTCCATATCCTTCTTTCTTATACTTGGCTAACTCTTTTGCCTCGGATGCCTTTGCTCTCTGCCACAAACCAAATCAAATAAATAAATATAATGACCATGTTAATTTAATCATCAACTACCCTTGTCTACTATTGTCTATAGTAAATTAATTTCATTATTCACCACCTCTTATATGATCTTCTTTATTCTTATCCATCATAATAATTTGAATATATGAACTGAAAGGTTTTCATGCATATTAATTAATTGCCACATATAATCAACAATCACTCAAACCATCATATATGTATATATATAAAAGACCATAAACTTTTTGGAAGTAGGTACCTGCATTGTTTCTAAAGCATCTGCTTCGGAATTGAAGTCATAAAAGGTACTTGCTGCAGTGAGCTTCAAAGAAAGGAACTGCAAGAAAAGCCAAACGTGAATTGGTATTGAGGCTATGTTAAGAGTATTTTTTTCTAACAAAACATAAATACTATATTATCCTTCTGTTGTTGTTGACTTTTGATCACTTACCTCTACTTGATGCTGCAAAGATTGGACATAGTTTATGATCTCATCCAACATTACTGCCATGCCCATGGTCTGCAACCATTAATCAAACTGAAAATATGAGAGTTTGATTTACGAAGTTAGACATTAATAAGAGTTTTTAAAGGAATATAGCTTTACCTTGTAACACCCTGGAACAATATTCTGTAAGCACCTTAATTTTTCATTGATTTTCCCTCTTCTAACCTGAAGAACAATAAATGATAGATATGTAGTATTAGTCCATGTTCATCACGATCAAAGAGACAAGAAAATTAACCAAAGTCATTGAGTATATAAGTATATTCATATTTAATTGTTTTATTTTTTATATTTTTTTGTTGTGTATTTTAGAAAAAAAAATTTCTTGGCTTGAAGAAAGGGTGAGTTAGGAATCATATATTATATACCCTTTCTGCTAAACTGTGACTATCAGTGGCTTGACCTCTTCTGGCTCTAACATGAACCACTTCCTTTACTTTTTCTTCTTCTGTTACATTGCTTTTTGCCCTCTTCCCTCTTCCAGAAATCTGAAATAATTCACAGAAAATAGGAAATGAGTTTCTATCATGCATATAATATCAACATAAATATCCAAGAAAACCAATGCAAAAAAGCATGGTGCATGGCCAAGAAATAATGGAGAACACAAAAGGGTAAAAATAATAGAAGAAACTCACATGTTTGATCTTGCTTCCACTCTCAGAAACTGCAGGAGTAGAGTTTGCTGAACTTGTCTCAAGAGTATCGGTTGTTTTCCTCTTTTTACCTTCATGGATCTCATTTTGTGAAGGGAAAATAGGGAGGGAAACAGGAACAGTATTGTTGTGATTGACATGATGGACAAGACCAGGAAAATTTTCTTCCAAGTTTGCTGGAAACCCAGGTTCTTGTTGAGGGCCCAAGAAGCTGTCACAGGAGAAAGCCATCAAGTTATGCATATTCGAGTTTGAGTTGTCTAGAACATGTTGGTTGATGCCTATGAATTGGTTAAGGAGTTCCATGCTTGGATCAATATCTAAGAATGGAAAAGAGCAAGGTCTAATGCTTTGCAAATTTTCTGTGAATTCAGCCATGTGATTATAAATGACAGAGTTTAAGAGATGTTTAATTGGTATTTGGATAATGTGGGTTACACTTGTTGTATTTATACTGTGGAATTGTAGTTACATTGATCAATAGGGGCATTCTGAGGTGGCCACGTGGCAGCTCAAGGTTGTGTGGTTTTTGTTCCCTTAGTTGGCCCCATACACAGGAAAAAATGTCCAATATCAATAAGGGCCCATGTTTTGTGAGAAAAGCACGCCAATTTTTGGAGCCTTTAGACCTTTTGATTTGCCTGTGTTGTGTTATGATTCAATTTTTAGCTCTAGTGGGAATTGGAAAAGTGCACTTGTTTAGTGCTGAAGCATGGTCTATTGGTGCAAAATCTTCCATAATATATGACCTTTTCTCCTTCCTTATTGTGTGTGTATCAGTGTATGTAGCACCATAACTACTTTTTCTTTTCTCTGTTTCTTTTAATATTCCGAGTGTTCAATATAATGGAAAGTAATTTTAACCATCACCTTGAATTCCCTAGTTTCTACATTTGAAGGGCTTATTTCCTGAAATTTCACTTCAAATTATAACTTTGAAGAGCATTGTTATGATCAAGTTTTATCTCACTTACCCCTTGTTTGATTCTGCGGAAATATAGAAAGGAGAAGGGAAAAAATGAAATTTAAATTGAAAAAAAAATTCTGAATTTTATTTTTGATAGTCAACTTCTCTTTTTTTTTTTCTTTTTAATCAAATAAAATATCATTATCAATATTTTTTCTCATCTGCATTAGTAAACTTAACAACATAACAAATTAAAAAAACTTTGTTTATTTAAATAAGTCCAATTAACTCAATTAAGATTCGTCAAAAAAGTTAATGCAAATTTTAGTTTCAAATGAAAGATTAGACCATCAAAATAAAATGAATTGTCAAGATATTTTACTTTTAGAATATATTTTTTATAAGGATCTAACAATCATCCTCTGCAATTTTTTGAGAATGCATTAAGTCTAATATTTTAATATAATATTAAAACTTATCAAGTTTAAATGTACCTTGGACGTGTTTAGTCTTACGAACTTCAAGCATCTTATGATTAAAACATATCTTTTATAAGGTTTTAGATGTAATTTCTTAATAACAGCTTTCAAAATATTTTTTCTTAATATGTTTTGAGATATTTCTTCTTTTTATTTAACAAAATAACCATTCTTTTGATTTATTTTTTCCACTTAAAACCGATATTAATCGATGCTCCAGTCTACGATTTTGTACCAATCAAATTGATTACCGATGTCACTACCACTATATTTCTGAGCCTACGACAATTGTAGGCATAAAATATTAAAATATTTTTCTTTATGCTTAAAATGTGAATTCTAATTTTTAAATAATAATATTTTTAAAATGATTTCAAGCAAAAAGATTTTTTATAACTAATTATTTTTCTATTAGCTATGTGATTAATCCTATATTAAATATTTAATTTAACCTTAATTTAAACTAAATTTCATATAATTTTATAATTTTTATTTCTTTCATTACTCTTTCTTAATATAATAAAATATTTATTATAAATAATTAAAATTTTAATTTATAAACTTTTAAAAATTATATAAAAGATATTTTAAATTTTATTTAAAAAGTATTTAATTTAATAATACCAGCATTGGTAGATAAAATAATATTCGAAAGAAATCATCATAGTTTTATTTTTTCGAAAGTTTGAAAAAGATGGAGGTGTAGGGATTGATTATTTTATTTTAATATTTAAAATTTATTTAAAAATGTAAAATTAAAACATTTTTCTATAATTTCTCTAAAAAACAAAAAAATAAACATGCCAAGGAAATGATAAAAAGAAAAAAAAAACTTGTTTCTTTAGTTTTCGTTATATTTTAGCAAAAACTTAAGAAAATAAATGCCAATTACATTTTTTATAATCATTTAAAGAGGAAAAATTAAATTATATGAAAAAAAAAAAACAAACAAGCACCCTGTAAAGAGTGTCACTTTCTTTTGCACCCCATTACAAGCACCATCGTTGGTGAAGTAGAATTTTCCATAGTATTGTGATGTATACTGTGCACACAAACTGTCATTTTACAGTGGGATCTTTTCTGCAAGTTGGTCTTCTGCTTTGAGGCCACATATGCATATGGTGCTTTATATTCAGTACTATGAACCTTATTGCTCCACCTGTTCATAAAGTGTTCTGCATTTGAGAATATAGACCCATTAATTGAACATGATTGTAAGAGAAAAAAAATATTCAATTCTAGTTTTCTTAGTTACCAAGTCATTTTATTAGCTCATTGTGTTAGGTCAACATATCAACCATCTTGCTGCTAAATAAATGAATGTTTAATTAAGTATTTTTTGAATTAAAACTTATATAAACTTGATCTTAATATTCATTAAAATAAATTTTAAAAAAGTATAAATTCAAATTTGTATTTCTCCCATACTAACATAATAAAGTTAGAAAAAGAAAAATATATTTTTTTATCAAATTTAATTAAGAAATCTTATAACTAATTATAATAAATTTTTTATTTTATAAAAATTGTACATTTTTTCACATGATTATATCACACTTGATTTTATTAATTTCATTTTTTAAATAATAAAAAATTTATTACTTTAAATATTTAAATTTGATGGGTCAAAGTAGCCGAATAAAGTTTAGAAATACTAAGAGAAAAAAAATATTTTACTGAGTTGACTAATATTGAACAAGTCATTACAAGTGAACTAAAACACCTCAAACAAACTTAAAACAAGTCCCCACAACTGAATTTGACACTACAATCCCTTAAAATCTTAGGTCAATAAGTGATGAGACACCCTCTTTATATTTTATTCAATGAATGACTTTTTACTTAATTGATAATTAATTTTCAAATAAATTCGATCAATCTTAAAAATTAAGATGGATGAAATTGTATTATGTAATTTAATAATATTAAAGAATTGAAGAACTATGAAATATTAAGAGAAGGAAATTATTTTACTAAGTTAACACACATTGAACAAGTCACCACAGATGGGCTGAGACACCTAGAATAAGTCACTACAAGTGAATTTGACACCTCAGTCACTTAAAATCTTAAGAGAATAAGTAATGAAGCCCCCATTATATACTATTTAATGGATGAATTTTTACTTAACTGTTAATTAATTTTCAAATAAACTTATGTAAATTAATAATATTAAAGGATTGAAGAAATATGAATTACTACTGGGTAAACAAAACTCCTTTAAACGCGCTTGAGTTGTTCAATCTTTGAATTACTACTGTTTAGCCACACAATTCATTATCCTTTGTTTGCTGATTTGAACTAATATTTGGGAAATGAATGAACCAAACTTTGAAACAGGGTTCTGACATGTGGGGTGTGTGTTTGGCATGTGACACTTCATTCAATTCTCATTAAGGGTTACATTCTTTGGTCTCATAATCTAAAGAAACCATATGGGCACTGAAAAGTAGTATGAGTTGCCCCTATATACACCCAAATGTAGCCCTTACCAAAAATGGATATGCTTTTATCATTTGCTTGTAGGCATTGACGGCTCACACACAAAGACAAATAATAAATTACTAAACTTTGGAACAACATTTCCTATGGTAGCAATAGATACCTTATTACCCTTTTGCAAAACTATATACTTAGCTTGAAAACTATATGGAAGACCTTGCTGGCTGGACTAGAAGATATTTGGTTGTCATGTCACACTCTTCAATGAAAAGTATCTTTCATATTATAAACGTGCAACAGTGAACTTTGCCCATGCATTTGCATTTATACCTTAGTATGATTAAAAGGTCTACAAAGAAACAAGTTTTGCATGAAGATGATGCCTTTTAAGGACTGCCTATGGACATGGATGGCTACAATAGGTAGGTCGGATTTACCTAACATAACTGTAATTCTTTTGACTTTAAACCTTTCACAGCTAAAATGTACTCTCTCACTTGTTTTCAATGTGTTAAGGTAACAATTTTTGTCATCACAAATATATACGGAAAATGTTTATCATAATTCTTATAATTGAGTTTAAATATGAAAAATAATATTTCTTGTATTTTTTTTATCATTTTTATACAATGTATGTGCTTTTTTATTAATAAAAAATTATTTTTAAATGTTTAAATTTAATTTTAAATGTTAAAGTTAACAAAAAAAAAACATTTTTTATTTTTAATTAGAAGAGTTGCTTCAAAAAAATTGAGCAATTTTGTGAAATTTTTGCTTCAACTTTAGATATGTTTATTTAAGTCTTTATTCAATATTTTTTTTAAGAAATGTTAATCTTAGTTCTTATAATTGAGTTTAAATAACTAATAAAAATTATACTTTGTAAAAGAGTAATATTTATTATATTTTACAACTTAATATAACGAATTTGTTTTTTATTGATAAAAAATTGTTAATATTAAATACTTAAATTCAATTTTACAAGTTAAAGTTAAAAAAAAACTTTTTATTTTTAGTTAGAATAGTTAAATACTTAAATATGAGAGTTATATACATATATATATATATATATATATATATATATATATATATATCAGAAAATTGACAAATTTTGTAAAAGATTCACTTAGACTTTGAATGTGTTTAATTAATTACTTATTTAATAAACTATTTTTTAAACAAATATTTATGTTATAAATTTAATAATAACTCTGTTTTTAATGTTAAATTTATTTCGATGAGCTCTCCTATTTTTTAATATTTTAATTTATTATAGTATGTAAATGCGTAGTTTCGCGAAGTTTTGTGTCACCCACGAAGCAAAACTGAAAATACAATTTCGAAAATCATATAGTTTGTAATTTTTTTTTGTTATTATGATAGTATATTTGTTTAAAGAATAAAAAATAAAAAAAGTGTGTGACTTTTAAAATTTAATTAGCTGATAAAAAAATTTCAAATAATATTCAATTTATTAGAAACTATTTACCAGGAGCTTATTTGTTTTCTTTTTTTTTTAAATGATTTTTCATTTTTAAAAATAGAAAAATAAAAAAATTTATTCAGTGAATGT